CGTGCACCGTATATTAAATATATGGATAAACAATCTGAATTTCTATTATTTCCTACAATTTACTGTGGGAAAACCAGAGTTATAACCACTTGATCATTTTCTAAACAACGTTCCCACGAGTTCTTTCTATAGACTGATAGTAATTATTCTAGTACTTTCCAACATGTAAATAGGACATTCAATGTCATTTTCGATTCTTTTAAGTCTCACTGCCTAACTAATGCCAGTATCAACAGAATGTGCCGCAGCATTACTATCTTTTAGATACCCTAGTCTAATGTCCAAACAAGCGAGACTTAATGCTTTTTTTAAGAGCGTTCTTCTTGTATTTACCTGGCAACTTGAAATCTTAGTGACAGCCCTGCCTATCATGATCAGGTGCCAAAATCTTTAGGGCCAAGTTGTGGTGACATGTGAGACTGGGTTAATGTTGTGTCGATTATACGGTTAGACTATTTTGGGGATGCATTTTGATGACTCGGGTCTTACACGTCCCCCAGTCAGCGGACAGTAGCTACGCGCGGAGCCTCTCTCCAGTCCTCTTATGTTGGAAGACGTTTCGAGAGCGACTAGCTTCAACCCTACAACAATTAGACAACTGTGTTCTTGGCTCACTTGATAACTTTATTTGTCGGTAGTAGAATCTCTTTTAGGCTCTTGCGTTCGTACAATTCCCTGATGATTTAGCTTTACACCCATTTTTATATCAAAAAGAAGACCAGCTGTCTTCTCTGATTGATTAAAACATCTTGATTAGCATGAAGCCTTGAGATGATTGCTTTGTCAAAATAGTTTTTCTAAGTCTTCACTGTTAAGCTTAGGTCAACTGGCCAGTACAAACCAAGGAGAGAACTGGGGACATAAAAATTACAGAGAATGGGCTTCCAAATAGAATTCTTGCAATAACAGTGTGGAAAGTACTAATTAAAATTACATGTTGAAACTCATGTCAAATGGTCGATCCACAGAAGGTGTTAAGCTTCTTCATCGAAAAAGATTCGGCCTAAAATTAAAAATGACAAATAAAAATGCAGTTCGCGGGAGAAAGCAGAGATTACAACAATACTGAGGATTTATTTCCTTAACCAACAACTGTGAACACGGGAAACAAGCTAAAAATTAGACGAAATAAGGTTAAATAAGGATAAAGGTTATTCCCTGGAAATGCATACAAGGGGTCAAAAAGTCTTAAATATAAACAAGCCTTTGTTGAAAACCTTAATTGAAAGGGATCGTGGAAGTACAGTATATTAAATAGATCATATTTGTTTAAGAACGAATTCATGACAGAATTCAGTTTGATCACTATTTTAAACGTCGAAGTTGTAGTGTAATTTTAAAAAACTAATAAGTAAGTCTTCGAGAAATCCCGATAAAATATCCCATGATTAGTTAACGTTTCATACGGTAACCAATAAGAACAACCCCTTGTTTTTAAGCATAAATCGAAATTGGGTAAGAGTAAACTAGATTAAAGCTAAAATTTCCATTGCTTGCAGAAACAGAATGGTGTGAAGACTTTTTTCTTTTTGTAAATAAAAATTTTTATCATTTTTATTCTTTCAAACAGTTTTCTCGTAAAAATAGTCAATGTCTCTCGAGGTCGATAAATATAAAATAATTAAGGTGGCTCGATAAAGTTTTTTAGAGTGAATACCTCCCACGTTTGTGCGTAAACCACGTCGCCATAAACAAAGATTTGGAAAATTGACACCACAGTTGTATTAGGATAAAGATGAAACTTTGTTATGATCCAGGTTGCAATGACATCGTAGTTGTCATGGCAACGAAATGACGCCATTACTTATTTTACTTGTAGCAGTATTTCTCGGCACTGGGAACTGTTCTTCCAACATCGTTTACTGGAGCTTTTTCCTACAATAGCCGCCTCGATTTTCGTGAAGTTTAAGCGAAATCTGTAAGAACGTTATCGAGATATTTTGGGAAGAAGTTTTTATGGTTAGAAATTCGGTAAAAAATGGACAATCTTGATGTTCGACTGTTATCTGTACTAAACGAAGCGCTTTTGACATGCAATTTCACCTCATAGTAGCTTCAATCTTTTTAAAAACGTGTGTGAAAGATCATGGAGATACCTCCAGCCGATTGCTAGAAATAAGGATTTGATTAGTATGTATTGGGGCGCTCTTATTAGCGGTAATGTAAACATTTCGGTCTACTTTAACAAATTAGCGAATAATTTTTAAAGCGCTCGATAAAGTTATTAAAAAATTTAAGAGTCTTGAGATAAACCGTCTTTTTATATGACCTCTTAGTTTCAAGATTACTGATATATTGTAAGGTAGTAACATAAGGGCTACAATTCGCTAATATTTTGTCAGAAATTTTGTCTTTACAAGTGAGAGTCTCTGATTATTCAGCGGTATTGTCTTAAGGTTTCATTTTCACGTGAACAGCAGTACACCTAATTGCAATAACTTTGTCATAGAAAAAAAAACAAAAAGCAAAAAAGCCAAATAGGAATAAATTAGCCATGTGATTTACATTTGCGTATTTTAATTCAGTATTTAACAATTATTTAAGAATTCATTCACAATAGCAAGAGATGATTCTGTAATTCCGCGCTGTAAGATAGACAGGCGCCATAGTCAGTTTAGAGCCAACATTCTCCATCAAAAGAAGTCGCACAATTCGAGAAAGAAAAAGCTAAATTGACACGAGCAATGTTATGTCTCAGTTGTCCGCGCACGTTCAGTTGCCAATCTATTATGTCCTGACAAACGAAGCTTGGTTTGTGGCTCAGGTGAGGAACTGGCGGAGGACCCCCTCACCCTCTCCACAATGAAAAGTCCTGCCTAAGCCCCTGATTTGTTGCTTGAAAATTGTAATCAGATGGTGTTGTGCACTGCAAACCATACGCAGACTGGCTTTTCTATTTAGCAATAATCTAAAACACGCGTTGAGTTCCTGGAATTTACCCCAGGCTATATTTATTGAAAAAAAAATGAAGCCATCATTTCTTTGGTAGTTATCCGATGTGCTTTGTAATTCGAGCACGTTTGAAATTCGCTAGATGATTCAGCCTTGAATTGCATGAGAATGACAGTAAGAAACTGGTGCAAATGATTTCTCTCATATTACGTGATTAATATTCAGCTGTAAACGTGTGTGTTGTGAATGTTGCAAGCTATGATAATTACATGCCAATTAATTCCTATTTAACTTTTTGCTTTTTGCTTTTTGCTTTTTTCTATGACAACCTTATTGCAATTAGGTGTATCTAACAATGCATTTGACATATGCAAAAATGCTAGCTATTTCATCTTTATCTAATCCAAGTGTGGTGTTAGTTTTTTCCAAATCTTTGCTTATGGCGACGTAGTTTACGCTCAAACGTGTTGTTGGGAGGTATTGACCTTGAAAACTATATCGAGCCACCTTAAGGACGCATATAGTATACGTCAAAAATCCTAAAATCCTCTTTTCCTCTTTTGGCCACTCAACAATATTATAATTACGTGTAATTGCCAACGAGGCAACCGAGCTAAGAAGCGAGGTTGACTCGGCGGCAGAATCATAACGCCGCGCAATGTAGGCAAAAACTCTCAAATTCTGCGAAACCCTCTAAAATTTGCTTTTTTGGCCATATTTGGGTGTAAGCAAGACCCCATATTTAGGTGGCAAAATTTGATCCCGGCTGAGAAGGTAACCCGGTCAAGTAGACCGGGCTACCGGTCTTGGCGGGTCACCCCACCTATCATGTAAACGTGATCAAATTAAAATGAGAGATTATATGGACAGGCGGGTTACCCCACCTAAGCCAGTTACGTCACCTACCTGGGGTCCCCCACCTCCATGTAAACAGACCATTAGAATTTATTTATGTCTTTCGAGAGATTTTGTCAACCAGCATGCATGTTTTTTTGCTGCTCGATTTACGTTGAGACAGCCCAGAACTCCCGTGAGGAATGTAACGAATTTGCGGAGCTTTTGTTTCGAAGACTATCATTATGCCTTTCAAGAGACTCTTTGTCCTGTGACACTCGCTCATTAGATCTTTGTATTTTATTCGATTCAAGTTTGTATTTTTATACCTTTAATACATTCCGCCCCATTCTTGCGCTTTTCACACATTTTACTTTACAAGGGGCGCTTTCCATTTACTCAAAATTTCCGGAATTTCTGGTTCGGCGGTAAATGGAACACGTTTCGTCGGTTCGTCCCACTGGAAAATTCCCAGAAAAAGTGGAAAATCTAAAAAGGTGGTCCCGTTTTCCCGGTTGGAATTTCCGAACGGAATCTCGTGTTCCATTTACGTTTCTCGTAGTTTGTACCAGTTCCAGGTCCACGGTCGGGCACCGCCACGTACCGGGGTTTACGACCAAATGGAACAACTTTTTACCAATCGGAAATTCCACTTTTGCTACCACCGAAATTTCCGGGTTTTTTTCCTAAATGGAAAGCGCCCAAGATCTTTTGTCTTATGTATATTACCACGCTGATTATGACGCTGTTGCTCGGAATTAAATTATTATTTTTAATTTCAGCAGTAAAAGGCCTCATTTGAACTATATTTTTCTTTCTAACGTTTATAGCTTTGATACAATGCTCATATATATTATTTACCAACAAAGCTTCAAGCCATGTTGTTATTGTTTAATAAAAGTGAAAGCCTAGAATGTGCCAAAGTTGTTGTTTTGAAGTTGGGTGCCATCCTTTTCCAAATTATGAAAAATAAATATCGCGAAGATCTGAATAGGCACATTCCACAAAAGATAAACGAATTCGCCTCGTTGGCACTTGCCTGAAGGTACCTCTAGTTTATTCAATGGAAACAATCAAAGCACACTTGCACATTAGCATATCAACAAAGGTTAACAAATACGTATTGCTTAAGGTAAAAATATCGAATAAATTACGTGTTAAGGAAAGCGTTTGCGCCATTTAATCAGTCATCCGAGTGCAGTAACTGAGCAAGAAAGAAAATGAAGTGATCACTCAGAACGCCGATAAAACGGCGTTTTTAGGCGCTAAAGACTATGGAAAACACTGAAGACAAACGTCCTGTCGCTAAAGAAAAAGCCAGGAATATCATATGCTTTTTTGCGCTTGGAGTCTTGTCGCTGATCTACGATGAAATATGGGTCACTGCCGCTGAGGATGTCTTATCGGGGAGCAAGATTGCTACCACAAATGTAATAATCGCTATTGCGTTGCCCGTACTGGCTGTTAAAATTTCCGCACCGTGGTTTATTCAAAAATGCTCATATTTGTACAAGTCAGGTATAGTTGTGTTTCTACTGGTTGCTGGATTGATGGTGATTGTGTCGGCTGAAAGTGTCCGCTTGCGATTGTTCGGTATCAGTATAATCGAATCAGGGGTCAGTTTTAGTGAGATAACATTCCTGGCATTGACTGCAGCTTATGAGGATGTCACAGTAAGCGCGTTTGTAGCCGGCATTGGTGTTTCCTCGCTCCTTGGACCATTGTACTATACAGGTAATTATTATTCCATTATTACCATTCTATTCCCCCTCCACATACACCTAATTACTAGGGGTACCTTCCGGCAAGTGCCAACGAGGCGAATTCGTTTATCTTTTTATGTGCCGATTCAGATCTTCGCGATATTTTTTTTCATTATTTTAGAGGTTTAAAATGAATTCCACTATAGAAAAGGATGGCGCCCAACTTCAAAACAACCATTTTGGCACACTGTAGGCTTTCAAAACAACCATTTTGGCACACTGTAGGCTTTCACTTTTTAATTATTTTAATTATTGTGGTAAATATGAGCAAGTACTTAGGGACGGACCATTAGAAAAGTTATGGTGGGGGTGGGGAATTTTCGAGCCGCAGGAATATTTTTTCGTAATCACATTCCTTGTATGAATATTTTTTTAGGGCATGGCATGAATATTTTTTAGGGTTAATTGGCGTGCATGAATTTTTTTCATTTAATTTTCCCTTACACAAATATTTTTTTTGTACTTCCCCCCCTCCCCCCCATACGTTTTCTAATGGTCCGTCCCTTACGTTTCATGAAAAATTCACTTGTATCAAAACTATAAACGTTAGAAAAATAAGATAGTTCAAATGAGGCCTTTGACAGCTGAAATTATAAACATTATAAACAATAATTAAATTCCGAGCGACAGCGTCATTAGGGATAAGAAAAATGTTTCGCGTGGTAACACACATAAGAAAAAATTGGTGTAAAGTAAAATGTGTGAAAAGCGCAAGAATGGGGCGGAATGTATCAGAAGTATAAATAAAATACAAAGATCTAATGAGCGAGTGTCACAGGACAAAGAGTCTCCTGAAAGGCATAATGATAGTCTTCAAAACATCCGTTGCATTCCTCACGGGAGTTTTGGGCTGTCTCAGGGCAAATCGAGCAGCAAAAAAAACATGCTGGTTGACAAAATCTCTCTAAAGACATAAATAAATCCTAAAATGAAAGGTCTGCAAATACGTTGAATTCCTCACGGGAGGTGAGGACTGGCTCAATTTAAATCAACCTGCGAAGAACACGCTGGTTCTGATAAAGTTTTGACAATATAACCCTATGCCTTGATCAACTACCGCTTAAAATTCAATTCACAAAGGAAAAGGGAACACTGAAAACCCTGGTTCTGAGTCGAGAAGCGTACACGCTACCTCAGTGTAAATCGAGCTGCAAAGAACAAGCAGTGTTTCTGACAAAAATTTGAGTGTAAAACCCTATTGTTTAAAGCTGCTGCCTAAACGCAAGTTACAAAGCAAACCAGAGCAGTAATTGCCCTTTCAAACTAGAAATCGTATTAAAGCTTGCTCACCTGTTAGGTCCTCTTGAACAGACAACGAGCAGCTGCACACTGAATCACCCAATTTCGAACCAAGAGTTGTAAATACAAGACCATGACGTCACTCCCCAAATATGGTCAAAAATGCAAATTTTAGAGAGTTACGGAGAATTTGAGAGTTTTGCCTACATTGCGCGGCCTTATAATTCTGCCGCCGAGGCAACCTCGCTTCTTAGCTCGGTTGCCTCGTTGGCAAAAATTACGTTGTCATAAATGAAATAAGAGAACAGAAAATTGGAAATAAACTTACTGATAGGGCTAGGGTTCAAGTTTCATTTTCCCATTTCTCGTGCTCATTCTCTATAATAATAATAATAATAATATTATTATTAATATTAATATTAAGCTTTATTTATCCATCTTCTTCAAAAATATATATACTCTCTGTTCCCACTTCCCTGCAACTTGAGTTGCATCACTGCTGAAAAATCAGTTTAATAGAGGTTTTGCACGTTTTACTTGACAAGCACTCTCTAGCCACGGATGAACCTGTCTTGTAACAAATCAGGCTGTTGTAGTTCTTCAGGGCCCGCGGAGAGGATTTTCAAGTCGGGGGAGAGGGGGTTAATGCGAAAGCGTAAGCGTGAGCAAACTAGGGGAATCCGGAAAAATTTCAAATTTAAGTCTTCTAAAATGGCTATAAATGCGTCTAAAACTGCCAATAGTAATATAAATTTGTAATTATTACATCGGCACTTAAAACAACAAGTTACAACCTGGCCCCTGTAGAAGGCCTAAACGTAATAAACGACCCTTAATTTAACAAAGTCCTAAATGCAATAACAATTTGCCCTAAATGTAATAAATTCTTAAGTTTCCAATTACAATAATTACTCGAATAAGCGTCGCCCTCAAATAAGCACCGCATTTGGTAGTTAATTAGCGCCGCGGCGCTTATTCGTGTAAATACTGTACTAAGCAGCATTACTATGGTATTAAGCACCGCTATCAAATAAGCGCGGCATTTTGGGGAAAAGTTAATAAGCGCCGCGGTGCTAATTCGCGTAAATTCGGTGCATTTCCTTATGCACTGTGAAACTTTAAAACGTTTACAAAGTAACAGTATTTTTCTAAAAAAAAAAACAATATTCAAGCAACTGGAAAACTTTTTTCCTGTGTTTGCATAGCCGGATATAAACACTCGAGGGGTTGGGAGAATTCGAGACAGTTTTGCAAACCCTCGACTTCGTCTTGGGTTTGCATAACTGTCAAGAGTTCTCCCAACCCCTCAAGTGTTTATATCAGGCTATGCAAACACTGGGAAAAAGTTTTCTATCGCTTTAATAAAATAACTTTCCCGAGAAAAAAGAGAAAACTCTTTGTTTAGGTTACTGATTAAAAGAGAAACTCTTACCAGTCGCCAAGTCTTCTACACGAAGCTTAATGTACGTGTAATTAGTTCTTGTTTTGCAATAAAGACGCTTTCAAAAAAAGAGTTTTTCTCGCTTAAAATGTCAGCTTAAGCGAAAAAAAAATTGGCACAACATGTTTGTAAAGATTTTCCAAGTTTCATCCGACGAGAGAATGGGTAAATAAAGTAAATTTGTCGAGTTTTCAACTCAAAAACATTTTGAAATTCGTGCTTGTGTGATAAGCGCGGGACGAGCAAAACACCTTGACTCCACACATGTTTACATGCTCTCATGCAAACACATCTCTCGGCCAATCAGAGCGCGCGTACTATCTTAGTTATTTATAAACGTCGTTATCAGCTGTGCAGGTGTCTTTCGGGCCTGTTTACATGGAGGTGGGGGACCCCAGATAGGTGAGGTAACATGCAGCGAGTCACCCCACCTATGACGTAAACGTAATCAAATTAAAATGAGAGATTATGTGAAAGGGGGGGGGGTTACCCACCAAAGCGGGTTACCTCACCCACCTGGGGTCACCCACCTCCATGTAAACAGGCCCTTAGACTTCTCGTTTTTTGTTCTTAATATTTTAGCTGATTAGATCTCTTTTCTAGAGTTCCAATGTTGACAAGCAACAGGATCTTCGTCCACGGTTTTTGCGGTAAATTTCTTTAACAAAAATGAAGTATGAAAAACTTTGTAAGGCTTACAACAACAACAACAACACTTTATTCACATTTCCATTACAGGGTTTGTCAAACTTATTGAATAATTAGTAACTTAACACGTAGAATATTCAATTACAATTTAAACTAAATATTATTACACAGAAGGAAATGCCTAGCGGCTAGATAACCGTAAGGTTTTCGAGCTGGCAACTAGTTCTTTGAAAGTAGTGTCGAATGTACAGGACATCACAATAACTAGACATACAAAACATCTTAAGACATACACACACCATAAAAAAAAAAAAGTTACAAGTTTTTTTTATTATTATTTCGTCCCTTTACAAGCAATTTATTTGTAAATGTCAGGTTACATAGTGCATAAGGAAATGTACCGAAGCTTATCAAATTTTTTGTCCAAAAATGCGGCGCTTATTTGAGGGCGGCGCTTAAAACCATAGTAATACCTCTTAGTACCGTATTTACGCGAATAAGCGCCGCGGCGCATATTAACCCCAAATGCGACGTTTATTTGAGTAATTACTGTAATTTGCAACTTAAGATTTTATTACATTTAGGACAAAATGTTATTAAATTTAGAACTTTATTACAGTTAGGGTCGTTTATTACATTTAGGCCTTCTGCCATCGGCACACGTTAGACCAAAATTCAAGTGAAGAGACTTTGAAGCTAAACCCAACACACGCAACGCTTGAGTGAAACTCGGACATCATGAGTTAAGTCGGATTCTGTGAAGGTGCCAAAGTTGCCTTTCCAATTGTCATTAAGGTGGCTCCGTCATTAATAGTAGAGCATTTTGCAGTGTGACAGATTTTCCGTCATGACTTTTTCGTTTTTAGAACGATGGCTGCAAAACTTTGGAAAGAACAACAGATATCATTCGGCAATAGTACGAAATATTCTGATTTCATTGATGGTAAATAATATTTCTCGAGAAATTAGCGCTTAAAAGCACACTAGTGTTCAAAGAAAATCGCGTCTAGTGAAACATTTGGCTGATATTTTTTACTGAAATTTCTGGTGTCGGCTTTCATTGACATGGTAAATATGCCGGAGAAAATTTCAGAAAAATCTTTGGAGCAGATGTCCGTAACTAAAAGTCGCTCAAAATTCAGTAGTGAAATTGTTTTGGAATTTCAAAAATAAATTACTATCATGTAGAAGGACCCACCAGTTCCAATTTTTGGGACAAGTAAATTCAGTGTTTACTAAAAATGAAAACAAAAGCTGATTGCCTATCGTGGTATTCTTTAAAAGCTACTTTTTAGTTTTACAAGCACTATAAATTGCTCCAAACCTTTCTCTGACGTCGAATGACTTGTCCCTCGACATTTGTAAAATATCTCTTGGCAGTTTTGGTTCAAACGCCTGCTACATATACTTTGCTGTATTGCAATGCATCCTCAACGGCTTAAAGTTTTCTGCTGAACGTTGCTTCCAATTCAGGAAAAAGGTATTGGGATTGTAAGCTACCTTGTATCGAAGCTCACATAGAACTGTCCAGCACCTTTGTTTATGACCAGAAAATGAGCACGAGCGGCACTTCTGCGAGGAATTCGCACCTCAGCCAGGGGGGACGAATGACAATGAAGCCCGTGTCTATGAACCGATCTGTATAAACGTGTATTGCAGAGCAAATCATAATAATCAAGAAAAAACTACCCATTCATCAAAGGAAGGAGTAACAGAAATTTCAGAGTTGTAAATTAATTCACAGACATTATTTTTGCGATAATTCAATTTTGCAGTGCATGTGATGTAATTAGGTTTACAGGCATGGGCATCGTTGTCGTTCGTCCTCCAAGGCTGAGGTGCGAACTCTTCGCAGAACTGCCACTCGTGCTCATTTTGTAGTAATGAACAAAGGTGCTGGACGGTTCTATGTGAGCTCTAATACGAGGTAGCGTCCAATCTCAATACCTTTTTCCTGAGTTGGAAGCAACGAACTGCAGTAACAGACGTTGAAAATGCATTGCAATATATCAAAATGTATATGCAGCAGGAGTTTGAGCCAAAACTACCCAGAGATATTTTACAAATGTCGAGGAACAAGTCATTCAACTTCAGAGCAAGGTTTGAAGCAATTTATAGTGCTTCTAAAACTAAAAAGTACCTTTTAAAGAATAGCACTTTAGGCAATCAGCTTTTGTTTTCAGAATTAGCAAACACTGAATTTATTTGTCCCGAAAATTCAAACTGGTGGCTCCTTCTACCTGATAGTAATTTATTTTTGAAATTCCAAAACAATTTCACAGCTGAAATTTGAGCGACTTTTAGTTAGGGACTTCTGCTCCGACGATTTTTCTGAAATTCTTTTGGCATATTTATTATGTCAATTAAAGCCGATACCAGAAATTTCAGTAAAAAATATCAGAAATTTTTTTTACTAGACGCGATTTTCTTTGAACAGAAGGGTCCTTTTAAGCCCTAATTTAGCAAAATATATTTACCATCAATGAAATCGGAATATTCCATACTATTGCAGGATGATATCTGTTGTTCTTTGCAAAGTTTCTTAGACATCGCGTTAAAAACGAAAAAGTTATGACGAAATCTTCGTCACAGCTAAATGCGCCCGTATTAATTACGGAGCCACCTTAAATTAAGAGCTACAAACTTATTGGCAACAGCTATAAGACAAAGTTTGTCTTTTCTCTGTTTGTGGGTGTTCAGTATTGTCAGATTACTAAACCTTGTTTGTGTGGTAAGTGACAGATCTGGGTAACCAAAGTAAAAAAAGAGAAAAAAAAATTACCATCCGAATAATATAAGTGGGGGTGCTAAAGCCCCCCAACCCCAGCCCCACCCCCTGTGCGGTCCCTGAATATTATATTCAGAAATTAGGATTGGAATTTATTAGGGAACCAAACTCTCTCAGCCAACCGTTCCGGTACAATGTTCGATGTGTGTGAACGAGTTGCTCTAGTTCTGTGCCGTGTTCATTTCCAGAAAACAGAGAGTGACGTTCACGGGGAGTAGTTATTCTACTTTTTGCAACAAAATCTGTACATGTCGCGTTTTTTACCGACACAAAGCAAACTTGGTTTGCATTAAGTGGCGAAACTCCCGTGTATGCAATGACTCCCGCGAAATTTTACCCAAGCGGAATTCAATATTTACGCAAATAGACCTTTTTACCGATACGGCGGCCATATATTGAATTAATTCGATTTAAGGAGTATTTATAGGATGCCCAGGGGGCATGAGCACATTTCGTTTTTATTTTCGAGCGCTTTTCGGGACATTTTTTCTTAAAATTTTCTTTGAATAAGTTTGTAATGGGAAAAAAAACCTTGTCCCGTGTTTGGATGTAATAATGATCGCCTTTTTCTAGTTTAGTCTTAGAAATAAGGTCTTTCACTGTATATTTCTCGGGAAAAAGGCGATCATTATTGCATCCAAACACGGCACAAGGATCTTTTTTCGCATTAGAATCTTATTCTAAGAAAACTTTAAGAAAAAATGTCCCGAAAAGCGCTCGAAAATACAAGCGAAATGTGCTCATGCCCCCTGGGCATCCTATAATTTTCCTTAAATCGAACTAATTCAATATGGCCGCGGTATCGGTAAAAAGGTCTCTTGCAACTACCTGATTAGTTGCAAGACATGTTTGAACGTGGGTGATAAGATGCGCAACATCAATTTTCAACTTGTTTCGAAGCAATGTTGCTATTAAAACAAGTTGAGCGTTTTTGTCACCCGTTTTACCTTACCTAGTTAAGCAAGCTGCTGAGTAACTGTGCTCTAATTTTCTCCTAGGGCTTACAACTTGGGCATGTCTTCCACCAAGAACAGCAATCTTAACAACCTTCCCCTGGCCCTTCGTTGTGTTATTCCTGTACGCTTGCTTAGAGAAAAAACAGCACAGTATAAATGTAAACGAGAAAGAAAGCGGAGGTGTTAAATATAACAAACTGCCGACTTCTTCTGACACAGACTATTCGGACTCCGCCCCTAGAAATGAGTTAACTTGGAAAGAAAAGTTGTTAGTTGCCAAGCGCATTTTACCCTACATAACTTTCTTGTTCCTCACCTACTTTGCTGAATATCTATCAAATCAGGGTGTCATTACCACGCTTGCCTTTTCCGACTCGTCTTTCAGCCCGAGGGATCATTATCAATATTACATCGTGTGTTATCACTTGGGCAAGTTCCTTGGCAGGTCCCATATTTTCCTCCTCTCCTGCACCTGTTCAAAAGTGATCCCTTATGTGCGCGTCAGGAAAACCTGGATATTAGCGCTGGTAGAAATAGCTCATCTTGTTTTCTTCCTTTTCGCATCGTGGTTCCGTTTCGTTCCGCATGTTTCTATAATTCTTATTCTCTGCGTAACTGAGGGGTTTGTAGCAGGCTCCATGTACTTAAACTCAGCTCACACAGTGTCTGACGTCATTGATGAGCCAAAGGAGAGAGAATTTGCTTTAGGATTACTGACCATCGGCAACGGTTTGGGTCAACTAACTGCAGGATTTTTGGGTCTTCACGTAGAACCACATCTGAAAAAACACTGTGTTTACGATCTCGAGTTAAGGGATGAATGTATCACACGATTCCCGCAACCCTCAGGTTGGACAAAAAATATGCACTGTAATAGCCGTGACTACAATGTTAAGTCGAACTCCACAGGATTGTAGCTAAGATTTTCGTCAAGGTTTTTGTAATGCAACATACAATTTAAAGAGTATTTCAGTCACCTAAAACGTCACTGTGAAATTGCGTTCTTTCACTTGATCGTGGTTACTCCAGCTTCCTCAGGTCGTTGAATATAGGTCAATTTTCCTGGAGCTGAACTGTTAGGGGCGCGTCCGAGGTCAAGAAAAAGAGATGAAAATCCTCGTCATGTGCTTTTCTCACCCTCCACTCAACACCCAACTATCTATTAGTTTACCGGTGTTGTGCGATACGGTAATCCAAGAACAAGCGAAAAGCTTGTGAATCAAAATTCGAACATTGCTTTAATGAAATATACCACTTCAAGAAAAAATAAAGTTTTCTAGTTTTTATTTAAGACTAAACCGATCTAATGAACAACTGCTTGGTTCTCGACGAATCAGAACCCCCGACGGTTTCTCAAGTTATTTAAGAAACTCAAGTCAGCCAATCAGAAATCAGGACTCTAGCCCCGCAGCTGACGAAAAGCGCGAGAAAAAATTGCGTGAAACGCGTGAACCAAGTCGTTCATTTACGCGTAACGCACTGGGCTCGAGAATGCGAATCACTATATTCTGGTCGGATGAAAAACGGCGTGAAAATTCCATTCAATCATTATCATTGGAAAAGGGTTAGTTTAGAAAGAAACTGTGGTGTTTATACGTCGGTGTGGTAGTGAAAGAATCGAATGAGTGTCTTTACCCTCGCAAAAAGATTCAAAAGATGACCTTGAGTGAAGGGTTTCGCCGAAAAGATACCGCTGAATTACGTGACCCACCCCCCTCCCCTACCTTGCTATTTTAAGGTCCTTTTAGGAAAGTTTTAAATGCAGCGCAGGTGATAGATAAATAAAAATTGAATAGACTACTTGGACAAACTTGGCATTCTTCAGCTTTTATTGGGAAAAAAGACACTACGGAATATTATTTCGTTAAAATGTGATTATTTGTAAGATATTGTTGCAAATTGGTTGACGTTACCCTGGACATAGCTCTACCGCTTATAAAAGGCACTGTAATTCGTAATTAAAGCAAATTGGTACTTGAATAACTGCACAGCTTCTTAAAAGGCAGACAAATAATTGAACTCGCTTAATACAATTACTATTGACCACTTTACTTGCACATAACCCCACTTCAAAGCTGCCAAAACTGACAAAAATCTTTTTCTGTAATCTATTGCCATTTTTTTACAAGAGAAAATGACTAGTATACAGAACGTTTGATGAAAAAAATACATGTCAGTTAAAATGAGAAGAAAAGAGCCAGCCTAAAGGCATTTTCAGCTTGCCTGATCTTGCAAGTGCAGTAAAACCCCTCAACTCAAACTTTAATAAACTAATTTAACTTTCAGCAACTATTTTCCTACTAAACCAAACCCTTGCGAAGTCAAGCCATATTTGTTTCCCTTGGGAGTTTGCAAGCACAGTTACCTCTGATGAAAGACCACAGCCACGTGCTATCTATTACAGATAATGGTGTACTTGCCTCTATGCAAGTTTATCAACAACAAACGCAATGCAAGGTAATCTAATATCCGCTTACACAGGTGGTCTCCCAGAAAGGGGATGTTGATGCTGGCTTGCAGACAGACTTACACTGCAACCAAAGGTTTAGTTTGGTCTGTGCTGCAGGCTAGATTCAACCCCCAGCTAACTGAATGTAAATGACACAAGCAATAAGATGGTGATGCCAAAATACTTGCATCAAGGGTGATATATAAGAAAAACAGTGGGAGCCCCTAATCTCTGAATAGGTTAAGGGAAAACTAACATCTCCTCCTTGCCAAAAGGCCAAATTGAGTCACACAGGTAACAAGGCATTGCAAGAGCACAGCATTGTCTAACTTATAATTAAATTAATATGAGTGTTATTTTTCACCCAGTGTCCTATTAAAAGTGCCCTATGTCTATACTGTGGCCAAACAACAAAAAGCCTTTTCAGGTTAATAAAGTTTTATTAGTAAGACAAACCTATTGCATTAGTTTGTTTATCTGCAACTTTGCCTTCCCCTAATGAGTTTTGATTCATGACTCTTTACTGCACTGAAAAGTAACAAACCAATTTCTGGATGGCTTTAAAGGTCCCAAGGTTGCTTTCAAATTAATTATTTTAATTAGCATTTCCATTGACCAAAATCCATCTTTAGTCTAACCAGACTGCCAATGATGCTTCTTTCCCTTATTTGTTTTTATGTCGAAGTAATTAATACCTTGAATGGTGTATTAAAGACTGACTAAAAATTGGGAATAAGGAATGGCAAAGAGCTTTATGCAAATTCATTGGATGACTAAATTACAAATTGTGACAAACAGACAAATTATCAAGACACTTTGATACTTGTACACATATTAATGATGAAAATGTTGATAAGTGATTGACACAATCATATTCTATCTCAATATCCTTTTTAGTAGCTTATCAAGAATGCAAGCCCATCTGAAAAGTTGGTAATCACTTAATGACTAACTTTTTGTTGAGTGGCAACAGTAAGGCACATTGCAGTGTAAATTGAGTCCTTCTGTTAAGGGCCTAGCTTTTAGTGTTTGGCAGGGATTTGTTTACATGTAGCTACATTATGAAACCACCATAATTTAACCCTTTAAGTCCCAATGGTGACCAACATAAATTTTCTCCTAACCGTATCCATGGATCGTCTGGAGATTAGGTTATAAGAATTAATAAATTGATCACCTAAGAGAAAATGCTTTGATCTTTTATCAAATTCTCTCAACACTTTCTTTAAGGAAATGTATAGAGACCAGTTTGGAGAATTTGTATGTGGCTATTGGGGTTTAAAGGGTTAACCTGGAGAAACAACAGTCATTTGTTGTCAAACTAGAAGCTACAGACCTAAATGAAGGTGATTTTCACATAATAATATTATATTTTCTTACAATTAAGATAAAAAAGCCAGTTTAAGGTTTTCTAAGTATAACTTAATGCAATTCATTTTTAAATCTTCTTCCATTTTGCCCACCTATGCTCTGTGCATGTCTGTTAAGTTCTTAAAAAGGGAAACCCTTTAATGCTTTTTTTCAATTTAAGACATGGACCAATTGGTGAAACTTTATCAACACTACCAAATAGAGCACCTTAATGTGAGGGAATAGATTATAATATCTCTGTAAAGTCATAATTTTTTTTAATAGATATTGGTGTGTTGGGGAAGCCAAAAATGTTCTCCCGACTATACCATCTCCTAAAAATTCTGCCACTTTGCAGAGCCATATCTTTGTAAGTTTTTAAACTGCTCATCTTCGCAACTTTACTGATTTCAAGGCACTCTTTGAGGTGGTGTTGATGGAAAAGCTGACTGGCCAAAGTCAAAAATTGAAAAAACCTTGAAATGGTCTATTCAGGAACTCAGGCTATTTTGATATAATTTTATCAAAACTCTGACACACCGCTAAATGGTGAAAGGGAACGATGACCTAGCCCCTTATACTGGACCTAACAGAGTACATATCGGAAAAACCACGGTAGATGATTCACAACTATATTCACAAGGCCCAATCCTACTTCAAAAACCTGTTAATCAACAGATATTTTTGAAAATAAATCAATAATAATAATTCATTACAGTACAGTATATAATCATTTGACAACAGTTTCTTTCACATCTGAAAAGATACCACTCCAGCTTTATTAATCACCAATAATTATAATAATATACATGAAAAACTTTCTTGAATCTTATTGGCTGAGAGCAATGTAGTTTTTGTTAAACACAGGGTAAAAGTGAGGAAATAAAATGCACATATTTCAAAGAATGGAGCACTGTGATTGGCTAATAAACAATGGAGATATAAAAGGACTTATCCAGGGCTGTCATTAAGGTCCGAGGGGCCAAGGATTTCCTCTGGCTTCCATGAATATAACCCCCGGCTTCTTCTGTAAGAAAGTAGAAGAGAAAAGGAACCACAAAAAATCCCTAGCTGCTTAATTCCCCGCCTACTTGTTAGTCTCGCTCCATTAGCAGCGAGACTCTAAAAATGCAAGCGTTTCTTTTTTTTCATATGTGCCTGCCAAAAGGGGGGTTGTGGTCCAAGGGGTTTCTAGCGGAGACTGTGGAAACAGTGTGGCAACGTGTCCCAGAGCCATGCTTTATTTTGTAAACAAAGCTTAGGAAAGATTGATGCCAAAGAACATGGAAAGGGTCAGTCCATGAATTCCATCGCTTGAAAGCATTTATTACTTGGGAACAAGTGAATACTTCTGAGAAAACTTCAATTGTGAGGCTATAAACTGATCGGGTGTTGTAAACGTTTATTCTATGCAAATAAGTCTTGTGATGAGCACGTGGTTTATTTTGGTGATGATTGAAATGACGCATCATGTTCATCACATTTTTGGTCTCTGGCAATGATGTAATTTCTCTTGACTTGATTTTATACACACATACTCAATTATCGTCAAAAATGACATAAAAAGGAAATATTCTGAAGAATACTCGACTGTCAAGAAAGTCCTGTTTTGTGTAGAACTAATTCCCTCCCGATTTATCTAATCTCCAAACAAGCGAGACTTAATGCTTTTTTTAAGAGCGTTCTTGTTGTGTTTATCTGGCAACTTGAAATCTTAGTGACAGCCCTGCCTATCAGGTGCCAAAATCTTTAATACCACGTTGTGGTGACATGTGAGACTGGGTTAATTTTGTGTCGATTATACGGTTAGACTATTTTGGGGATGAATTTTCATCACATAAGTTTTTTCATGTATATTATTAAAGGGTAATTATAAAGCTTTTCTTCAATGTTCAATTTAGAATTTACTAACACTTGTGTGTTTCTCAAAAAGTTCAAATTGCATTTGCTCTACGGAATCAAGCAATTTTCATACTGTTTGAAAACACCCTTGCGCAAATAAATTCCACATTGAACTAAAAATTGTATGATTACCTACCCATATTGAAGGAGTGCCTGGAATTAGCCTCAAGACAATTAGTGAGAATTAGTGATCTCTCATAAATCATTTAATTCTCCTAACAAATACCAGGTTATCATACTATTGAAGTTCACCAGTTTGGACTGAGACTACCTTATCTTACAAGTCATTGGAGTTTGTTGATAAATTTGAAGTCTATTTACATTGTGCATCACCATCATTGCTACCCAATTTCCTTACCACCTTGAACAGCTTCTGCTGTAAAAAAAGAACAAAACTTCATTAACAAAGATGGCACCGAGGCATTTGTATTTCTAGGTTCTGTTGTTGACTCTTGGCAAATCTGTTATAATAATAATAATATTACTTTATTAAGAACATTAATTTAATATTAAAAACAACATCATTATAAAGTCCTTCATGACAAGCTCCAACTTCCAAACTACCAAAAGGGTCACTCTTTGTCCCTTACAACCCCAATATCTACATACAAATTCTCCAGACTTCCATGTATCTCCACATATTATTTCCCTTCAGAATTCGTTGAGAGAATCTGATAAAGAAAATAAGTCATTTTTAGGTGATCACTTAAGCACTTGTCATAACCTTTTCTCTTGATTTTGTATTGATATTGTTAAAGTTGGTCACTTTTGGGACTTTAAGGGGTAAGACAGAATTGCCATTAATTTTCACTTCACTTTAAAATTCTCAAGCCAGTTTTATTTTGAAATCTTATGATTTAGAATTCAGCTAACACAATTTCTATCCAACAAAACGCAGGGTAAATTCAAGATCAATCAAACACATAAGAATAAAAAACAACAAACAAATAAATAACCCAAGTGGCAGGTTCTGAATGGTTTCTTTTGGTAAGTTTTTTATTGAGTGTGCAAGGAAACATTAGGGAGAGGAGGCGCCTGAATTGAAGGCCCTAGGGAGTTATTCTGTCACTTCAATGCATTATTAATTTGTCAGTCAATGGAAATTTAAGTCTTGTAAACAAAACATACATGCAGCACATCTATTTTTTCCAAACTGATGACAAAAATTATCGTCAGTTTTTGAAAATGTGTCTGCATTGCAAAAGAACTGTTTGAATTGTGATTGTAAGAGGTTTTTAATTTCCCTTGCACTGTTTTTTTCTTGGTAGAGATCTCATGGCAGTAATACAAACCAGGTTCAGAAAAAGTTTAATTTTCCAGTTATTTGTTCTGCTGACTGGGGTGCAAAGACTTTAACCGACTGTGCATTGAAGCATTGTCAATATTTCCCTGTCACAAAGCATAAATTGGGATCACACAGCAAGGGTAACTGAAGCAGCAGTGGACCAAATTATGAATTAATTGAAATCACCATCATTGTTTGACATGAATATGGGAGCATGTTTAGTTGACAAAAACCTCTCTACTAATTTAAAATTGCATTGTTTGTTTTATGCAAATATAAACAAAACACACAAGGTTATTTTCCTCCTTGGGTATGAACATGCCTCTTTCATGTTGCTAACTGCTTTCAAACATTTTTTATGCAGTGCTGTCATGTGCTGGTGTAAATGGGAAAGCAGGGTTCTTTTCTCCCCTTGTGCATGAACATCCTCCATATTTCTCCTTTTGCCCTAAAATCACCCATGTCTGCTACTCAGGCTACAAAACAAACAACTCAAACATTTCTGGTATACAAAAAAAGAAACTTACATGTTTCAGAGAGATTTTCCTTGTTCCTCATAAGAAAGGATTGCTCTGCACTTGTTGGGGTCTTGGACCAGATTCTGGAATAAGAGGTGTAGGCAACAACACATTTCCACCCATATTGGGCATACTGCTGACGGTACCAATACCAACACCTGGTGTCTCACGAAGCTGGTTCAATGTGGGAGCTTGGGGTTTTTCTTGGACAAACGGATTTGTTGACTTAGCAACCACAGGTTGGCCAGGTAAAAATGGGTTTTTGACAGTGTCAGGCTTCTCGGTAAGCAAATCTAAGTTCACCAGATTAGAGACACTGTTATCCAGGAATGATGGCTGCTTTGTTGGCTCAGGGCCTTGATTATTGCTTGGTATGCTGAATGCTCCAGCTGGGGGTAGGCCTGGGAATCCTCCTGCAGCGTTATTCTGGTTAAATGCATCAAAGCTTTGACTAGGGGCTGGTTCCCAGAGGTTTTGTGGCTGTGATGCTGTTGGTGCAGGGAATGAACCCCCTCCTCCCCAAGGGTCACTTGCAACAGGTGCTACAGGTGGGGCGGCTTGCACAGGGGCTGCCCCCCAAGGATCACTGCTTGTTACAGCTCCCATGCTGGCTGTTCCATTAGCTACAGCAAACAAATTCTGGGAAGTGTTCACAGGCATTTGGGGAGGTGGTGGACTAGAACCCCATGGATCAGAAGTAGTACTGGCACTTGAAGTGACACCACTCCCCCATGGATCAGGCTGTGGCATCGGCATTGATGCTGGAGGAGCTGCGGCGGCTGGTGCAGAGCCCCATGGGTCAAACGTTTCTTGAGGTGGTGGTGGTGGTGGTACACTGACTCCACTGGCAATATCTAACAAACAAGGCTCTTGAGGGTGCCCTGATTGTTTTTGGCTTTGATTTATTGCCAGCTGAAGGCGTTGATCTTCTCTTTCTTTCATTTTCTCCTTCTCTTCAGCTTCTTGTTTGCTGAGTGCCAAGGCAAGTTGTAGCTGCAGTTCCTCTTCATTAGCATTCGATGGACGGCAAGTTTCCATCTCACTTCCTACAACTTTCCTTTCTGGTTCCCATGAACGGCTTGTAGGCGCTGTAGAGGTAACTGGGACTGACGAACTGTCAAAACGGATGTCAGAGGCGCTGCTTGTGTCTCGCAAGTTACCTGATTTTAATGAATCACTTCCAATCCCCGAACTGGCTTGAGCGAATCTTTCCTTCGCCTTCAAAGCTCGCGCTCTTTCGCTCTTCAATCTATCTTCGTCTTTTAACAACGCAACAAGTTGTTTTGCTTTTTCTCGCACATTCATTCCCTGATCCTTACCGTCTTTATCAATAAACTGAAAATCCTTCAAAGTTTGAATGGCGTACAAGTTTTCTCTGCACTGCTGTGCGACCCTTTCAGAGCCGGTCTTAATGATATAATCCAAAACTACCAACGACTTGTATACATGCCTCCAATTTTTTCCGTGATCGTTAAGTCTTTTCCATAGCATCCCCATAATTTCCGAAAAGGCGACAACGTTGTAAGTAGCATCGGCAATTTCAGTCATCACAGAACTTGACGGGCCCCAAGGATCGTTTGACGTCGCTTCGCGGACCTTTACTTCAGCGTTAGAGTAGTTGTTAACCACATTTTTTAATTGACGCCTAACGGACATGATTGACCCTTAAAGTTACTCTGCAACCAGTGAAAAAAATGGAATCAACAAGGTCTCAACTTCCAATAATCCGATGTCAAATATTCCTGTAAAGATGGCGGACTATTCCAACGCCTCGCAGCAAACATAACAGATTACCCCCTGCGATGCTTTCCGCACGTGTGAGCACTGGGACGAGATTGACGAAATCACGACTTCCGGAGGAAATGAGTCAGGTTTGAAGGGTGCAATGGCTGGAAATATTTGTTCAACTTCCCGTGTATCTGGTACCCGTAATTTCTTTCTGAAGTGACAAGACCTTGTGTCTTATCAGCTCATTAAGGCACCATTTACCACGTACGTAGGAAGTACGTAGGATGGTTACGATTGAAGTACTGTAGGTTAATTTGATTGAGCAGTCTCAAAAATTTTATCGCATGTTTTAAATAGTTTTGCTCATAACAAAAATAATTTCATAATTTCAGGAAATTCTGGCGCCTTATGTGATATTTTCTCTCATGTGAATCGTCTCAACCACGGGGAACGATGAAGGGCAGCTTTGAAACACAATTCGTCCACCGGTAGAAAGACAAAATATTTTAATACGTAAAAATAATGTATGAGATTTAAAAAATGATGAAATTCATGATTCCTTCAGTGCTAAAATGATAAAATCTGAGTCGTCTCTGAAAAACTGAGCTACAAATTTCAATAGTTGGAAGAAATGGTGGACAGGTTTGTCACGCAATCTCTTGACAAATATTTCCCATGATGCCTTTGGGACGGATAGCAGGATCGCGGGAGCGGGAGCAGGGCTACAGCGGCGGGAGCGAGCATTTTTTCGTCATGGGTTTTGTCAGGAGAACTTGTAAGCTGAGTGTTTTCGCCTTAATTCGATTGTTTCCGTTGTGGGAACAGCCACAAAATGTAATAACATGAGCAGATTAGACCTTTATGCAGGTAAGAACACTACGAGGTTTGTTCATTAAGATTTCAGTATAACCCTATACATGTATACATGCATGCAGCAATCATATTAAAGCTTACTTTTCGACAAATAGGTTAATTTTGTATGCATAATAAATGTAGGGGTTGAATATAATATCTTACCCTGAAGATTAATTCACCCTTGAAGACTTCCATAAAATATGGGTGGACACCCTGAGGAATATGACTCTGAATTCCATATTTTTTTACTCTTCTCCTACAGAAATTCTCATTTTTTGTATCCTGGGGGGCGGGGGAGGGGGGGATATTAAATGCACATGCTGGCATTTGGTTCAATTCTCAGCAGCCATTTGTGGTAAGTATACCTGCCAACTCTCACGCCTTAGACGTGAGTCTCACGCCTGCGGGTTGAAAACTTCGATCTCACGCCCGCTCACGCCTGTGGACCAATTTCTCACGCCTGATTGAAAAATGTGAGTTGTTGCCGTCTTGCTTGACACAATTTCCAAAAATATGTTAACTCAGACCCATGTAAGGAACGAAAACCATGTGTAAAATGAATACATGACAATACCTTCCTCGCGATCTCTGATTTTGTGGATAAGCGTTTTCTCGATAACTTCGCCTTCGGACGTCTTCGGAAGACTTCGGACTTCTTCGGGAATCTTCAGAAATGATCGTGTCGTTTTCAAAAATCCCAGCACTCCCAGGATAAAAATCTCACGCCTACATCTCAGAAAAAGTTGGCAGGTATAGGTAAGGAGCATTGCATAACGACACCAAAAACAGCTGTGTAGTAGATTACCTGGGGGCGCTCTTGGGAATTATTGTTGGGGGTGTGCTATCCAGCTCTCCAAATCCTGACCCTATTTCAGAACAACAAGAATCATTTTCCATACCCATTTTCAGACCTGGCCTGTAAAGTCCATACCCTTTTTCAGACCAAACAAACAAGGGTTACAAACATGACATACTTTATTACAGTACGACTACTATAACCAGGGCCACCTAGACTAAGTTGACTAGTCAGCTTGCAGGAAGATAACAATACATTCAGGGTTGTCAACAAGTTTTGAAGTAAAGTAAGAGGCCAGTGCAGGGATATTTTATTTTAAAAACGCCATCCGTAAAGAAATGCTAAGCAGCGTAGCCAGCCGATACTACCAAGTAGGAAGCAATTTTTGCTGGCAGCCGGCTACTTTTGACAACCCTGTACATTCCAAGAAGTTGGTCGTCAATCAAAATCGAAATAAACAACATGGATTGAAAGCAAACATATTATTACAACCTGCAGATGTGACTTTTTGAACGTGCTGAAGAAGGCCTGTCTTTCCTGAGAGATCTGTTAGAGTGAATTCATGACGGAGGAAAAACATAAACATTTGTTAAACTTTTGACTTGAGGTAGTGATGTTATTGCAAAGCACAGCAATGTAGCAAAGAAATTGCTGGTAGATGACCACAAAATAACAGTTTGTGTCAAACAAATATGTCTCCTGGATGTTATGTGTAAAGTTTCAAATAGAAAAACATTGTCTGGTGAAACATTTTGCTGTCTTGAAAAAGGTTTGCTATCAATACTTAATTTTAATGTGCTTCAAGTAACTTATTGTTTTATTATGAACTGCTGATTGGCCCACAACCAACTTTCTTGAAATGTATTGTGATTTTCCTGTAATCCAATTGGTCAACTTTGCCTTATAAAAGATTTGTCTAAACTCAATTTTAAAATAATGATTATGCATTGTTATAAACTGTTTTGACTGTACAATGATGAAAGTGCTAACATCTGTCATCTCTATTGCTTTGCATAAACCTTTTTTCAACTGAAGATGCTGTTAGCTGGTAGGTATAATTACATTTATCACTTTTTAAAAGTTAACTTACAGTGTTCATACAAAATAAAGATATTGTTGTTGAAATCATCATTTTAGGACAGATTTGCAGTGTAATATATAAACATGTATGTTGTTATTATACATGTAAGTTTAGTTTTGGAGGGAAAAAATTGCTTTGATAATTTGCAAACTTAACAGTATATTTATCTTGATCCAGGAAAGTTGTGGTAAATATTGTAGTTTATCTATTCATTATAGGCTTGAGGAAGCTGTGTCAGAAAGTAAGAAAGCAGATAATGTTGACCTCAACATCTTAATCGGAAACTGCAAGAACACTTATGAGTGTATTCAGATGCTTCTTCCAATAGAAGAAGATGTACTTAAGTTGGTGAGTACAATGCTGAATGAGGCTAGCTTACCTGCTGGCCTCTGGATAATCAGGGATACATTATCAATTAAGTGCGAAAACCAACTTGGGCAAGATCAGTAATTTTTTTACAAATTGGTATGGTGAGTCCTGAGACTCTTCTTGTGAAAAATCATCAAAGTCCCGGTCTAGAACCAATGAGTCGCAGTTAAAAAAAATAGAGTCCAAAATTGAAAATGCTTGGGCCTTTACATAACCAAACAGTTAATATGAGGACAGACTCCAAAACCCTGTATTACATTATACTGAAATTAAAGTATATTCCTTCTATTGAAACACAGCAAAGGCTACAAGAAAGACTCATCACAACAGCCATAATAACTGCCACAGAAATTACATGAACAAATACACATGTTGAGATCGATCAATCAATCTTTGCATCCTATGGGATGCATGCCATGAATAACTTTGCGTGTTTGGGGATTTTTATGCATCAGCAATGCAAGATGCAGAGGTAACAAAATCAATGCAAGATCTTTTTGGGTTAAAATGAAAAGTGAAAACTGTCCTGTGCTGTAACATGACCATTTGAATGGAAAAACTTTAGCACAACTTTGGTTTAATGCCAGAGTCGCACATGGGAGGTTGGGTGCCTAGGAGCCTGGGGGCTGGAGCTGCCGACTACTAACCCAGGTAGCAAGAACACCCCATAATCCTGCCAACAACCCAGCTTAGAGCCCCACGTACTTATTGCATATACTCAGCAATTTGATATCTTTGTGATAGGCCTGATCCACATCAGTTGACCATTGATTTTTTAATAGAAATTTTGTGGAAAGTTCACATGACTGCTTTTTACCACCTAATTTTGAGCTTTTTTTTTCTAGGGGGCTTTGAACGAATTGTCCTTGTCACTGCAAGGTTATCTCGAGATTCTTTGTAACAAGAAAAGCCAACTTGATGGAGTTAAGATCAATGAGACAGGCATGCTCTATGGTAATGTCTAGTTTCTGGGATCATTGCAATAACCCATTTACAATGTGCGCCGGCTTCAGGTCTTGCTCTTTATAAATGGTTGTCAGTATGTAAGATTTTTGACTGATAAGCTCAAAATGGCAGAAAACCTTATAGTTTTTATTTATTGCTCTTTTTGTTCACAAAAACTGGACTTATATTTATTTTTTGCTACTTTGTTATTACTGTAACAAGGCCGTGCTCTAAGGAAAATTGAAGGGAGCCCAGTCCTCTGAATCTGTAAAATCTAGGGTGCCCAGCGTATGATTTGTATGAAAAATCTGTGATTTTCTAGTCGCCCGAGGGCAAAAGTTAGGCGCCAGGGGCCACCGGGCTCTGCTAGAGCACAGCCCTGTGTAACATGTTTAGTTCATATTGGTCACTCAAACTCTCTCATTCATCTCCTGAATTCATAGAAAAAGGAGCTGTAAAGGATGATGATGACTGTAAAAGGTGAGTTGTCATAGTCAACCACATAATTCCCAGCCTGGGTTTCTTCACTGTGACCTGTCTTATTCCAGAGGACAGGGAGAGGAGAGAACCCAGAAAGCAGGTGTTATCATTATTACGTTCAAGTGTCCAAGACTGGACAATAAAATATATTAATATACTGTATTACCTGAACTGTGATCCCTTGCAAGGCTGTGCTCTAAGGAAAATTGAAGGGAGCCCAGTGCTCTGAACCTGTAAAATCTCAGTGCCCAGCATATGATTTGTATGAAAAAATTGATATTTTCTAGTCGCCCAAGGGCAAAAGTTGGGCACCATGGGCCACCAGGCTCTGCTGAAAACAGCCCTGCATTGTAACTAGCACTCATCTGTTTTTATTTAACTCTAGGAGTGAATAGACCTTTATCATGCAGCAGCCATTTTGTCTCAGGAGATCTAACAAGCTTTCTTTATGCACACCTAGCCTCAGTCTATTGGTTGAACAGATGCTGGCATCATTCATTATTTTAAGAAGGACAAAGGAAAACTAGATAAACTAGATATAGAGCAAATATAGAGCAGCTGTAAATATTTCTTAAAAGAGAATCTTTAAGGCATACTTTGATGTTCTTACCAGAATGTAATAATGTCTTTCTGCCAATGATTAATTTTCAAATGCAGGCGTAGGGTAGCTATTGAAGACACCATTTTACAAAAAGGTACTGTGAAATTCTGTGATGTTGTGGGCCTTACTAATGCAAAGCAGGCATTAAAGGAAGCTATCATTATGCCACTACAGTTTCCACATCTGTTCACAGGTGAGATTATTTCACTATGTTCTTTATCGTAATAGGCCCTTTGCAGCTATAGTCAAATCTGTATATAACGGCCACCCTCAAGACTTGAGGAACTGGCTGCTTAATACAGGTGGCCTCTTAATACAGGATCACTAAAAGTACTAGCTTACTGGGCATGGTCTAATGTCAATTTTAATGGCGTATCTTACAAAAACACTTCATGCAAAGAAACAATAGGACAATCAACGCTCTTTCAAATCATCAATTCTTCAACTTGTAACTTAACGGTATAATATATGTAAGATCGTGTAAAAGCACTGTGCAATAAATCTGATGACATCTGAAAAGGGATAACGATACTAAACAGGCGAGTATCAGCTTACAGTAGCTCATGTTATTTCTTTATAGTGATGATGGATCGCATTTTAAACACAATAAAATACCGCATAAAATGACATATGGCTTAGTTTCCGTTCAAGGGCAGGCCCCTTAATACAGGGAAAAATAACAAAGAAAGACAAACGTGGGACTGCTACAGGGTGGGTGGGTGGGTGGCCACAGTGGCCACAGTGTGGGTGGCCACAGCAGCTTATAGAGGTGGCCACCTAATACAGGTAACAAATACAGCGTTTGTATGAGCGAAAATTCAGGACTTTGAAAAATGGCCACTTAATAGAGGGTGGCCGCTTAATACAGGGCCATTATATAGTCATTCACCCCATGCTGGAGAGCAAGAGATGCACTGGGACAAGAAAAACAAACAGCTTACATCATTTAAAATGGTAATTTCTTTTGTTTATCTTTTCCCAGTGTGTTCCTTGCTCTCCAGCATGGTGGTTTTGAACCACGTAAGCGACTAGCTGCAAAGGACCCATTACCACAGTAGATAGGTTGTTACAATTTTAAATTATTCTAACATAAGAGTCAGTGCATTTTTTTTAATTTCCTTGTTGAAAAAAATAGCATTAATGTTATCAACACTAACTTACAGGTGTATTTGATGGCCTTAACCACTCATTAATTTCTTGTTAAAAAAAAAACTTTTAATAACACCGTAGCTGAAGTTAATGAGCACCCCATTACCCCATAGGAAGGTCATTCTCCCCTTCCTTTGAGAAGCAAACCACTCCTTAAGTGTAAAGAGCTTTTCATGGTAAATACAACAGCATGTTGCTTGTTAAGGGTTATCCCATGCATACTTTGTAAATGTAGGGAGATTTGTATTTACCAAAAAGTTTTGATAACTGTTTCAACAAATAATAATAATTTATTATTATTTATGAATAATGGATTGATACCATTAATGCTCTACGTGTGTCTTCTTTGTTCAGGCGGTCGACAACCTTGGCGCAGGATACTTCTGTATGGACCTCCAGGGACAGGTGATCATTTACAGTCAAACCTCTATTAAGAGACCCTTTGTTGAACAGTCACCTTCTATGAAGTGGTCACCAATCAAATTTCCGCAGTTTGTTTTCCATTATTTGTATAGGTAATAGAATGATTTGTAGTGATATCAATTGGCATAAATACCACGAGTGATATTTCAAAATTGTTATACGTAATTTCACGAGCTTTTAGGCAAGTGAAATTTCAGACAATTTTGAATTATCACGAGTTGTATTTATGCCAAATATCACGTACAAATCATGCTATTAATTGTTTATACTACTACCCGTAGAAGGTTTGTAATTGTCACATGTAGGTATTTCAAATAAAGCTGAAATACCACTGCTCTAAGCCAATCAAATTGCAGAAATTTCTCATGTAGTAGTATAAACTGTGAAATATTAATTTTGACCTCTGTTGAGCAGTCACCTTACCCTTGGTTCCAGAGGTTATTTTTTTGTTATCTAATTCCTGATAGTTCACGACAACGCTGCAACAGCAAGGCACAGTCTTAAGCATTATTAAAGAGAAAAAAAACCTCTGGTCACAGGAACTACGAGTCTCATTTCCATGCAATTTTAGGATCATAATATCTCACCAAACCAGGGTTTGGAGCTGATGTGCACGTTTGTTTTCGTTGACTCTGAGAGCTTAAAACAGAATTGTCACAGATTCCTTTCCAAAAAGGACACTTCAAGTTTCAAGCATGTAAAAAGGACGGAAGAACACATTCTGTAACTAGCTGTTTTTAGAAGTCAACAGGATAACAATTAAGAATTTCCTGTCTGCAACGCGGGTATTACTGTATCAGGTCGAACTAAAAATTGCCAGACAGAGTGGCTATGCTAAGCAATATATAGTTAGTTGCTGATTTTGTAGCAAATAAACCATGCCACAAACTACAAAAAATTAGGAAAGAAAGAAAAAAAACTCTGGCACCCAGGGTACTATTCGTTAGAATTCAACTTTGTGCAAACAACAGTGCAGAAATAGTTCCAGCATGACAAAGCACAGCAGGAAATCATCACATTCTTTCAAAGTACGTCCTTTTGTTTGATAAATTCAAACAAAGCTTCTTCCTCATCCAACTTTGATTCAGTTGTCAGATGTTTGCATATTTCGAAGTTTAGTCAGAGATTGCTGAGCCGCACTTCTAAAAGAACTGAAGATGGCCTTTCCAAATTGTTTGTTATTAACATCGAAACCAGTTTTCAATCTCATGCGGTGAAGTTCTTCTGTGGAGCCAATCAAGTTTGCTGTTACATCATTAATTCCCTGCTGACATGGGTGAAACCAATCAGCAGCCCAGTTCAGATTCTGAACTGATTCTCACATCCTGGAAATGAGGTTGCCTGCTTGTGTGACCAGAGGTCTGTCTCTGGAGCTTTATCAACCTGTAAGCATGGTTTATTTCATCAAGTTAATTCAAGAATGGACCTCTGGAGCCAGGGTACAATCACCTCTTTTTAACCGACATGATTAACCCTCAGTCTTAATACTTCACAGTTGGTTAAATTTAATGTATTTCACCTCAATGAAACGGTGGTCACCTACAGCTCTATAACAGCAATGTTTTCACAGAAAGGTGAAACATACATGTCCACTTTTGTCAAACGGCTTATTCTAAAGCTATGTTTAAATTTTCCTGCATGGGCCTGTGACCTGATGGCAGCTCAGCTTATTTTCAGGCCCTTTTTATATGACCAGCTTCAATATATTGTAGCCAACCCTATAAAGAAAAAAATAGATATTCAAGCAAACCTCAAGATCAATTTAGTAACTTGTTTCCCTTGAGGACATTTCCCTTGTCCACAGCATAGGCATCTCTAGGAAATTCTTGAGTAATGCATCAGTGTCATTTTGTTCATGTTTGTTTGCAATCATGTAAATGGAGTGCTTGTAAGCTGACAAGAACAGTACATCTATTTTTTTTTTGTGACTGATTTTGCTGATCATTATAATTTATTATTTTGGTACAGGTAAAACAAGGCTAGCCCAAGCAGTAGCATCAGAGATCAACTCAACTTTTTACAGTGTGTCCAGTTCTGATCTTGTGTCCAGCTGGGTTGGAGAAAGTGAAAAGTAAGTATGATGGACACTAGCCATGGCACATGAAAGAGTTAACAAAATTTGTTCAGACAGAAGCTTTCTCCTTTTCTATTAAAAAGCGCCCTGACTGAGTAACTTATGTCAAACCCCAGAAAAGATTTGTTGTTATTAATTTATCTTTTTTAGTTACTGTTGTTTGTACAAAAGAGGAAGGGCACCTAAGTAAAACATAATGCCCCTCAGAATGGAATTCCCACTAAAAGAGTAATAATTTATTAAAAACACACAAACAAAAACGACTTGTATTTTTTAAAATTTTATTTAAAATAGAAAACTATGGCAGTTGAAGACAAGTATATTATCATTTGGTGTCACATTAAATTATTGTAACTCTTCAGACTATGTTTTGCAGAGCTTACTGAGTTTTCCTTTCACTATTAAGAACAAAACTTTTATGATAAACTGGAACAGAGAAATCAGACAAGCTTCCTTTAAAATGCACTATTATTAATTTCAAATAATTATTTCTCCGTTTCTGATTGGCTAAAAGCACACTCTCAATTCACCATAACCAGGTACTGTTGACCAAATCTGGAAGACTTTTGCAATTAATCAACCAATGACGTCAAAAGTGCAGCAGAGTTGAAGGTTAATGCACCCTTAACCCATTCGCTCCTGGAGATTTTGCCGAAAAACGCCTTTTGAAGCTAGTCGAGTGGTTTTCTGGTCACTGTCGTGCTATAAAGAGCTAAAACTTACCACAAACCGGTTTACAGGTCGTACACTTCGCAGCCCTCTGATCCAGATGCAGAATATCACCTTGCAAAGTTCGGGCATGTGCAGAAAGCAAAATTTTGACTTTTAATTACTTTTCACTTTCTCTCCTCCCTTCTTTTTTCGCTTTTCTTGCCTCATTTTTTTTTTCTCTTGCTGGGCATTTAGTAGGCTTCATGTTGGTGGGAAGAGCTTTTAGGAAAGCTTTTTAGCATCTTAGCTAGATTAGGTCAAAGGAAAGGTAGGTGAGCAATGGAACAAGATTTTCATGGAGATTTTCAGGTCAATGTCACATGGTTTTTTGCTTCTTTCTCCGGTGTCCTTGACTGAATTGTGCTCATTCTGGTATGGATTGAAAGATCTCTTCACTCTGCACAAGTTAGCGAAGAAAGTTGCCTATGACCGTTAAAACTGATGGCATTACAAAGGGTAGAAAGGACCTGGATCCGCACGGGCGGTTACGGGCGGTTCAGGGGCGAATGGGTTAACCGAGAAGACCTTGGGAAGAGATTGAGTTGTTTTGGTTGTGAAAAGAAAAATGGCGGAACAGTCGACAGAACATTTTCCTCATTTCACAATGAACTATTGTCTGAAAACATAGCAAGAAGACAACTCAACGGACAACGTCTGCTATTTGGAGTTTATTTGCAAACCTGAACAGCCCTTTTTCTTCTCAACATGCACTATCTAGGTGAATTTAACATCAATGAAGGTAAAGCATGTTTTAGCTTGCTTTAAACAAGGTATTATTTTGAATGAATAATAAAGCAATTAATGAATTTGGCTTTCATAGGATGTAAAGGATTATGCAGGTCTCAGAGGGTGTTATCCACCGAGGCCTTTATAACACCCTCCGAGATCTGCATAATTCTTCATATCCTGCTCAGCCTCATTCATTAATTGCTAAGTAATTATAACTCCACCCAACTATTTTAATCCGTTAATGTTTTCTTTCAAGACTTATCAAAGAGCTCTTTCACAATGCAAGAAGTCAACTAGGTCAATCGGTGAGCATTACACTCTAGAATAATTTTTTTCCGTGAATCCAAAAGTCTGTTAGCTGTGCTATTAATTTTAGTGTTACCCCCATAAGAAAAAGATTTTACCTTGCATTACCTTAAATCTAGTCGCAGAATAAACAGTACCAATGAGATTCTTACAATTTTATTCTTATTGCCCAGGCTTAATGGCAATATTTTGTAGACTTGATATTTTTCCATGATTTTCCTCAGTGGGTAATTTGGTATAACACTTAAAGCTTATTTCCACTCCATGGTATTTCTTCATAAATTATTTAAATTAACTCCTATTGTTAAGCTTACATTGAAGTCTTTCTAGTGAATGCTTCCATTTTCCATGATTAAATTTCAAGGTTATCTGCCATAGAGACTAGTATTAAATTCGTTATTAGTATTGAAAGTTTGATTGTATAGTTGAGATACTACAACTATCTATTTTTATTGTCTAGAGGCAGGTAGCTGTCATGAAATTAAAAGATCTATTTAATTATTTTATTTTCTATTTTTTACTTATTTGGTCTACTAGGTTGTTTTTATAGATGAGATTGATAGCATCTGTAGAAAGAGAAGTATGCGTGAAGACGAGTACACAAGAAGAATAAAGACTGAACTACTTAAACAGGTTATAATGATACTAGTTTAAGTAAATTTTGTTCATAATTCTCTTTCAGTAGCAACTCTAAAAAGAATACTAAATTCATTTTTTTTATTTGAAAAACATTATCTTTTGTTATTATAAATAATTATTTTTATTATTCACATTTTCTGCTGTTAACAGATTGAACTTGTTTTGTTGTAGATGGAAGGTACTGATCATAGTGCTTCACCTCAGCATTTTATCCTGCTGTGTGCTACAAACTGCCCGTGGGAACTAGATACAGCCTTTCTGAGAAGATTTCAAAAAAGAATATATATTCCTCTGCCAGATAAGTGAGTAATTAACATTTATTTTCTTTAGAAACAATCTTATAATTGTACGAAATAATTTTAATTAATGAAAAAGTAAGGGAAAATAAAGATTAAGAATAAGTCAGGGGAACTTTTCATGCAATTCTTCTGTTTCAGTAAGTTTTTATCAAACAATTTTTTAAAATACATTGTCATTGGATGAAAACTTTCCTTTTCGGAGTCCAAGAAAAATGCTTTCTTCTGAGCCATCAGAACCACCACAACACCTCTCTTGCTCTGTGTCAAAAATTAGTGTCCTGCTACGTACAGGATTAAAAGTTCAAGATGAACGTCTCTGTTGAGATTTGGTGTCAATACTGGGAATCTTGATTGTATATTCGTGGTAGATGTAGAAAATGGGTAGGCCACCCTTATTTTTTGGACCAAACTGTGGTGCACGGGCCAGGGCAGTAAAATATTTCCCAGAGTGCCTTGATGTTCCTTCCTTATCTTTGCATGCATGTAGATGGGCACTGCTTATCCCTCTCCCACCTCATGGTCTGCAGAAATTTCTTAAACAAGCTTCAATACTAGCAAGTGAGAGTCTCTTTCTCCAACTTCTTCTGAGAGAAAAGTAAAAAATTATTTATTTGCCACTTGAGACATGAATCAAAATAATAATAGTGCTCATACACTTTTCTTTAATTTATTATTTATAGAGAGGCAAGGATTGCATTGATCAAGATGCACTTGGCAGCAACTCCTGTATCACTCTCCATAGAGGACTGGTGTTTGTTGGGTGACAGAGTGGAAGGGTTCTCTGGAAGTGATTTGTCTAACTGCACATCAGATGCCATGTTTGAACCTGTGCGTGAATTAGAACATAATGCTCATTGGAAACTAGACAAAAGTAAGATTGCCTCTTCTACTAAGAAAAAACTAATATACAAAGTCTTGGTGGGTAAAGCTTGGCCAGGAAAAGCCAGCAGTGCTAAGATAGAAAGCGGTTTAACTGGATAATCCACTGGGTGAGGGGCCTTGGCACATGACCCCATACCAAGGGGGTGCCTCGTGCTTGTACTACAAGGCAGGCATGCATGTTTCACACATCTGTGTAGCTAGGGTTATGTTCTTAGCCAAGTTTAATAACCAAGTCCCATGAATTCCCATGTCCCTTCCCTACCAACTGGGGTCCCAGTCTCATTTTGTTGCATTATTATCATTCTATTCTGATGTGTTTTTACAGATTTATTTTACAGTCCTTGTTCAGAAAGGGAAGACGATTGTATACACTCATTATTAATTGATCTCCCATCTGATAAGGTGAAGATTAATGACTGTTGATGGTTATTGTTGCTTTTGATAAACAAGTTCTGCAATTCCTGGTAAATTAATCAACTCTTAATACTTCCTGGGTCCTGTAAAATACTTTAATTTTTTACAAAATCGCTTTTTTCTACCTACTCCTGGAATTTTTTGATAAAATGCTGTGGCTATTGAATTATTTTGACATTTGTTGCCTTTTCCCTGTAAAATAAGAAGTAAAAATGATGTTCTTAGTTCTGGTCCTAATAATTTTCATGTTAAAATTTCTTGGAAAACACCTGGAATTTCATTTTCCTTTTCCGTATATACAGTAAAACATGAAAACATTGAGACTAATGGTGGTTATCATTGTTTATAAACAAGTTCTGTATATTACAAGATAAGGAGAGGAAACCTTTCAACTCATAATCACATACTACAATACTACATGTAATACAAATTCAAAAAAGTGTATGGGGAGCTTACAAATATTACTACCAATGCTAATATTGTTTTGTGTTTCAACAATATTAACAAGGTCATTTAAAATGATAATATATAGATTTAGTCTGGGCTAAAAGCAAAGCTCAAAGAAAATATTCAATCAAGAAAAAAAAGACAAGGTGAAATCTGGCAACACGAACGGTAAAAAATAACAATAGATCTAATTAGAAAAAAAAAACTTTGTACGTGCAGCACACTTTTTTTCTAGTTAGCAAACAAACAACTTTTCTTGTGCTGCACACTTTTTTGTACATTTCCTTGCCATTCTTTACTTCCTATTTACATGTTCTAAGGAGGAAATGTTTGTATTGTGTACTTCGGCCCTAGCCTCTTCACACTGTTTTTTCACTGCCACTCATTTTCACGTTGGTATCCACAAGCATTTCTCATTTTCTCACCGCTGCTATATAATTTTCATGTTTTTCTTCCAACAAAATTGGTCTCCGTTGTTATTTATTTCTCGCTCTAGCTCTTTCCCTGTTATCCAAGTTAATGTAGACATTAAACTTAAGTGGAAAGAAAGACTCATTTTTTTGTTGTTTGTTTTTTCCTCTCTTAAAACGTATCCATGTGATTTACCGCTGAAACGAGTGGGGTGCTTGAAATGCAAACTTTCACCTCAGCTATAACATGCTCCTTCCCTGATGGGCATGACTCCTGACTCCCTTCCCGCTCCCCCAGAGTCTGTACGGTCAGCGTTCGGTCGTATGGTGACGTGATGACCAATTTTTCTTGGATAGATGGATTACCAAATTTTCTTAGCTATGCGGCTCTGCTCTTGTGTGCTCTTGTGGAGCTCCACTTTTACTACTGATACAATGTAAATTAAAAGAAAGAGATTTACCAGTTAATTCTGTAGATCAGTCCTTGATTCCCTCAGGCCTAGGCCAAACGTCAAACATTTCATGAGACGAGCCAACTTTATTTAGTTAAGTCCATGAAAAGTTTGGCGTCTGGCTCAGTTGAGTTTGACTGAATGAGTTTGGATCGTCCAACATGTTCTTTCTGTCTGCTTTAGACCAACAGAACGTTTGAAGATTGTCTACGGGACAAACATCGACCCTCACACGCAATGAACTAAACTAATATTATGTTTAGCCTTGTTTGGCTGAAAATTTATCAAAATTGCTTTTTTGGTACGATTCAGTTTATTGGTTCAATCGCTTCCCAAGTTCAACATCTGACCCAACTAATGATCTTAACTTACCGGTACTTATACAGCCAACTGACATATGCATTTTTCACCACTGTCAATCATCTTAGTGGACCTCTGACATGGCTGCCTTAGCCAGAGGTTCCTTTCACCCCTGACAAATGTAAAATTGCCCTGACCAACTGAAATAACATTTCAACAAATCATTCATGATGATGGACTCGACCCTTCCCTCACAACAACCCTCTCCACGCATTTATTTATGCACAGCTATCCTCTCTGCCCATTTTATTTTTGCTTCCAGCAAGTCACGTGCAGTGTACATGAATTGATAGTTCCTTAACATAAAATTCATGATCATTATTCTACCAATTCAACAAGAATTTTAAATGTTAGAAAAGAACAACTGTAGAGGGAAAAGAATAAATATGTACTCTTAAAATTTCACTTTTCCCTGACCTTTTTCAGACTTAAATTTGGGGGTTAGTTGCTTGTATTTGTAATTATGATTACCACCAGCAAAAAATGTAATTGTGAAGGTGGCTTTAGAACTTCAGACTTTGTGTGTTTTTGAAAAGCACGGTAATTTAGGTCAATCCAATACAGAGTTTGCTTTGTCTCATGAAGAGTTGGCGTCATATGCGTCAATGTAAAATTCTCCCATTTGATTAAAACATTGAATATTCATCCACTGCCATCTTTTCCAGACCGTGAGATGGCTCTGGATATCTATGTAGTATTAGAACGTATTTTTTTCAGTTATAAAATATTTAAAAAACAGTTGATTTTTTAAAGATTTGTTTGTAAAGTTGAATTTTGTGTTGATTCCAACCAATCAATTTCTTTTTGCTTGTAGATTCAACCTCGCCCAGTAACTCTGAATGATTTTCTGAATGTGTTATCAAGAAACACCAGTACAGTAACAAAGGAAGATGTAGAGAGATTTGAGCAGTTTACTGTAAATCTTGGACAGAAAGGGTGAATAGCCTGTTAATACCATGCAACACTAACTACACTTGCCAAGAAAGACCCACATCCTTTCACGTCAAGAAAAGCAAGACCTATTGCTTTGCAAGTATAATATCACTCTACGTCTCGTGAATGCAAATGATATAGTGTCTAATAAGCAATCACCACCCTAGTCATTTGACAGAGGAAGGTAGCGACTTAGATCTTTCTACTTTTGTAAGAACTAAAGATGAATGAAAATCGAAGGATTGCTACCAAGATTTACATCAGGTAATAAAAGCCTTTTGATATAACTTAAGTTACAGAACCTGTGTTGTATTGTTGAGAAATTGCCTTTTGGGGAATTTATTTGTGGCGTTGCTAGACTGTATAAAGGAAGAGAAATAGCAAGAGCTGAAGTGTTTTTGAGAAACCTCAGAAATTTCATTCTGTTCTTGGTGGCGAACTCGAACTCCCTGTTGACTTTGTTAGCAGCCAGGTAAAGGTGAATAAAGTTCAATGTATTATTGCACTCTGATTTTTTTTCCATTGTTGGATAGCATATATTATTAATGGCCCTTTTCACGGTTTACAAGGCCATCGTGGCTGGGGGGCAAACACGGCTAAAATTACAGTGAATGTATGGGAATTTGGCCCAATTGGAACAGCTATAACGCCGCTACAAAGATCCAGATTTCCTCAGCGAAAATGTACTTTAAAAGACATTTGTACTAATATTATTTTCGTGAAGTATAAAGAAGAGATTCAGGTTATAACTACTGTAAACAAATTTTTAAGATTTCAGACAAACCCTTCTAATCAGCATTATGAAAATTTCCATGAAATTAGAAGCCACATGAGAAGATTTATAATTCGAATTTACGGACTTCGTACCTTCTTTAATAGCCTTATTTTTTGTTGAATGAATGATATCAATAAAACTATTTAAAGTAGTGGCAGTTGTTGGAAATCCAACTCTTTGTAGCAGCGTAGCATTTCAAAGTGGGCCAAAATCCCATACATTCACTGTAATTTTAGCCATGTTTTCCCCTCAACCAAGATGGTGTCATAAACCATGAAAAGGTCTATATTAAGTTATATGAAATAGGTTCTAATTAGCAGAACAACTTGGCTTGTCCAAAATTAACTTTTAAAAACAGTTGTAAACTCAGAAAATTGATAATTGTCAACAATTCCACAAAACCTAACAAAGAAAATAAAACAGCACATGTGGGGAACCTATCTGTAACATCTCACTTAAAAATATTAATTTACATCTTAGTATGTATTATTAATAAAATAATATCATTATAGTTGATATATTAATTTTCAAGCTCTTTTGAAATAATATATAGTCTGTCTTCTGTTGGCAGGTTTTATATGCACCTAAATAAAGCTGCCTATAGTAAAAATAAACTGCTATGACTTGGAGATAATTTCTAATTCTCAGAATATCAAAAAAAAAACATTATTCTTCCATTTTGTTCTGATACATTTCTAAAAATGTTCCTGACTCAGTGCAACAAAAAGTGGTCATGCAGCATTACTCCTCCTTTGCCTGTTAGACTCACTGTTCCTGCTGGGTCTCTAAGAATGGGACTGGGCAAGATTAAACTGGATTGGGTTTTGCATCATTTGAAAAATCATCAGCCTGACTATTATTTTTCAGTTCTCCTGGGTCTCCGAGGCTGGCCATTCAATCCTCGTTTTGGTTTCCTTGTATTTTCTAAAGGTGCTATAATTACTGACAGAATTTTCTTGCAATAAAAGTTGCTCCAAACAGGAGTGTCAATTAAGTAGAATGGGCAAACTGGAATGTCGATGGCCAATTATTTGCAGTCCCACCTCTTTTGTCCTTCTCCCTTTGCTTGTTTACCTTCTTCGCTCGCTTCCTCTCACGTTCGTGTTCTCCTGTCTGATGCAATCCTGACATAGGGCTAGCAGTCGAAAATGCCTTACAACAGCACAACATAAAAAATGCAAAACAATCTGCACACATTATTGCCAAGAATAACAGTGCCTTACTTCAGATTGTAGTGGCCAAACTTATTTAAAGCAGTTATTTCGAGACCCTGGTTTATTTCTAAAATATCCCGACATGTCCACTTAGAGTTGTTAGTCTTAAGTCTTTTGCAGCCCAGATTCCTCTATAGACACATGGAGGACACCATCTGGCCCAGTTTGTTTGGGATCCTCATTTTGTTCAGAGGGTAATTTTGTGTGACACATCTGTCTTCTATCATGTGCTAGCACTCTCTCCTGCTGATACATCCCTGAGTATTGTGACTCTTGTTGAGGCTGAAGGCTAGGAGTCATGCCCTGACATCTCAGATTTTCTGGAAATTGTTGTACTTGTAGTGATCCCTGGCCTATTCCAGGATTCACTGGCACAGGTGGTACAGCAAATGATGCAGGACTTCCTTGAAATGCTGGTCCCATGGGATTAAACTGTGTAACACCACCACCAGCTGAGATGTTCAAGTTAAACACTGGATTCACAGGGGCACCAGGTACAGGGACACCATAGTTATTTGGAAAAATAACAGCACCTGGGTGATTGGCCAGGAAGATCGGCTGTGTGTTAATCCCTGCCTGTCCTTGAATCTGAGGATAATTAACTTGACGTGGTAAATTGAGCTGTTGAAGATTTCCTTTACTTCCCTTTGTAAATTCAACTTGGTAAAACTCCGTGGAATCCCCTGGCATGATATTGACAATAAATTCAAGCTGCCCTATTCTCAGTTTGTCATTTGTTTGAAGAACTCTGGTGCCTGCTTTCCTATGAAAGGGTGTGCCATTGATATACACCGGCTCGCTCTCACTTACTGTACTCACAACAAATATATTTTCACCTGTTGCTGGGTTCGTTTGCATATAAAGTGTCATGTGTTCCCGTGAAGCGGTATCGTCGTTGAGGAATACCCCTGCTGAATGACCACGACCAAACAAGATTTTTTGGTCAAGAGGTTTACGTAAGGGCTCTTTTGGAATTCCTTTAAGAAGTGCACTGTGGTTTTCTGTTGACTGTGCTATGCAGAATTCTATTTTAGGGGGGCTTGACACAGTTGCCTTGTCTCTGTCAGCTACACCTAGTGTGAAAAGTAAAGAAAAAAAAACATAATTACATACAGGGAGAACCAAGAGAGGAGTCCTGTTTTCTTTGGTAATGTTACTGAATAACATTTTTAACAGTTAACACTTGAAAGTTGTTGTTGCCTAGTATAAAAACATTTAGTGATCATCCTTCCACTTTGTTCCATTTTTGTTGATTTTGTTGTTTCTATACTTAATATATTATTATCGGTTAAATTGCCCCACAGAACATTGGGAAGAGTAGAAAGAGTGATCAAGGGTTGGTCATTTAGCTAAAAGAAAAGCAAGTATCTCCCCATTCCTTCTTGACTTCCTTCAGGTGCAGTATATTATTGATCTAAGGGACGGCTTGCATTGTGCATGCCCAGAAAGCCTTTAAACTTGGATTCTTGTCTGTGCCTCAGCTCCTTTCTGTAAAACATGTAATAAAGCGGGCTGGGACATCTGTGCCTGCATTTTGTCAACTCCAAAAGAACTTTAGGATTCAATACATCTCTCTCCTCCGCAGAGGCCTTTTTGTGTTGTAGGGAGGCTGGGAGAAAGATAAAGAGAGCGCGCAGTGCACGATACCGCGCCTTCTATTTTTCGGTTATTGTTATCTTTATTGGATTACCCAGCGGGAGCCTCTGCGGAGGAGAGAAATTTAATATCAATGGCTGTTATACATATCCCAAGCAAATTCTAGTATTGCCTAGTCCCGGCTAGCCTGCGTCACAGATGTAATTTGACGGCTGTTAGTAACATTTGCTAAGCAGCACCAAGATCCTCGTTCTTGGCCCGCAACGGTGTCAACCAAATACTGAAATGTAATTTGAATTTCCTTTCATTCTGATTGGCAAATTAACAATGGCTTTTTTAACAGGCTAATCATAGCTCGTACTCAAATCCTGGTAGACAGGTGGGGCCCTAGAACAAGGATTTCAGCGCTGTTTCGCAGAGTTAACCAGAGTTTACTTTCGTATGTGGCAGTCCCAGCCCCAAGACAGAGACATAACACTTGACTAGGCTTTAGTCTGATATCATACCATTTGTGTTAAGTTGATTATCTTCAGTGGCACACTCCCTGTCCACTGTTGTTTTGAGGTCCTGTTCCTCTTTTATGGCAGCATCTCGATCAACTTCATCCATTTTGATCACTGACATGTATCTACCAGTGAAGACTGAGGTATCTGTGTTGGAAAAAGTGGTAAAAATTTAGGGTGCAGTTTGTATCTAATATAAGTAAGGTTAAGAGTTGAGTAGGTGGCAAATATTCCACTACCGCTGGGGATAGAAATCATGGCAGACATTATATTTAACAATACAGTGGAACCTCCACATAATGAAGGGCCAAGGGACTGGAAAAATTTGTTTGCCACAGTGAGGTTTCATTATAACGAGGTTCTTTTTCATTTTTTTAATTTTAGTTAATTACCTTAGGCAAAGAAAATAGTTTGTTATACCGAGGACTTCCTTATATAGAGGTTCGTTAAATTGAGGTTCCACTGTTGTTGAATGAGGCTGAGTAAGATGAAGAATTAATAATGCAGATCAAGGAGTTGTACCGAGGTGCATAACAGCCTCCGAGACCAGCAAAATTCTTCACATCATATGAAAGCTAAGTTCAAAAGCAAATACACATGTACCATCAAATCTTTGGTATATTGCTCACGGTAAACGCCAGTTGGGGATTGAAGCCAATCAGACGTGGCGAAATGTGTTGAATGAATAATAATATTGAGTATCTTACCATTTCTAAATAAAGAAATATTTATGTCCTGTTTTGAAAGGGATGGGGTGCTTGTTGGGAAATTTGAATTACAGAACAAATGCTGGCTCTTCCTAATTATTAATTTGTAACTGGTGACAAGTGACAAGAATGGCAACTCGCCCTGCACTCTGTGTGCTTCCTTTTTTGATATTTAAAAGAAGAGACAAGGTGATAACTGGGGCAAGTTGAGATCAATCCTGCCTGGGTGTGGTTCTAGCCCTGCAAGCCTTAACTGACCCCCCATTTTGATAATACGGTTGTAAATTGAGGGATGATTGACTTTTTCATAAGCCTAATTATACCTCTTTAAAGCCTCTAATTTCATTGGACCTCTACACATTTATGTTGCAGCTCACTCCTTTGTTTTGGGGATAGGTTCCATTGTAGGAGTATATAATGGTAAATTCAGGACTTTGCAAAACTGCCCAGTATCAAAATACGAATACAAAATACAAGACCCCAGTATCAAAATACGAGACCCAGAGTTAAAAATAGTCAAGACTCCGAGACGCAAAGTCATTCAAAAACGAGACTTTGATATCTATTACAAATGCTTCCAAGATTTCGAGATTGGGCGAATATTTTCCAAACCCACGTTCTATTGAGGAACCATTTTATACCCCTCATTGTTTTCTCATTGTTAACTTTGTCTGTCCCTTGTTTAATTTCCCGACCAGTCTACAGTTGTAAAGTGTACGTGCCTTGATTTTTTTTATGTACATAATTATTAATTAAGTGACTTTTATTTTAACACCCTGGGTCCAGTGAACAAAAGTTTCTTCCCTGACGATGCTGCTGGGGGAATTTCTGGTGGTGTATACCAGGCCTGTCCAGAGAGATCTTATTTTATTTCACTTAAGCTTAATGGTAGCCCATTCAGACGTTTCTGCAGCTGCTTCCAGTTGAGGACCTTATACAATCAAAAATTTAAGAGCGACGGTCAGGAAAAATCGACCAAAATCTTAATTTCGTTGCAAGAGTTGACAGGTCAATTTCTTTCATTTTTTGTTGATAGATATCTTTTAAGTACATGTAGATAAGAAACCTAAAGTAGATTGTTCCTGCCGAAAGCTTTTTATTAGTGAGAAGAATTAGAAGATCGGTTTTCGATGTCGGAGTCTCAGACGGCCCTAATTTTTAACCTGAAATTCGCTAACATTAACTTTCCTCGCGTTCGTAAACGAAGCCGCATGGAGCGAAATTTGGACACTTTCCATGAACAGAAAAATTATTTTTCTTCGACTTAAAGATACTTTCAGGGCAATAGCGAAGCTCGTCGTACTGAAATAATTCAAAAATGAGGGATAGGTTTTCAGGATAACAAAAAGTTCGATACTCATTTTCGACGGCAATATTTAACATGTGGTATAACTCCAAATTCTCTTAATGCTATTTAAAACACACATTTAGACATTCATTTAAAACATACCTGGGAATTGGCTTGGGTTATAAACGAGGACCGGGAAAATTTGGAGTTATACCACATGAAGAAAAATGCCGCAGAAAACAACTACTAAAATAAAAGTTTTTGTCACCGTAAACCTGTTCTTCGTTTTTGAATTATGTTAGTTCAACGAGTCTTGATATTGCTTTGAAAGTATCTTCTAGTGAAAGAAGAAGATTTGTTCTATTGATGGAAAGTGCTATTTGTGAAAGCGTGGAGAGTTGATGTTAGCAACTTTCGGGTTGAAAATACGGCCATTTTGAGACTCCTACCACGAAAACTGATATTCTTACTTTGCTCGAAAATAAGAGACTTTTTGCGGGAACAACTTACATCAGATTACTTATCTACCTAAAAGCTATTTATGGACAAAAAATGAAGGAAATCGATTTTTTAACTCTTGCCACTCGTTGAATAATACACAAAAATTCTACAGGTAAAGAAAAAAACGAACAATAAGCTTAATTAAGCTTAATTGAAACTAATTTAAAATTATACATTATTTTGTATATGAATATTCAATACTTCGAATGAAAATGTTTCTTTCGTTTTTTTTTTGCTCCGTGGTACAAAGCGTACATGTGGCCAGGTATGAGAAAAATATTGGTAAATACCACAATACCGTGTCGAAAGTCGACGAAATACCGATACCGTATTTATGATCGGTCACGCTTTAATACTTAAACTTGTGTTCAACTGCAGTCGCGTGTTTGTTTATCTCAAGCATGTATACACCAGAAATCAGACAGAAGAAGCCGAATGAACGGTACCGCAATACCGTGAAGGATCTTCTTTTATACCGAATACCGTTAGTATACCCCCGGGCTGGATGATACCGCAATACCGCACATTAAAATCAAAATTACTGATCAGAAATAACGCTTGAAAAAGAGCTCAATACCGAAAACCCCCATGTCCCCCTCCTTTATTAGGGCAGTATTCCGGTGAACCCAGTATTCCAGTAACCAAAACCTGTCAAAATCTGTCCTTGCCCCGAGCGTAAGTTTCTGCAAAAGCTCGCGTGGCGTAGTTTACGTTATAAGCTTAAGTCTTTTAACGTTATGCTAAGTACGTACCTTTTCCTGTGTTCTATCAAACGTTTTCTACAAACGAATTCTCTCACGTGTCAAGGAAAACGAAATAGTCGCAACAGCCTCTGTTGTTTCTGCGAAACTGAAAGGAAATCCTTTTCCGCAGGGAAGTCCCCAAATTTACTTATTTATTCAGTTCAAATTTGAGTTGCAATCTATGCTTACAGTCAACTCTCTCTTAACGGACACCTCTGTAAAACGGACACCTAGAGTTGGTCCCTGCCTTTCTTTACTCCCCTTATTTGACTCTCTATAAGATGGACTTCTTTCTAAGACGGACACATAGTACTGGTCCCAAAGGTGTCCGTCTCAGGGAGAGTTGACTGTATAGTACTGTGATCAACTAGTCTATTTTAATAAAGAAATTAATGCCTTGAACGTATGTCCTCATAGTCTCTCGGAGTATTCTAAACGTTTCCACTGTTCATTTGAATGGCCTTTGACACCTCATACGACATTATCTATCGAAACCTGTATTTAGGCGGACACCCTGTATTAAGCGGACACTACAGCTTTCTCCGAAGGTGTCCGCTTAATACAGGTTCCACTGTAATACTTATGAGGCAAGTGCAGACTAATAAACTTCCAAAGTCTCGAAATTTTACAAATGCCTGGTAAATTTTGTGTCTCCAGCAGCTATATCTTTGCCTCTTTTCGACAAATCGCTCTCAAACTGGGCGAGGTTCCCGGGTGGGGGGGGTACTCCCGCGAAAGTTCGTGAACCCTAACCCTATTTAAGGACTAAGAAAGCGAAAACTGATACCCTTTTTAAGGCCCAAAGCCGAAAAATGACACCCTATTCAAGGAAAAAACAAAATTATTAATAGCACGAAAGGGAAAACTTTATTTCTTCTCTGTAACATTAGATGGATAGCATCAAGAATAAAATACTAGAATAAGTCTAGTTTAATAATATGCAATCATAACCATCAGACACAAGAGTGTCTCTACCTACTCTATTCGTATTGAACTTTGATCGCGGCTAAACATTGCCCTTCTATCACTCGTTATTTCATTAAGCTAAGTTTTGTTGTGAGAGTTCTGTTAATTAAGGTGGCTCGACTGGATTTTTTTAGGGGGATACCTCCCACGTTTGAGCATTAACTACGTCGGCATGAGTAAAGATATGGAAAAAAGGTTACCACAACTTTATTATATAAAGATGAAAATTTATTATGATCTCGTTTTATGGCAATCGGAGTCGCCATGGCAACGTGATGACGCCATTACGTTTTTCATTTATCGTTGTGTTTCTCTGTACCAGGAGTTTTTTGAGGAAATCGCTTAAGGGAGGATGTACCTGCCATAATTGCCTCCATTATGGCAAAGTTTGAAGAAGTTCTATGAGAGCGTTTTCGAAATATTCTGAAATGCAGTTTTAAGAATCATGAAAACAGTGAAATAGCATGCTAGCCGCACAATTCGCTAATATTTTAAGAAAATGATAAGCTTTGGGAACGCGGCTTCATCTCATAGTGGTTTGATTCCATTAAAAACTGCATACAAAAAAAGAGGGGAATTGCTCTGGGCGATCGCGAGTAAGAAGGATTTTATTAACTTGCATTCAGATGCTTTTGATACAGTTTTTGGAGGTAATTTGGTCCATGCCTAAAAATTTCGCATTTTTCCAAAAACCGCTCGATAAATTTTTTTATAAATTCGACAATCCCGAGATCAATCGTTAAGAAATATTCCCTGCAAGTTTTAAGAACATTCAAAACAGGGAAGGCTTTTAAATAGGGCCTCAAATATAGCCAATTTCCCCCCCAGATTTTGTGTTTACAAGCGAGCGTCCTCATTATTCACTTTTCCAACAAAATTGGTCTCCGTTGTTATCTATTTCGTGCTCTAGCTAGCTCTTTCCCTGTTATCCAAGTTAACTAATGTAGACGTTAAAATTAGGTGGAAAGAACGATTCGTTTTTTTGTTGTTTGTTTTTTCCTCTCTAAAGGTCTGGGCAGCCATGTGATCTACACTAAACCGGGGTTAAATTCGAACCCAGGTTTCATTTTCTTTTGTTTAAGATCATCTTCTCAGGTGATTTTCTCTATTCTATATAGAGCATCCATTCATCAAATTGTAGACAAAAAGAATTAATCTAAATTTGCTTTTAAGCTTTCATATCTGAATTCAATATCTTAACCCAACACGCGCTGATTATTATTATAAATGCCTTAGTTTTTAGTAAATTATTCTATTGCTCTTCTGTTTGGAGCAATACTACTCAAACTAATCTGGACAAGCTCCAAGCAGTACAGAATTTCGCTTGTCGTATTTTGAGCGGCGCTAAAAAATTCGATCACATAACTCCTTTGCTAAAAGACTTGCGCTGGCTACCAATCAGGCAACAACTTTATTTTCGTTTTGCTGTTCTGGTTTTTAAGTGCATGACGAGTTGTGCTCCGGAGTATTTGACATCAAAGCTCGTTGGAAGACCCGCCGTCTCGACAAGGAATACGAGAAATTCTCAACTTTTGAACATACCACTCTTCCGCACTGCCAGCGGCCAAAGGACCTTTCAATATAGAGCAACCTCTGGAATGAGTTGCAGCCTGCGCTCAAACTTAGCCCATCCGTGACGGAATTCAAGTGTTTACTCAGGCAAAAGCTTCTTAATGACTGCTTTATTTAATTAATTTAATTAATTTTATTGACCTTTGTCTTCTTTTATCATTGTTATATTCTTATTGTCATGTACTTGGTTTATAATTTTGCAATGTAAAATTGACTCTGAAAAGCCCCGTGGGGACGAGCCAATAAAGTATGTATGTATGTATGTAACCCAGATTTGAACAACCCAGCCCAGAGGGTTACTTCATGGGGTTCAAAAGGTCAAATGAGGGCAAATTCCAAGTACAAGGGGGGCTTATATTCGGGCTTATATTCGGAGGGACGATTTAACGGAGGGTTTTTTGCGTTACGATTTTGGGGAGCTTATATTTGGAGGGGCTTATTTTCGGAATTTTACGGTGACTTAAGTTACAGAACCTGTGTTATATTGTTGAGAAATTAGTTTTTTGAGAATTTACTTGTGGAGTTGCTAGACTGTTTAAACGAAGAGAGAAAGCCTGAGCTGAATTTATGTATTTTTGAAAAACCTCAGAAATTTCATTGTGTTCTCAGTGGCGAACTCCCTGTTGACTTTGGTAGCAGTCAGGTAAATGTGAATAAAGGTCAATGTATTATTGCACTCTGTTTATATTCTCCATTGTTGAATAACATTTATTATTAATACTAAGTTATACGAAATAGCTTCTAATTAGCTGAACAACTCGGCTTATCCAAAATTCACTTTAAAAAACAGTTGTAAACTCAGAAAAAGGATGATTGTCAACAATTCCATAATAAAACCTAACAAAGAATAAAACAGCAAATGTTTGGAACCTATCTGTAACATTTGACTAAAAAATATTAATTTACTTATTATTATATATTATTAATAAAATAATAATTATAGATGATATATTTTCAAGCTTTTTTAAAAATATTTTATGTAGTTTGTCTTCTGTTGGCAGGTTTTATATACACCTAAATAAAGCTGCCTATAGTAAAAATAAAATGCTGTGACTTGGAGATAATTTCTAACTCTCAGAATATCAATCAAAAAACGTAATTCTTCCATTTTGTTCTGATAAATTTCTAAAAATGTTCCTGACTCAGTGCAACAAAAAGTGGTCATGCAGCATTGTCCCTCCTTTGCCTATTAGACTGACTGTCCCTGCTGGGTCTCTAAGAATGGGACTGGGCAAGATTAAACTGGATTGCATTTTGCATTATTTGAAAAATCATCAGCCTGACTATTATTAACAGTTCTCCTGGGTCTCCCAGGGTGGCCATTCGATCCTCTTTTTGGTTTCCTTGTATTTTCTAAAGGTGCTATATTATTACTTACAGAATTTTGTTGCAACACGAGTTGCTCCAAACAGGAGTGTCCATGAAACAGAATGGCCAAACTGGAATGTCAATGGCCAATTATTTGCAGTCCCTCCTTCTCTTTTGTTCTTTTCCCTTTGCATGTTTACCTCGCTCGCTCGCTTGCTCGCACATAACATGCTCTCCTGTCTAATGCAATCCTGACATATGGCTAGCAGTCAAAAGTGCCTTACAACAGCACAACAAAAAAATGCAATAATTTTTATAACAATCTGCACACATTATTGCCAAGAATAACAGTGCCTTACTTCAGATTGTGGTGGCCAAACACATTTAACACAGTTATTTTGAGACCCTGGTTTATTTCTAAAATATCCCGACATTTCTCCTGAGAGTTGTTAGTCTTAAGTCTTTTGCAGCCCAGATTCCTCTATAGACACATGGAAGTCACCATCTGGCCCAATTTGTTTGGGATGCTCATTTTGTTCAGATGGTAGTTTTGTGTGAAACATCTGTCTTCTATCATGTACTAGCACTGTCTCCTGCTGAGGCATCATTGGGTGATGCATCCCTGGGTATTGTGACTCTTGTTGAGGCTGAAAGCTAGGAGTCATGCCCTGATATCTCAGATTAGCTGGAAATTGTTGTAGTGATCCCTGGCCTATTCCAGGATTCACTAGCACAGGTGGTACAGCAAATGATGCAGGATTTCCTTGAAATGCTGCTCCCATGGGATTAAACTGTGTAACGCCACCACCAGCTGAGATGTTCATGTTAAATACTGGATTCACAGGGGCACCAGGTACAGGGACACCATAGTTATTTGGCAAAATGGCAGCACCTGGGTGATTGGCCAGGAAGATCGGCTGTGTGTTAATCCCTGCCTGTCCTTGAAACTGAGGATAACTAACTTGTTGTAAATTGAGCTGTTGAAGATTTCCTTTACTTCCCTTTGTAAATTCAACTAGGTAAAACTCTGTGGAATCCCCTGGCATGATATTAACAATAAACTCAAGCTGCCCTATTCTCAGTCTGTCATTCGTTTGCAGAACTCTGGTGCCTGCCTTCTTATAAAAGGGTGTGCCATTGATATACACCGGTTTGCTCTCACTTACTGTACTTACAACAAACATATTTTCACCTGTTGCTGGGTTTGTTTGCATGAAAAGTGTCATGTGTTCCCGTGAAGCGGTATTGTCATTGAGGAATACCCCTACTGAATGACCACGACCAAACAAGATTTGTTGGTCGAGAGGTTTACGTAAGGGCTCTTTTGGAATTCCTTTAAGAAGTGCACTGTGGTCTTCTGTTGACTGTACTATGCAGAATTCTATTTTAGGGGGACTTGACACAGTTTCCTTGTCTCTGTCAGCTGCACCTAGTGTGAAAAGTAAAGAAAAAAACATAATTACATACAGGGGAAACCAAAGGAGGAGTCCTGTTTTCTTTTGTGATGTTACTGAATAACATTTTTAACAGTTAATTTTGAAAGCTGTGGTTGCCTAGTATAAAAACGTTTGGTGCTCACCCTTCCACATTGTTTTCAAGATAAGATTGTGAGGTGGCCCTGACTCTATTTTTGTTGATTTTAATTTGTTTCTTTTATACTTAATATTATTATTGGTTTAATTGCCCCACACACCATTGGGAAGAGTAGAAAGAGTGATCAAGGGTTGGTCATTTAGCTAAAAGAAAAGCAAGTATCTCCCCATTCCTTCTTGACTCCCTTCAGGTGCAGTATATTATTGATCTAATGGAAGCCTTGCATTGTGCATGCCCAGAAAGCTTTTAAACTTGGATTCTTGTTTGTGCCTCAGCTCCTTTCTGTAAAACATTGTAATAAAGCAGGCTGGGACATCTGTGCCTGCATTTTCTCAACTCCAAAAGAATTCAATATAGGATTCAATATCAATGGCAGTTATACATATCCCAAGCAAATTCTAGTATTGCCTAGTCTCGGCTAGCCTGCATCGCAGATGTAATTTGACCCCTGTTAGTAACATTTGCTAAGCAGCACCAAGATCCTCGTTCTTGGCCCACAACAGTGTCAACCAATTACTAGAAATGCATTTTGAATTTTCTTTCATTCTGATTGGCAAATTAACAATGGACAAAGGCTTTTTTAACAGGCCAATCATAACACATACTCAAATCCTGGTAGACAGGTGGGGGCCCAGAACAAGAATTTCAGTGCTGTTTCACAGACGGACTTAACAAGAGTTTTGTTTCGTATGTGGCACATGCTAAGTCCCAGCCCCAAGACAGACATAACATTTGACTAGGCTTTAGTCTGATATCATACCATTTGTGTTATGTTCATTATCTACAGTGGCACACTCCCTGTCCACTGTTGTTTTGAGGTCCTCTTCCTCTTTTGTGGCAGCATCTCGATCAACTTCATCCATTTTGATCACTGACAGGTACCTACCAGTGAAGAGGTATCTGTGTTGAAAAAAGTGGTAAAAATTTAGGGCGAAGTTTGTATTTAATATAAAATAATGCACCTATCAATGTAAATGCCGTGAGGGGGGAGTGCGGGCAAGGTGTGGGGATTTGATGCCTGAGACTATCCCCCTGTCGGGTTTTTGATCGTGCAAAGCGACCCCAGGGTTGGGACATTTGACTTTGACCGACAGAAGCCTGGTATCAATTCAGAGGCGGTTACCAAGTCCATCCCTCGAGGCTTTCTGAAAGTCACGCTGTTGGAGAAAGGTGTGAAGGTTTTATGTGTTTTAATCGCCATAATCCAATACTTTAAACTGTCGTCTAAACAGATAATGTCTATTTTGAGAAAGTTTTTATCTTCAAGTTCCCATCTGATGGTAAAACTCGATTGAATTTGAATTCCACCATGAAAGTCAGAGGATTTTTTACGGGTCACTGATCCGACCTGTTCCGACATGTTGAGCAGATGTTATAAAGCATTTTACGTTTCATTAATATTATAATAGCACGGTCAATCTTCCTAGAGTGATTTTGTTGTTCAAAATAAGAGATGCTAGTGGAGAGAGAAAATACTTAATTATAGCGAGTAATTTAACGCAGCTTACGTTTAGTAAGGACGTACTTTTGAAATGTTCTTTTAATTCGTTTTATACAATATTATAGTATTGTTTGTTTAGATTTTTCCCCTGGGGTAGGGGCTTTTTTGACACTTTTGATTGACCTTTCATTTCTCACCCTGGGGAATATGATAAAAAAGTTTTAAAATTTGTCAAATCCCCACCCCTTGCCCGCACTCCCCCCCCCCCCACAGGGTTTGCATTGATAGGTGCATAAGGTTAAGAGTTGAGTTGGTGGCTTATAGCGGAGCTGTCGCGCATGCAAACCGAGCGCAGTTGAGCACCATGGGTAAGAAAATATGATAATCTATGCTTCCAAGAAATTTTGGTTCTGAGAAAATCGTCCATATGGAGTACGTCTGTACATACGTCCACCATTTTATGTTAGTGGATGCGAAATGGCACACTGTAATACTTTCTGTGTAAAACTTGGTTTTGGACATCCATGTTGTGATCAATTATTATTGACAGCTGTCAAAAAAGGGTATCTGCTGACCAGCATCACATGACTGCATCACGGGCTCAGGTATACAACTCATGGAAGTGACGCAATTATCCGCTGACCAGTTATTCGCTTTTAATTGATTGCGGCCGCAGGTCAATTATTTTAGAGGTAGAATTCAGTTTGCTCTCTGCTTACGGCCAAAGTATAATTAATTGAGAATTGAGGAAAAAATTTCCTAAAGCATCTTTTGAGAGCTTTGCTTTTGGCCTTAGCTAAATCTATATGTTATTCCACTGCCACTGGGGATAGAAATCATAGCAGACATTATATTTAACAATACAGTGGAACCTCCACATAATGAAGGGCAAAGGGACTGGCACAATTTGATCGCTACAGTGAGGTTTCGTTATATCAAGGTTCTTCTTATATATTTTTTATTTTAGTAATTACTTTAGGCAAAGAATATCGTTTATTATACCGAGGACTTCCTTATATAGAGGTTCGTTAAATTGAGGTGCCACTGTTGTTGAATGAGGCTGAGTAACACGTGAAGAATTATGCAGATCAGGGGCTAGCTAGGGGGGGGTCCTGGGGTGCCCGTGAACCCCCCCCCCCCTTGGTAGGCCTTCTTTTGAGCAAACAACCTACAATATTCAGGTGGCGAAAGCGCCATGACAATATCTTGGCCGTAAAAGCCATCGTTGAAAAGCCCACTTTTTTAAAATTTGTTTTTTTGTAAAGTATTTTCATCATTGGCTCTTGTCTTTTGTTAATATGGACCTTCGTGCCATGATAATACGACTAAGCCCACTGATACACCAGGGAGGGCTGCGGTATAAACCATATTATAGTCGGCGATCCCCGGATGGTGTCCCTGTCTGTCCAAATAATGGTAAACGCCAGTTAGTTATGAAGAATTGGCTGGGGGATTGAAGCCAAGCAGACAGGGCAAAAGGTGTTGAATGAATAATAATATTGAGTATCTTACCAACTCTAAATAAAGAAATATTTATGTCCTGTTTTGAAAGGGATGGGGTGCTTGTTGGGAAATTTGAATTACGGAACAAATGCTGGCTCTTCCTAATTATTAATTTGTAACTGGTGACAAGTGACAAGAATGGCAACTCGCCCTGCACTCTATGTGCTTCCGTTTTTGATATTCAAAAGAAGAGACAAGGAGATAACTGGGACAAGTTGGGATCAATCCTGCCTGGGTGTGGTTCTAGCCCTGCAAGCCTTAACTGACCCCCATTTTGATAATACGGTTGTAAATTGAGGGATGACTGATTTTTTCATAAGCCTAATTATACCTCTTTAAGCCTCTAATTTCATTAGACCTCTACACATTTATGTTGCAGCTCACTCTTTTGTTTTGGGGATTGGTTCCATTGTAGGAGTATAGAATGGTAAATTCATGACTTTGCAAGACTGCAAGACCCCAGTTTCAAAATACGAGACCGAGAGTTAAAAATAGTGGAGACTCGAGACACAAAATCACCCAAAAACAAGACTTCGATACCCATTTCAAATGCTTCCAAGATGTCGAGATCGGGCCAAAATTTTCCAAGACCCACGTTTTTCAAGGAACCATTCACTACCCCTCATTGTTTTCTCATTATTAACTTTGTTTGTCCCTTGTTTTCCCAACCAGTCTTGTGAGGCCGTACTACAGTTGTCAAGCGCACGTGCCTTGATTTTTTCTTTTTGTGCATAAGTAAGTAACTTTTATTTTAACACCCTGGCTTCAGTGAACAAGGTGCTGCTGGGGGAATTTCTGGCGGTGTATACCGGGCCTGTCCAGAGAGATCTTATAAGCTCAATGGTAGCCCATTCAGACGTTTTTGCAGCTGCTTCCAGTTGAGGCCCTTATACAATTAGAAAATTAAAATAACATTAACTACCGGTAATAATACACAAAATTCTACTGGTAAAGAAAGAAAGGAACAAATTAATCTTAAAATTATGCATCATATATGAATATTCATCGTATATGAATATTCAATACTTCGAATGAAAGTGTTTCTTTCGTTTTCTTAATATGCCCCGTGGTACAAAGCGTACATGTGGCCAGGTATGATCCATAATCGCTCGGCGACAACGTAGCGTGAAAACGCGATTTTCAGCGGCCTTTAGGGTCCTTTAGGGCAGTATATATTCCAGTAACCAAAACATGTCAAAATCTGGCCTTGCCAGAGCGTAAGTTTCTGCACAAGCTCGCGTGGCGTAGTTTACGTTATAAGCTTAAGTTAATAGAACTTGATTAAACGTGTATATCTGCAGAAAACTCTTTGAACATGGTAAGTACGTACCTTTTTCTTTTTCTGTGTCGTTTCAAACATTTCCGTCACGTGTCAAGGAAAACGAAATGCTTGCAACAGCCTCTGTTGTTTCTGCGAAACTGAAAGTAAATCTTTTCCTCAGGGATCCCCACTAGGTACAGAACGATGTTTATGTCGTCCAAACCGTTTTTAATGCAGGTTTTTTGCTCCATTTTTAAACAGCACATTTCCTTGGAAAAAAATCAACACTTTCAAATTTATAAGAAAAAGGGTTACAGTGTGAAAAGCCTTTTTATTTTTGGCGAGATTCATCCACTCCCCTCCCCTACAAGGGGATAAGTGTTTCATGGCTTTGTAGCCACTCCGTGTTCTCTTCACTCTCTCAGTTCAAAATGGATAGCAACACGGTGGCAAGTTTTGTCCAAAAGCCACAGACAATTGTCCGGTTTATATCAATTGTAAGTGCTTCAGTAGCTCATAATTTAATTCAAGGCAGGAAACGTAGCTTTATTAGTTAACATTGAGGTTAAAAATTCTTCTGTGAGGGCTCGTCAAATGGAAACCTTTCATTGCTGAGCTAAGCACACGGCTAAAATTAGCTTATTTGTAATGCTAGCACAGTTATTTGAGTGCAAATTGATCAGTAAAACGTCTCGTGATTTACATTATTTGTGCAAAGTTAAGTTTTTCGTTGGCCTTTAGCAAGGTTGTAGCATAGACAAACTTGTGTCAAACATGTTGGTCTTAATTGATTTAAATAATTATAGCCTCCCTCTGTCTTCTGTGATCATAGCGTCTTCTGTGATCATAACAAGAGTGAACATTCAGTGAGCTCAGTATAACTGGTTACACTTTCTGTCTCTACCTCACTAAAGCAATTTTTAATTTCTAGTATAATAGTTATTAATGCGGTCTAAATAATAGTAAGTAATTATTTGATTTTTTTAAGGAAAAAGTAAGTGTTGGAGCAACACTGCTCTGTAAAGACACCCAGTCATTCTTTACAAATATTCCCTGAACATTCTACATTGGAAAATTCAACTAAACAGGAGCAGGATAAACAGTGCAACAATAGAGCCTTCCAATTTTTTCGCAAGTTTTGACAAGGACTAATTAGCAAATATCCATCAACAGCGTGGGGAAGCGCATGTTAAAATTGGTAAACAAACTTGCCAAATTTGAAAGTAATACTTATGAGGCAAGTGCAGACTAATAAAGCTTTTCAAAGTCTCCAAATTTTACAAATGCCTGGTAAATTTGTAGCTGTAGCGCCTATATCTTTGCCTAAATCGTTCTCAAACTTGGCGAGGCTACTTTTTGCAGGGTGTTCTTTCCAGCAGAGTTGACAGATTTTTGTTGACTTATCCCTTCAAAAGTTGAATAACTGTAGAAGGGTCATCTAGACGTATTTATTTGATGACAACTTCACCAGGCCTCATCAATTTTATGAGAAGGTTTTCTTATGCATCAGTCAATTCCAGCTGCGATGACTTTTCGCTCCTCCCTCCTTCCCCCCAAATACAGGGCACATGGTCGCAGGTTAAGTTGATAGTGAGATCTGGATAATATATTGAGGTTGACTTTAACATAGATGAAGTCAGTAGAGAGATTAAACATCGCATTTATGGCAAACGGCAAACGTGAATTTGTACCACATGATCAAGTTTTCCATCTACTTATCGTTTACTGTTCATTATAACTACACAAAAGTCAGTAGATTCACACCAATTCTATCCATAACAGTATGTTTTAAGCTGTTTTTATCTGCTCATTTCTCAATTTAAAAATTTCTCAACCTGAATCTCACATTTTCACATTTGCCATAAACGTGATACTTAATCTTTCTAATAATGCACAAAAATATCCAGTTAAGAATATGAGATAAATTTTATTTTGATTCTTCTTTTAGATTTTTGCAATAGTTGTGTTTGGATGTATTTCTGCCCGTGGCTATGATGAAAATGGCATTTGTCTATATAATCAGAAAGAAGGAGCATGTCGCTATGGTATTGGCATTGGTGTGATCGCTTTCCTGGGATGTATTGCATTCCTAGCTATTGAGGTGCAGTTTGACACCATTGAGAATCCAGATACAAAGAAATACATCACCTTGGCTGATCTAGCGTTTTCTGCACTATGGTGCTTCCTCTGGTTTGTGGGTTTCTGTTATCTTGCTGATATGTGGAGAAGAATGAACACAGCTCCACTCAAAACAGAGCAAGTTAATAACTGCCAAGCTGCTATTGCCTTTTCATTTTTCTCCATTATCACATGGGTAAGTTTGTTTAGAGTGTATTCCAGTGTCTGTTTAATTCTATGTGCAAAAAAATGCTAGCAATCTCACTTTTGAAGCAGAGTGCTGCTTTACTAAATGTTAACAACAATTTCACGATAAAGCATCTCAGACAAATGACTAATTTCGTACTTTTTGCGAAGCAGGATTTGGGTAAACCCTTGTATACCCAACAAAAGTATTCCCATATCGGTCAAACAGCAATATGATTACATAGTGTAACTTATAAAATCTACTTGAGACATGATGTTAATTTTAACACATGTGAGGTGTATTAGAGTATTAGCAGTGGTGTTTCCATAATTTTAAATCTTTTGTTATAATGCCCCTCGTACACCTTGTATACTTCCCAAACTTTTGCATAACCATTGTTTCCAATTTCCTCTGGGTTTTACAGCCATCTCAAGAGATATTTGAAACAATGCTTAATGCAAATAATTGTTTTGACAGTGGCAAAATTGCATGTACCGTATTTCCTTGAGTAAGCACCCAGGCTCTAATTTAAAATTGCAGCTGAAAGGAGTGGCACTTATTGGAAGGAGGGTGTTTAATCAAGGCCATAGGGGATTGCTATAAGTTGTCCTCCTCTTGGTAATCAAGCATACCATAGTCCCACAAAAATGTAGTTAACACAAGGATGTAGTGGTATAAATGTTGAAATTGAAGATTAAAATTTATCAATGAAGTAGAAACAGGATTTTCTTTATCGCTACTGTGAAGAAAGTATTAGGGAGAGAAGGAGTGCTAATTATTCAAGAGGGGTGCTTGTTTTGGTGTGGCAGTTGGGGCTTATTAGAGTGTGGGTGTTTATTTGAAGTGATGTGGTATAATACAGTGTAATAATTCAATGTTATTACTAGTACGTCACTATTAAAATTTTGTCTAATATTTTTTTCTAAATTCGAATACATCATGCTAAACATTCATACATCATTGTCCAATATGCTAACTTTTAGGGTGGGCTGACTGTGATGGCATTCCTCAAGTACCGTCGCCTTCTGACAGAGTTTGAATATTCGAGGGATAATTTGGCAGGGGATCCGTACTCATCACCATATGCTCCATACCCCACCTCACAAGGCCAGGGGGATCCTTACCAAGCCAAGCCATTCTCTGATCAGCAAGCTGACAGTGCCCCTGGAGAAGATAGTGCTGATAAATATACTCCTCCGCCATACTAGTGAATGTATTTTTAATACTATTAATTATGCTGTCACTGTTTGTCTAGACCTAATTATAGTGTTAAGTTTCCTGATCAATCCTTGCATCTACTAGTGACACATTCCCATTAAAAAAAGAAAACATTTTTTCACCTGAATCTTTGAACTCTGCCCAAGCAAAGCGCAAAGAATTTCACACTGCAATGTATGACTGTTTTTCTCAGCATCATTGTTACTTCATCATCCCATGTTTTTACAGTTAACGTCCAGTGCTAAAGTGAAGATCCTACAAACTCAAAAACGATTCTTAATCGTAAAACAATATTGAAAAACGGGAATTAGTTGAAACCCTTAAATAAAAATGCAGACTCAGAAGTTTCAATAAGCATCTCCCATTCGTTGTGACCACACCGAAAAAAGGAAAGCACTGGTATCCAGAATTTTTAGAGGGTTCTTCCAGTAAATGGTTTAGTCAAAGTGACTAAAAGGAAGTGTTAAGGGCTAATTTTTTTGGTTTAAAAACTTGAGATTGAGGTGAGAGAATGAAGAATTGTATTACTAGATGACTTAAATTTTGTTTGCAAATATTGGTACATGTCACTAGTGCAAGTCAGAGGAAAGAGCGAACTGTTTTACTAGTCTTCTTTATGAAATAATTTGGTTTCTAGTCTCAGTTTCAGTGCAACAAACTTGACCGGGATACAACTAAGGTGTCTGACTTTGTTGGGTCATCAGCCAATCAAAAGCGAGAGCATCTGTTCAAATATGAAAGTGTCAGAAGCCGTGATTGAGTTTATTGCACCGTAACAATAAAGTTTATTAGTATTTACCAAATCAGTGAATAGCAATTTCCGTGCGTTTTGATTGGCTACCGTGACTCGGAATATTCTTGGCTATTTACTCTTTTGCGACGGAAGCCAAGATGGCGTCTCGTTTCGAGAAATTTCCGGAAGACGAAATTTAAGCGAGAAATGAAGCAGTCGTAGAAACAAATACCAAGAAAGCGACGAACTTCAGCTTGTTAGTGTTTACTGGTAGGTAGAAAATTATTTTCTTGCTGAATTTACAACAAAATCGCAAAAACACACTTGACAAAATCCCCGAAGTGTTTCTAAATTGTAAACAGGCTTCCTACGAAGTGACGTTTTTAATTTACAAAAAAGTTACTTTTTTCCATTTTTATCCAACTGATTTGGTAAATACTAAAACAACTATCCCGCTCAGGGTCAGTGAACAGCGCTAGATATATACCTCGACTCTTCGCATCTCGGTATACATCCTGCCACTATTCACCTCCCCTTCGGGGGATAGTTGTATATTATTCACGTAAACATCTTCACGGGTCTACCCTTTGTTAGGTACTAAACCAGTATGATATGAGTTGAGTGAAATCGCGGTATAAGCATTTATCTTGAGACTGGCAAAATCATCTGTTACTACAGTAGTTTGTTACATCATGTTCCCGTTCAATATATTTTACCATTACGGCGATAAAGAATATCATTCATTGTCATTTTTAATTTTATCGCCTAGGCATTAAATTGATTAATTTTTCTCTGACCTTGTAGGGAATATGCTTTTTACTTTTTACTTATCCCTTCAAACCTTTGTTCTACGTGATTTGGAGTCTGCAAATTACAAATATGAGGTATTGGGTCCTTTGCCTGTAAGCTGAAGTCTATTCTAACTTTAAACCTAATCTTTTTCAAACACTTTAATGAACTATTGTTTATAGGGGAGCTACTGATCTAATTACACAAGTTAATCCACTGTTCTTTCTAAAAAAATGTACACTGAGAATGTGGCTGTCTACTTTAGGAGCAGGTTTCTTTTAATAATTCAAAAATTGGACCGGATATCAGTATGATCCAGTTCTTTTGTGGGTCAAAAGGCTGTGTTGGCGGTCCAGATAATTACAGTCAAAGTTATGAAAAAGTTTCTCGAAAGGATGGCTCTTTTGCGGTCACCTTGACAAAACCTTGATTCATGCCAAAAACGTTTCCATAAGCAGCCAACTCGAAGTCGCAGATACTGTTACTGTTTTTTAGGGCCCAGTTCTTCAAAAGGTGGATATCTCTATCCACTGGATAACGCAATTGGTTTCACTTGTATTGTCCACCGGATAGTGATTTATCCAGTGGATGGTGCTTTCACTGAAAGTCGTCGACTTAAGGAAGCTTCAATTGTATTTTACTACTGTAGTCAAAGACTAGTTTACCGCTGGTTTTAGATAAAGTGAAAAGTGCCTTTATCATTTATTAATAGAAATAAAGGTCAGTTGTCAGAAGTGTGAGCAAGAATGATTTTGTTTTATAATTTTCATATTAATTTCATTTCCTTGATTTGTACTCGGAGCTTGAAATAATTTCCCGTTTGGCACCGGTAAAGTTGTCCGCTTAAACTGATTTTTGCTCTAACGCAATCCGTTTTTTGGCGGGGCAAATATCTATTACGAATCCCTCCGCCCGATGCTGAAATATCACGCACAGTGCAGCAACTTGTGAAACAGCCTTGTTGAGCCTCACAGACAACTGGCTAAAAGCTATGGATAACAGTAAGCTTGTTGGGTTGGTGTTTTTAGATCTTAGCAAAGCCTTTGACCTGGTAAACCATGTCATCTTATTATCTAAGATCGCTAAATACCACACCAGCCGCTGAACCAACCTTTGAGGTGGTTTAGGTCTTACTTATGTGATTGATTTAAGACCTACAACATCTCTGGAGTATTATCTGACCCACTCACGTTGACATGAGGCGTCCCACAATGATCGATTTTAGGTCCCGTATTATTCTCACGTTACATAAATGATCTGCCCCTGTGTTTACCAGCTTCTGAAGTTGAAATATATTCCAATGATACGATCACTCCATCGATAATATTCAGCACAATCTGCAAAACAGTCTAAACAATGCCAGAAGATGGCTCACGTCAAACCAAATGGTCCCTAACGCAAAGAAGACAAAACAACTCCTCATTGCCACACGACAGAAACTGCAAAATGTGAATCAGCTAACCTTGGATCTTTACGTGAATGGTGTGACGGAAGGTTTTTCCACTTTCGAACGATTTGAACACTCAACGGGAACAAGTGTTCTTGTACAAAATATTATTGCTAAAGCGATTCTTAAACCAAAGCGAAAAGTAGCAAGGCTATATCAAGCGAAAACTTTGAAAGCTAAAACTTTAAAAATCATTAAATTCAAACGCCACTATAGTAAAAATCCTATTGAAATCAAAGATTACTTGTTACTTGAATTTACTTCCTAACAACGACAACCGTGTAGAAGAAGCCGAGGATAAAAAACCGCTGAGCGTCGGGATAGACAATCGAATTCTTAATCGGAAAACTGAACACACTAAAAAGAGCTGAAGGCTACCTCAATCTTTACTGCCGAGGCGAGTGCAAGCACTCCACAGAACACATGTGGTACTGGCCAGGCCGTGGGTTGGTGTATGTGTGTCCCTTGCTTTACGTTTGTCTTCTTGACCAATTAGATAGCTATTTTTGATTATTTTCACTTTTTAATCCCTTGTGACAGCCATTAATTTTATTTATTTATTTACTTTTTTATTTGCAGCAAGTCCCCTGTTGGCCACCCTAAGGCTATCCATATAATATGATTTTTAAAATAACGGAGGTTTTAGAAACACAATTGAGAATAAAAATTAGCGGTAGCAGCGAATGACGTTTCGATGACTCATGTCATCATTTTCAAATTGCGTAGTCTTAGTTCCGTGAGTTTATTATCCCAGGGAGTTGCCTCTCGATCATGACCACGCTAAACCGAATCCATCGCCTCTGATCATCTGCACCTGTCCTATTTTCTGAGGAATGCGATAACCTCAAACCGATCTTCTTGAAACCTGAGAGGCTAATTTAACAGTGCCGGATCCAGACCTTGAACAGAGCGGGGTTGGCGGTCATCCAGACCGTTAGAAAAGGGGGGCGGTCTCCAAAAAGTTTTTTCGGCCCTTCAGGCCTCAGTTTGGTATAAAAATAAGGGGGGCAGCCCCCCCCCCGGGCCCCTCCCCTGGATCCGCCACCGAATAAATTTTAGCATCCCTAGCAGGCACGGATCTAAGATAATTACTGACCGATTTCCTAACCCAGCGCCAGAGGCGCAGGCTTCTAGCGGGGCACACAGGTCAATATTTCTGATCTCATCTCCATACGCATGCCGTGGGAGAACTGTTTTGCAGTTCCCAACCAACAGCTACCACTTGTTAACGGTGTAGCTGGCGCCTAAAGGAGTGCTTCACTGCAGTTACTTGGTATTGCCTCTAGCGGGGTCCGGAAGCAGGTTCCCTCAGGAAATGTTTTGGATTATTAACACCTTAAGGTCTCTTTCCCTGGATATCCGAGGTGTTCAGACAGGATATTGGCCAGGTTTCAAATGGGAAAGTGTTTTAATAATTACCAATTATTCGCTGAAGGCGAAGTTAATATTGTTGAATAATGGATTATTCAACAATATTTGTTTTAGTAATTGTACACACGAAGTGATCTCGACGGAATCGGAAAGGAAGCCATTAAAAAAACGATTACTTTAATTGACAGGTGAATTCATGTGTAAACATGTAGCCGTAAACAGTAGATGCGTAAACGATAGATCTTTACAGTATCTTCAAACATGGCAAATCATAGTTTTACTCTTTCTGCAAGCTTTAGCATCATTGGTTTATAGAAAGGTGATTCCCTAGTAAAAGAACCTATAGATTGTAGATGAAACTTGGTACACCGATGTAACAAGTCAAGAAGATGATAAAAAGGTAATAAAAAGTGGGGGTCACCGTGCTCGTTTTGACGTCACAATGCTGACAAATACGGCTATTTTGGACCCTTTAACAAAAACCTCGCCCGGCCCAAAACTAGACAAAGAGGAAAGATTTTTTCAATGATGCATGTCGTATCGCACAGAATTTGACTTTAATGTATTGTTTATCCTCTTACGTACCGGAAAAATGCCTTTTAATGCCCTTGTTTTTACTTTACGCTTTAAAGTAGAATAAAATTGGACACGGCTATTCGACACGTGATAGCTCAATCCGTAAAATTTAGTAAAATTGCCAAAAAACTGATCATAGATTTATGCCAATTTTTCTCTCACCGAAAGGAAGCACTTTCCTTATTAAAATCATGAAATAAAAAATGGGGGTCACCATACTCGTTTTTGCGGTAGAGCTGCAGAAAGTGCGCGCCAAATGCATTTTCCTTGATTTTTAAGAGAGGACTGGGGCGAGTTTCAAAATAGAATGTATGCGAAAGGGGGAAGAAGGTATTAAAAAATCCGTTTTTGCAGAATTTACATCGAGATATCACATTTAGCTTAGGACACAATATGATAAAGAAAATGTTTAAATGAAAAGCAAAGTGAATAAGCACAAATTAATCATCCACTATCGAGGTTCTCCGTGAGGAAGTCGAACTCAGCAACACGCTTACTGCTTACGTTATGCACATTCCCACCACACTGAGTCTCACCTCGGCAAGAAACAACCGCAAGCAAAAATTGCAATAGCGTTTCTCTTCGGTCAACTTCATTTTAATGATGTTTCTGCACATGCTCTTTTTTACGGAGGCCATCTTGTTATGCGCAGTAAGAGATGCGCAGTGCAAAACCACGGAATCACCTTAAATTACCATTCCTTCTGAGAAGAAACGTAGAGTTGCTTAACCCATTCGCTCCTGGAGATTTTGCCGAAAAACGCGTTTTGAAGCTAGTCGAGTGGTTTTCTGGTCTTTGTCGTGCTATAAAGAGCTAAAACTTACCAGAAACCGGTTTACAGGTCGTACACTTCGCGGCCTTCTGATCCAGATGCAAAATATCAGCTTGCGAAGTTCGGGCATGCGCAGAAAGCAGTCTTGACTTTTACTTTTCGCTTTCTCTCCTCCCTTCTTTTCTCGCTTTTCTTGCCTCATTTTTTTTTTCTCTTGCTGGGCATTTAGTAGGCTTCATTTTGGTGGGAAGAGTTTTTAGGAAAGCTTTTAGGATCTTAGGATTAGGTGAAAGGAAAGGTAGGTGGGTAATGGAACAAGATTTTCATGGAGATTTTCAGGTCAATGTCACGTGGTTTTTTGCTTGTTTCTCCGGTGTCCTTGACTGAATTGTGCTCATTCTGGTATGATTTGAAAGATTTCTTCACTCTGCACAAGTTAGCGAAGAAAGTTGTCCTTGACCGTTAAAACTGATGACGTCACAAAGGATAGAAAGTACCTGGATCCGCACGGGCGGTTGCGGGCGGTTCAGGGGCGAATGGGTTAATTATGCCGAAAAATCTGACCGATTTCCGTAAAACGGTGGAAACCGGTGTGGATCCGCGCCTGCCTAGATTCATTGAGTCACAAGATCTAGAACATGTTCGTGTTCATCAAACAAATACACCCTTTCAGTGACGAACATCAAAATTCGGCGATTGGCAACTGTGACCTGCGCGATGTATACAATCAATCGGATAAAAATGTACGTGACCACTTTGCCATGCATCCAGAGGAAGTGCCGTGGAAAGCTGGATTGCTTAATTGACGAACTGCTTTTTATCAAAGAAAAGAAACCTAAACTGAACACGCAATCTGGCTCTATCAAAGCGAAACTATGTACCTGATAATTAGGACATTTTACAATCACATGCAACTAAACTTTCGCACGCAACTCCCGGTGATATAATGAACTCACGGAATTAAGAACTACACGAATGAAACGACATTCACTGCTATCGCTAATTGTTATTCTTTTAAGAATAATAATTGAAATTAAGTAATGGTCCAGCTAAGAAGCAGGCAGAAAAACAATAGCCCGCGGCAATAGCGTCAGTTATTTTTCAGGCGCTAATTTCTCTAATCAAATTAAATCTGAATGCTCTGATTGGTCAATACAGCGAAAAGCGCGAAATTTGAATTTTAAAGTTGTATTAAGATAGCTTAAGACTCATTCGAACAACTTTTTATTTCGTCTATTGCTTTGTTATGTTGAAAAATATAACATATCTAAAATTTAAAAGATTTCTATGCGCCAAACCCGAGGAAGTTAAACTGATATGAAATTACACGAAGATGAGCACAGTGTTACATCAATCAGCGACGTTGGGAACAACATTTACGTCGGCTCTCACAAAAGAAATGTCAAAACCATGATCGTAAACAGCAGCAATTCACTCTCACGTGGCGAATCTGGCGAACGCGCCAATGTCGCGCGTTCATATTCGGCCACCATACAGAACAACAACAAGTACACAAAATCAAATCTAAATGTTATCTAAATGTTCTGCTTTTGAAAAAAAAAGATGATGTTGCCCAGATAGAAAAAACTTCCTGCATGTTCGGATAATTGGGTTTCAGAAAAAGCTCTCCTACAGTTTATCTGTTTTCAAGGTTTTGATATTACTCTTTAAAAATCCTTCTTACAATCTCTTTCGTCCTTGGAAAAAATAAAGGCAAGCTACAGTCATGCTCGCTAGATCTTCCGTACCAAGAGAAACTCAAACACCAGTGACAGCTATTTATGATACCTAAGCGGCTTCCGTCTCGGTATTCTCCGCCTCAGAACTCAAAGGTACAAAATGCAAACGTGTCACAAATTTCAATTCGCTCATTTTAACTTAAGGTCCACGGCGAACTTCCATTTCGCTTGATGAAGCAGTCTAGAGAGAAAAAAAATCGAATGAGAGATGGGTAAAGCTACCCGGAATATGGAAGTTTCGAAAAGGGCAAACACATGAATAACACATAATGCGCGCGGAGGTGCGAAAATCTATTGAATTCAGCTTACCTCATGCTCAAGTGTTCTACATCTCTTCGAGAAATAAATTCATCCTTGTAAAAACAACAAATCTTTCGCTTTCTCCTTTTATGCCCAGCTGTTCTCCAATTTCTAGTGCCACAATTATTCCGATCTCCTCCTGATCCGGCCTGACAACGAAAACAACTACGCCGGGCCCAAATTTCCACATGGTGACTCGGCATGTCGAGGACGGCAGCAAACCATGTTTAAGAGCATTTTGACGATCACTCCGATGATAAAATACAGTAAATTTGAGATAAATATTCAATAAAGAAAAACTGCAGATTTTTCACGAAGAAATTGACGAGATTTTTTCGGGTAAAAGACAAATTTCCTAACATCTCAAGTGTCACACTAAGATGGGGTCACAACAAGGTCGCGCGTGTGTTGCACGTTTTCCGCTCTAACTTTTGATTGGCGCATAGAACAATGCTGAAACTTGGCCGTGAGGTATAAGACAGGGGTATGGAGAAAATAAAGCTAAAAAAAGTTGTTTTTGTCACGTTTCTGACTGTTTTTTGGGCGATTTTTGGATTTCGGCCAATCAAAACGCTTGATTTAATTGAAATTAATGATTAAAAGTTAGCACCTTTTAATCACTTTTGCCGTTCGCCTGCCTACCTCTTTTTATACACGGACCATTACTTAATATGATTTAATTGATAAAACACTCATGCTGAGCTTGGGCTGACTGTGACTTCACACGGTCAGGCGGGCGTCAAAGGCGTCAACAAACGTCATCTAATCCCAGGTCCCTATCGAGTTCGTCCAAGATGGCTACTCATACACCGTTTATGCATTTCTCTTGTTTTGATCGGAGGTATGTACTTACACTATATTTATTACTAGTGTTTCTAATCTCAGGAGGGTTCGATAAGTTAGCTAAAATTTGGAAAACAGGGGCTCACGGTACCTGCTTTCCATAGCTTTTCTCCTTTCGATCCTTGTTAAAATTATGCTGTCCATTTATTTCACTTTCGCCACTTCCTGGTGAGACATTTCCACAGCTGCAGATAGGCTAGGCTTACGCTTATATTGCCATGACTATGAGTGTAGTAGAACTTTTTGACTGCTAATTTAGCGCTCGTTCAGATTCACAAATTGTCGTTTATAAATTATCATGCAGCTGTCATTCAAATGCTCATAATATGCGCATTCTTCCCCTTGAGGGCTAATAGTGACTTCGTCTCCTCACACGTTCCTTCACCCCAGAAAAAAGGGGATGAAATATATGTTTGTTTAAAGGTCCAAGGTACTAACACAGCAACCCCTTCAGAAATGACATATTTTTGGAGGGAGGGAGTAAGTACGGGGTGGGGGGTGTAGTATTGAGTTTAATGGACCATTGTACCAACCTGGTACCCAATGAAACATATGAACCAATTGCTCTGGTCAGGAGCTAATAAGCCTGTGGTTAGCCCTGGTGGGTACTCCCCCAAGAAAAATTAGGCTATGCTCGTCTTAAGTACCTTTTAGGGGGTAACATTTGTCAGCTGGTACCATTTGGGTTGCTAAATTGAGTGTCATTAGAACTCTTGTAATATACTTTTTGGAAAGGCGTAAAACCAAACAGAATGATGGCAACTATTCACTGCTCAAATGATTTTTTGGTACCTGGTATAGGGTTACTGTAATAGGCATTTCGTGTCATAGATAGTCTGCAGTGCAGGTGTATTTTGGGTGGGCGAAACCGTGTTCATGTTCGTAATATTGTTGTAGCCGCCATCTTTGATTTTATGACAGTGAAAGATTTGGGGAGAGTAGAAATAGTAACCCTTACGGTAGGTGCAAGGGCGAAAGAAGGAAAGGGGAGAGGGGGAGGGGACAAAAAAATACGCCTGCCCGATATCATTGTTCTTTTGGGAAACTCCGTACGTTGGCAAACGGAGCTCCTGATTGGTGAGGCGTGGGGAAGTAGATTGATGCCTGTCAATTTTTTTCTGGCGAGTAGATTATTCTCTAGAGGGTTCTATGTTTTGACTGAGCAAATGTGATTTTAGCTGCTTGTTTCACACTGAGAGGTCATGACACGCTTATTGATTTTCTGTGGTTTTTTAATTTCTGGTCTTCATGATTTGCCCTCTGCTGCAAGGGCATTTTCTTTGAACTCTTTTGAAGCGTAAAGCTCTTTCTGTCACCAAATAAGGCTGTTAGGTTCTTTATTTTTGTCCAAAGTGCCTCAGGATCTGAATAACTAAGCAATAATTTTCTTTCTAGTCCGAGAATGTGATGTTTTCCTGCAATGTTGTATCACGTTGTGTCCAGCTCAAGTTTTTTAAATTGTTTGCAGGATTTTAAACTCTCACGGATAGCGATTTACAGAGATGAATTTAGAAGAATGAATTGCAGCTTAAACTGAAGCTTCATCAGCTGTGGAGAATTGCATTGTGACTCAGTCAAGATAAAAACAATGATAAACTCCAGCTTGTTTTTCTTAAGACAATGCGAGTCTTTGGACTGGAGCGACTGTTTGGTTGTTTTGTTATTGTCAGCTAATCATTTCCCAACGAGCGGTCATGCGCGTCTAATCAGGGGTTGTTTCTCATTTTCACAGTGTTTTCGGGCAGGCGTTTTCTCTTCTCTCTCCCTGCCCCCTCCCCACTCCCTTTGACTCGCCTCATCTCCCCCTCTCTTCAGGAAGTTTCAACATGGCGCAAGCAAATACTGCGCTCAAAGAAAATGCCTGCACTGCAGGCTATGTCATAGAACAATGACATTAGTAACAAAATATATAGAATGTAGTAAAAAAGGCAGATCACAAATAAATAATTTGTAACCAATATTATTTTATTGTATTTTTTCCCCTTAAGCTAAACTATCCAGTACAATATGGCAGCACTTTTCACGCCACTTAAACCTGTCGTGTTTCAAGGCAACAATAGAATAGACCATAATCTAGGTTTGGAACTATCAAGTTCTGTGGAATCTGTCATTGATTATGTTGACATTAAAGCCAAATTAAGTCAGCCATGTTGTGTGTTGATTTATGGTGAGCCTGGCTGTGGAAGAACAACACTTTTGCTTGAGATTGCTAGTGCATTTCTTGCAAATGGACTCAGAAACTCGGAGATTCTTGGCGTAAGAGTAAGGCCAGGATGCAGTGTGGAGTCCCTGTGGAATTATCTGAGCGAGATTTCAAAGGACAAACAGGACAAAGATACTGCTTCGTTACTCTCACAGTCAACTGCAAAGTTAAACAAGAAGTATAGTACAGCACAAAGCTTTCTGTCCTCAAATTTCAAGCTTGTCTTAATCGATGATGTATATTCAGATGGTGGGATTGTGTGGTCACATCTTTCACAGATGTTACTAAAAGTGACTGCTGCTGCCATTGTGGTTTGTACTAAGAAAGATGCCCCCTCCGTTCAATCAACACTGACGGAGCAGGCAGTTTTGTCCGTGGAATTAAAAGGTCTTTGCATGGATTCTTTTAAGAAGTATCTTGATAGTAAGATTCTGAACTCAAGACTGAGTGAAGAAAAGCAGTGGAAGATTTTTTCTATGTTGAATGGTAATCCAACGGCACTAAAGATTTTAGTTAACACTGTGAATGAATATAAACTTCCATCTGAAAGTCTTGAATGCATTATCCCTTCCTGGTCAGAAGATATGAAGACTGAGAAAGAAAATGACAGCTGCTCTACGCTGCTCCAGTTTACATTTTCACACCTGGATGCTAGAGAGAAACAAGTATTTGATCAACTATGCCAGTTACGAGAGCCTCTTCCTGCAGTTAAATTCCCAGAAGAAGTGGAAAAACTCATAAGACTTGGGTTGGTGAATAAATCGACCTTTGGTCCAACAGATGATGCAGTTGAAGTCATCCATTCTGTTTCAGTGGCATCTTGTCTTCAGCATAGTTTATCACCTGCTGCTGACAGTGATGTTCAAGTTCCTTTTAGTGCCTTTGATGCGTGGCATTCACTTCTTTCTGAAAAACTTTGTCAACTCATAACTGATGCTAAGGGAAATGCCTGGCCATTTGTCCCTGAAAAGTGGTAAGTCATCATGCAATAATTAGAAAGTGAATAATTTATTCTTTTTACTATTTGCTTCTAGGTGTCTAATGAATTTTTGTTGAGAAATATGTGATATGAGATCTTTCACTGATGAGAGGACAATGATAGTTGTTGTCTTGTTATTGTACCTGCACTCAGGCTACTGCTATGATTCAGTGCAACTATGAGTTTACTGTAAGGATCCCCATTCCATGATATGTGTGGTAGCAGAGGTGGACATACACCACATCAGTGGGGGCTGATTTAATTTCACCTCCTGTTCTTAAAGAGCAGTGTGGGTTCTTCAGTGTTTTGAGTCTGTTTACATTTTTTTGTGATAGAGAGATGAAGGAAATTAGGCCAATGGTTTGGTATCACTGCCTAAATTATAAGATCTAAATTGTAGCAGCATAACCATTAGAACCTGGTATTAAAGTAGTCTGGCCAGGGTTAAAATGTTGCTAAATGTAACTTAGGCTAAAGTTAAACATGAAGTAATGCTGTCGAACAGTTTTCCCCCAAGGGTTGGTTTGTGGGATGGCCAGGGCTTGCATGAAGGGGCTGACATGTGTTTACAGCTTGGCTTTAGATGTCAAGTGTTTCTGCATTTGTTTCTTGCTACTGGGCAGTTCTCACTGATTTTACTCTCACTCCTCCCATGGTAAGTATGTGGTAAGTATTTTAGCTTTTCAGTGTGATGGTGCCTGGTGGTTGCCGCTCCCAGGGTTGTCATGGATACCCTACATGTTCATGATCAGCTCAGCTTGTCCTGTGGCTCCGCCTTGATCAGGCCACATTCCCCAAACTCATCTATTGTTGATGGGTTTAAATCTGGGCTTGCTACTCCGCAATGTTAACTTAATGCTAAAACATACCCACTGGCATATTGCTTGTAATGAATGTGTTGTTTTTCTTTTATGAATAGGCAGTATATTTCAAACGTTGGAGCCGAAGAGAGGTACAACATTAAAGAATTGATAACTGCTAAGAATGCTGTTGTGCCTCATCTCACAGAACAGGACATCCTGGAGGTTGGTAATGTGCTATAAAAGAATTACCGTATTTATTCGACTATAAGCCGAGCGATTTTTACACGAATTAAAACTGAAGTGAATTAAAATTTGGGCTATAGAGGGGGTCTCGGCTTATAGCCGAAAGTTTTTGAAAAAAAAATTTTTCCGGCGCATGGAAACTCTACTAAATCGAGATGTATTTACGTATAAGCCGAGCTAAAGTAAAGAAACACATTATGCAATCGTTGGTTATTAACTTTTACGAATGTGGTGGCTCCTAAAGGAGCCGTTTGTTAAATTTAATGTGTTTTCACAGAAAAGATAAAGATTCTTGATAGGGAATAACCGTGACGCTGACGGGATGTGATTACAAATCCATGCAACTTGACAGTTTGCTGCTTCAAATATTCTGGGAGACGATGAGCGAGTGTTGTTTTAGTGCGAAGGCTGACGGAATGGCGGCGCTTCCATTTCTGGTACAAGCCGAGGGACGCTTTAAACTCAGGATCCTCGCTGAATTCCTTTGCCTTTAGACGTAGCACCAATCCACTAACAGCTATTCCTATGCAAAACGAGTGAGAAAGTTACCAAACGATCGAAAGGTTACAAATTTGACACTTCTTGAATTTGTTTTGACATTTGTGAAAACTGGCCAATGAGAATCTTTCATACACAATGTTGTCACATGATACTACGATAGTTTTGAGTCACACATTCAACTCATATTCACTCTGCAATCAGCTGATTGATTTATTTCGTGATCTTGTGTCTGTTGTTTTAACATACAAAATCAATGCTCGACAAAAAACTTACCTTGGCTTCTTGCTCTGTAAACCATTCCAGTATTCTTTGATCGAGCTCCGAATACTTCGGCGTGAAGCATCCCATCGTCTTCCGTTTCGCTGACAATTTGATCTCGCCGGTTCGCTTAGTCTTTCCTCCAGCGACGGACCACGGACTCACTGATGCCATATTCTCTGGCGATTTCAGAGTTATTTTCAACAGCTTCTGCTTCGGCGACTATTTTAAGTTTAAACGCGACGTTGTATGACGTGCAATGAGCCTTGGGCATGATGACAACTTGACTTGAAATAAACGATTGCGAACACGAGATTCTTTGATAGACGCTACGGATGTCTAGGTACTGGTGATGCCGCTTAACAACAGTTAGTTTTAAATTCATTTTTTGGATCACATTTATTCATCTGAGTTATGATTCGTTGCTTTTCAATTGAATAGTTAGTTACGGGTAATATTTATTAATTCGTAAGAGGGAAGCTTTTTGCATAGTAAATCACCATTGCATCTCTTGTTTACGCGCGTGTGTGTTATCGTCTAAGCCTCATTTATGACAATCAAGGTGATTTTAGGTTTTCCCGTAGTTAACAATTCAGTCTTGTAATAATGAATGGGTCTCGGCTTATAGCCGGGTGTTTTCGATTTGTTTTAGATTCTCGTTATGCCGAGTCTAAACGTTCAAAGTTTGGGGTCTCGGCTTATAGCCGAGATCGGCTTATAGTCGAATAAATACGGTAGATTGTTGTTATTATTACCTGACATTTACACACTGATTGGCAGGGGGAGGGGGCAATGTTGAAGCCTCAGATAATGACATCCAGGTATACCTGCCAGATAGACCACCGTCACATATTATTATTATTATTATTATTATTATTATTATTTCTTCCTCATTGTGCACTGGCTGATCTCATACCAATTTATTTGCTAAGGGAGCAAGTCATAACCCATAACGAAAGGCCCCTTGCAGTTCACCTCCTTACTCTTATTATATAATATAATATTATTATATTATTATATTGTTATTGTTATTCAAATACTTTTTTTAGATGAAATGAATTTTTTTCTAGTCAAAACTAAGTGTATTTCTTAAACAAAAGGAATTGTAAATAGTGTCTTGATGGAATAGTTTTTTTTAAGTGAATTTAATTGTCAATAGGATTTTAATAGTTAGTATTGTTATCAATAAAATATGTTCATTATTATTATGATTATGATTATTGTTCTCATCATTATCATTATCATTATGGAAGGGTCAAGCAGGACTTCCCTAGACTCAACAGCTATAGATACTTTATTATTGGGATGTACATAGAAATTTTCTTTTTTTAGTTTATAGACAGTTGTTTACATTTGCTCTGTTGAAAACCACCGGACCACCAAGAAGTCTTTTTTAACTATAGTTATACCAAATTTGTATTTAATTTTCAATTTGAGAAGAGTTTAATAAAGTATGTTTTTTTGTTGTTATTATTATTATTATTATTATTATAATTAACTAACCTCCACAGCACATATTAAATTACAGTTGACTCTCCGTTAGATGAGCACAATAAGAGAGCCGCACTACAAGCATTAATTAGTGTCCCATCAGAACTTGAGCTTGAACTCAGTGATGTTGCATGAACCGGTTTTCATATATTTTTTTGTCATTTCCTTTAACTTTTAAGGAGTGCTTGTTTCATGCACTGAAACAGAAAAAGTATAACGTTGTTGCAGCCCTTGTGTTTGTCATGGACAGATTTACTTATTGGCAAGGAAGCTCCCATACAACTCTACAGCTTGTTGATTATCTGAAGGCTAACAGTCCTGACACACCAATTGCACCTCAACTGCTCATCAGAAAAGTTAGAATTATGAAAAACGCTGGAGATCTGCAAGGTAATTATCAAATGCACTAACGCAAGAAATGGAAAAAGTTTCTTTTTCTTGCGCTGCGTTTGCAGTTCACACGTGTGAACCGAGGCAACGCAAACGCAAATGCAAAAAAGGGATTTCACAAAAAAAACCGGTTCCATCGCTTCCATGCCACCACGGCGTAGGGAAGTTCAAGAACGGACCTCTGGAGCATGGGTAATCAAAACCCGACAAGAGATTTGATGTCGTAACCTGCAAGTAAGCTCTCCATTTGAGGGATTCGCGGGGTTAGTCACACGAGAGTAGCACGCCAAAGGAGAAGCGATTGCGAGGGGCGCGTTCTCTTGTGGTTGGCTTCGCTAGCAGGCTATCTTTGTCTTTGAACTATTAAATGAGGGTCAGAAGGATAAGTTAAATGCATAAATCAGATGCTGGTCATTGTTTAGGTCTAAGCCTGATGCCATGTGCTTGCGTTTGCGTTTGCATTTGCGTTGATGTAGTTCACACGTGTATCTTGCTTTTCCCTTCGCATTTGCGTCGCACGTGTGACCCAGGCTAAAATGGGCTTTAAGCATCAGTAACAAGGATGATCAATAATTCGTTATACTTTAGGTGCAGAACAAGCCCTTGATGATCTTCTTATTCAGAAGAGCCATGTTGGTGAGTGGATTTACAAGGATAAGCATGACCATCAGCTTGTAAGTGCTGTTTGTATTCAGATCAAAGGTGATATACAGTACAATCTCGGACAGTGGGCACAAGGAGCAAAGCTTTTAATAGATTCGCTGATCTTATTCAGGTAAAGAAAACACTCTTGCTCTTTCATTAAGGTGACTCGACCCAGTTTTTTTGGGGGGGTACCATCCTACTTTGAAGCTCTCTGGTATACCCACCTTTACTTTTATCGTAAGTCTAACACATAGAATGGATAACATATAGATCAATCTACAATATAACATAAAATTTTGGGCGATTGGAGTAAATGTCACGTGGTTATAATGCCACGCCCCTTTGAGGTCTGAGTCGAAAATCTGCTGTTGCCGGCATTTTTCCGTGAAAATCTCTGGGCTACACATAGTGTGCATTAGTGCCTTGCGCTGAACAGAGTTTCACCAAAATCGCAAAGACCCAATTCGAGAAATTCAGCGGTTTCTAAATTTAGGTCATAATTTATGCGAAAATGATAAGCAAACTTTACACGATTATATCTAATAAACTATGAAATTCATCCCTTTATTTTGGGCATCGTTATAACAGATGGGTCCTTGCAAGTCAGCAAAACGCTTTAGGGCCTTGTAAATGCGCGCGATTTCGAGCAAAGCAAACATATAGAAATTATAGTTTTCGCTATTTGTTGACGTCTGTCAGCATTTAAGAGTCCTTCCCACGAAAAAAGCATTTTCTTAAAAATCCGTAGTTTTTTTCCCTTCAAATTTTTTCGGGGCCACAATTGATTAACTAACTACCCGGACTCTGAATTTCATGGTCATTGAAAAACTGTAAACTACCGTAAATGACCGCTTGTATAAGCCCCCCCTGTTATAGGCCCATCTACCTGTAACCAAACAAGTACATCTGATTATAAGAACCTCAAATTTTAGCCCCCCCCACCTATGTATTGAAATGAATTCGATTTATTAACACGTTTTGACAAAAGTCAAAACGCACATTAATCAGCACTACTAGAGTGTATTTTGAAGCGCTTTTTCTATTCTGGTTTAAAGCCCCTCCGTTTATAAGCCTCCCTAAAACCGCCTTATGAAGATGTATATAAGCCTGCGGCTTAAAAGCGGCAGTTTACGGTTTTCACCATTTTCAACGAGACCATGAGCGCTTACCATTTGTACGGAAATTTCGGAGAAAAATTTCCGTCAAATGGTACTGGTATTTTTTTTGGCACCGAAAACAGGAACGAGATTGAGTTGTACCATTTACAAAATACCGGTAAACTTTTCGCTTTCCCTCGACTTAAAGCCTGGCTCTGGTATTCCAAACAAATGGTACAGAAAATTTCGTTCGTTTCGGTAAAAAAGGGATAAAGGTAATACCTCGAAAGGTATTACTTTTTTTCCGGACAATTTTCACCGGGTTGAACCGTTCCAGTTGAATTCTCCCCGGAATTTCCGGGTTTTCCATACAAATGGTAAGCACTCCATAATTCACCTGGTTGACCCCCAAAATTTTGCATAATCATTGCCTTGGATTTGTCTTGGGACGACTGTTATACCTAGGAGAAATTGGAAACAATGGTTATGTAAAATTTTGAGAGGTATACAAGGTGCATTATGGGTCTGTGTTCATTCATTTTATTTTTGTTTCCTTTTTAACCAGTACGCTTCCTATACCTGATACCAAAGGGATCTCTTCAAGCCTGTCTATTCTAGCCAAATGCCTTCAGCAAATGACTTTGACTGAGTACTTTCCTTTAGCTCAGATGTATGGCCTTTCAGCGTCGCATCCTCTACTGCAGTCGTACTACTGTTCGCACGAGGCTGCCTTCAGATCCCAGTATACACCGTTGTTTTACGCTAGACACAAGGTAAGTGATTTACACAAATCTTTAGCTTGTATTTATTGGAAGCAAAGAAAGGGCTTACATAAGAAAAGAGTTTTACTCCCAAAGGATTTGTTTGGAACACCAACATGGCCGCCATAATGCTCTGGAACACCAACATGGCCGCCATGTCGTTATGTGAAAACCGGCGCTCCATTTTCCCCATGAAATCTCAAGGGAATTTGCCCCGTTGTCTTTTCATAAATTATTCGCACATATGCACAAGGATAAGACGAAATTTGAAAAAAAAACAGTTCTCAAGAATATTATCACATGACTTCATTGAGAATACAAAACGTGGAAGCTCAAGAGGTCCATTCACTTGTGTAAGAGCTCACTGTCTTTCGGTGGATAATTTTGATGGTCACTGGTCAAAAAACTTGGCAAGAGGGCTAAAAAGAACTAATTAGTTAGAGTTCAATTAAGCCGTGTCGTGTGTGACCGCTTGTTTCTGAGTTCATTTACCGTGGAAAGTACCCACGGAAACCTCAAATAGCTACCCGGTGAAGCAGCCAATCAGAAGGGCGGCATGCCCCGTTAACGACGCTCAGCAAGCGCAAGTCCCGCGGGAAACAAACTTGAGCGTGACCGCGTTTACTTTTGTGTATTTAAAACACTGTGTGAGGTATAATGCGAGATAAAAACCTCGGAAATTGCTTTTTCCGATGGGGTGGGTAACCAAGACTATTATGGTTAGAATAATAAGCAGTTCTTGATGAAGCGCTCTTTTTGTTTCCGTTAAGGGCCAGGCAGCTGAAGTCATGTTGCGCTACTCGAAACTGATTCCAGACAAAGTTCAACGGCAAGCACATTTAAATATCTCCATTGAAGATTTTAAAGACAGCATTCAAGCACACACGGACTTGCAGTCATTGAAAAGCCGCGAAGAATTCTTTGTGTTTACATGTGCAGTGTACAAATTAGGTCTTGCGTATCAAGAAATGTCGACTCAGGACAGCATTGGACGAGCGCAGCACCTCGACAAAATCTCCAAATTGCTGTATGAACATTACTGTTCATTCCCTGGAGTTATACTTTTAGACAAAAAGATCACCAGTTTGATCGCACACTGCCTTGACTTTTTAAAACTGAGCCATTTTATTGATGGAAACGTCAATCAAACTGAAGGACTGCCGTTTGTACGTGAACAGGTTAAGTCAAGTTGTTTCCTAATGAATTCTGTCAAGCCCAACGCAACCAGTGAAGAAGGAGAGACTAAAAAACCCTGGAAAATACCCGAAACAGACTGCCCAGTAAGCTCAGTAATAGACGGAGTCAATATAGATAATGAGGAATTTAGTTTTGCAAGCCACGAGGATGTTTTGAAAAAGCGAAGTATGGGACGATCAGTGACAGACAAGTTAAGTGAGACAAGGGAACACATGACCGCTGACATCATGTCTGCTTACTCAGGAAAACCACAACCGGAGAAGAATGCAAGTGAAAATGGAATAACTATCGACCGTGAATGTGACACCAAGGACAGTAAATCTGTTGTCATGGAAACTGTAGATCGTAGTGTTATCACTCAGGATTTAGAGCTCGGGACAGTACCTCTACTGTTTGATGGATTCTTGCCTTCTAAAGTGCTAGATATTCAACCTCAACTTCAAGCTTTACAGCTAGATTCAAGCCAGAGAGTTCAAGGTCAGTAAAAATTTAGTGACAGCATGATATTTTCACTTTCACGGCTTACGAAAACCTTGAACATAAAATATATCATCAGTCCAGCTAAATCTCTTGACAAGTTCTCACCCTGTCTGTGTCAAGTGTCACACAACGTCAAAGACAGTGAAATGTCTAAAACTGGACTAGAAAAACCGCACCGAGGTGAATCTAACAAATTTTTGTAAGGCGGTCCAAAAGCTTTCATATTTTAACTACGATATGAGTGTTGCATGCAAGAATTATGCAAGAGCAGTTGGTCAGTGAGTAACAAAGTGAAAACAAACCTGTGTTCTGATGGTTTTATTGACGAAGCGTAGTTTGTATGCCCAGACCCCACTCTTGAATTCACCACTTCTGTGAGAGGCTACAGTTAGAGAGAGCGACAGTTGTGGAATTGGATTAGCTAACAAAACCCTCAAACAGTAGAAGAAGTAATAATTAGTTTTTGGCTGGCTGGTGTGTCCTTATCTCCAACTTCCTTTGCCCATGACACAATCGACTTCCATTAATTCCCGATTTTCCTTACTTAATTTGACACTAATTGCAGGAGATGGGAGTTAGAAAGTTAAGAACACCTGTAGTTCGGCACATTTGACACCAGGGGTATCTGAAATTTGTGATTCAGTATTTGTTTCAGTCTCTTGGGCATTGTTTGTATTTTAACATTTAAACAAAGAAATACATAATCCCAGGGCTGCCCTTTGCCTGCATGCCATGGAGTTCGTTACTTAAAGGGCGTTTGTAAATTTTACGCTTGCATCCAAGGGGGGTTACTCCCTTACATAGGCTATATCGGTATGTGCCGCCCCATCGGGTAGGGTTTTTGCGCCGTTTTGGTCTGAAAACGGGTGTACACTTTGCCCATTTTGGTCTGGAATCGGGTATGGTTTACTTTTTGAGGGAACTACGGGACTGTATGAACGTCATGATCGTTTCAATTCCAAATGAGTAAGAAAGAAAGAAAAATATGCAAATTCGAAGTGGATTTGAAGAATTTTTTTTGTTTGCACTTTGATCTAAGTAATGATTAGATAATTTCTGCCTAAAGGCCAGATCTGAAAACGGGTATGGATTTTAGAGGTCTGGTCTGAAAAGGGGTGTGGAAAATTGCATTTTTGGTCTGAAATCGGCGTTCCGGGTGGCACACCCCCTCCAGAAATTCCCAGGAGTACTCCCCCCCCGGGAACGCACTAAAAAATTACGCGACAGTGGAAATTCACCCTTAGCCTCGTTTTGAAGTAGATGCCTAGGAAATAGCCTATTTTCCTCCAGTTGAACGAGAACCGAAAACAACTTCATATTTTGCTAAATGAGGGTAGCTGCTCTAAGTATCGCTAATGTTGCATAGTCTGCTGTGCTTAATGCCCAGTATTCCTTAATGGAGTTTCTTTACTAAGTTGTTGATTGTCCAAACTCTCACGTTGGTTTTCCGTGATTTAAGGTGCCGTTGTGTGGAGATTCGACTCCACACGTAACGAATGGAGAGGAGAAAACACTTTGGCTTTCGTAGGAAGTGTACTGGAATTGGAGGAAGGCAAGGAAGGAGCTCAGAGGAATGCTTTCATGGTGGAGTTTATCAATCAAGATGATCCCTTTGCAAAGTAAGTGCAAAATAACTGAGTATGTAATACCAATGTCTTTTGATGTCAGGTCTCATCCCCGGCTTTAGCACGGATCGACCGTTAAAGTGGCTATGTCTATTGATAGTGCATCTCGTACGCGTCCTTGTTCGCTATGGAACCTGACAAAGTACTCGAGAGTGCTTCGTGTCAAACAAACTCCCAAGCATCTTATTAAACCATATCAAGCATCAGGCTAACTGAACAAGGTTTCAAACACTACAATTGCAATCCATTTCAGTCTTCTTCAAGTTTGTTTATTCGTGTCTCCTTTTGTATTAACTGTTATTTATTCCTTTTTAATGTTCTAAGAGGTTATTTTCATGTTTCCTGACTCAGTTTGGTGACAGATCCCACCTTTCGAATTTTGATAAATTTCGTTACACAGCTTCTTTAACTGGTAGGACGAAGGTATTTACCTGTAAGAAAATCGTTACGATGTAGTTTCGGGCGTTTTCTCGGAGCACGGACGGGGTGGGGGTACCTCGTGGATGGGTCAACAACTCTACTGTTTCAGCTTGATCGCAGCTTCAATTCTCCCCAGTCCTCCTTTGCCTTTAATCTTAATTCGGAGTTATTGCCGTCGTGGTTAAGATACCACGGAGTTAAAGATGTCACAACGGCGGCGGCAGCTACTTTGTCAAATGTAGACGAACACTCCTGAAACCGAATTCTTAAGAAAAAAAACAGTTCAAAGAGAGAACGAGAAATTCGTCGTAATTTGTTTATGCTTTTTCCCAATGAAGGTCTCACGGGAATTTTCTTTTCATAAATTATGCGCGCGTGTGCACTGGAATAAGACGAAGTTTGAACGAAGCAGCTCGTTAACGCATTATCACATGATCTACATTGAGAAAACAAAACATACAAGCTTGAAGAGCCTATTTCACGTCTTAGGCTATATTCAGAAGCCATGAAAACATCCGGTAAGGCATGAACAGCAACGGCCCGGAGCAGCACAAAACGTTTACACACATCGAACATCGTGCCAGCGCGGTTGGCCGAGAATGTTTGGTGCACGTCACTTAATTTCCGCCCTCACTCTTGAATTGGTGGTTTTCACTGTCACGCCATTAAAAATATAAATGGAAACCTTTTAAGTCTAGAATCTGGGAAATGAAAGAAGATAACTATGCAAAAAGCCTTGCCAAGAATCAGGTCTGTAATATATTTCATATGCGAGATATTCAGAAAAACGTTTTACCCAGATTCATAAAGCTTTGTACGAAGACGCCATGTTTGTTGTGGCACAAATATGGCCGCCGAAAACAACAGAAACATCGGTTTTTGAGTTTCCTACTAATGCGTGAATTCTTCGCCTGAGGAACTCATTAAGATTAAAGTAATATTTATTCGGAGACAAGGAACGTTTAGATGGCAAAATTTCCCAAGATCGGTAATATTTTCAACCCAAAGAGCTTTCCTGGCCTTCAGCTAAATGCCACGTCACGCAAAAGCCTGGAAATTTAAGCGTCCTGTATCGCAAAAAGAAGAATCCTTTTGGAGCGAAAATTTGTTTGTATAAAGGTTTTAAGGTGCTGTTCTACCACATCAAAGTAGAAACTCAGAAGAAGCGATAGGTCTTAGTTTGAATTTTGGTGACGTCATGTTCTCAGAGGGTTCCAGTCCTCGCTCCTACTTATTTACTTCCGCGACGGGCCGAATAAGTGTTGGTGTTCAAACTGCACCAAAGTATGGCACAAAACCTATCAAATATGTCAGGCCTTTTTTTTTTCAAACATTGTAGCGTTTATTCACGAGACGCGTTTGCATATCTCAACCCCACAGCGATAACTCGTGAAATGCCCTTCGGACAAAAAGGATAATATACATTGGCGTTCTAAGCACGTAAAGTACAACTAAATACTTAACGCACTATACACTACGGTTAGTCATAATCTTCTGCGTATTCGGGAAGTGTAGGACGGCCAAATCTATATCATTATAACATTAATTGCTTATCTTGTAGGTACGTAGCCAAATGTTATAAGAAGACCAAGAATATACAGCAGTATCAACAAGACGTGATATGTCAGATGACAGCTCGTTACTATGCAACGCTTTTCAATCAACAGCTCTACCAGGCGGGTAAGCATCAGTTTCTTTCGTAAAAATCCAGCAATGATTTCTGTAAGTTAAGATAAAATTTCTTGTTTACCCAATCGAATGCCGTTGGTGTTGGTATCTCTGTGAGCGGAGGGAGGAGGAAAAACGTTTGCCTCCACATGTAAGTAGTATAGGGCGCACCGAATCTTATCATCTTGCGGGGAATTACATTAACGTAATAGCCTTTTGTCTTTATCTCATGAATAAAATGTAGTGGAATCTCATTATAGATGTTAGGCATCACGTTTACGTCAAACGGCAAACGCGAAGTTGTAACACGTGACCAAGTTTCCCCTTTACTTGTCGTTTAGTTTTCATTATTTCTAAACATAAGTTAGTAGTTTCACGCCATTTTTTATCCATAAGAATCGTTTTCAGCTGTTTTTGTTTGCTCTTTTTCTATTTTGAGAAATTCTCCGCTTGAATCTGACGTTTGCCGTTTGCTGTATACGTGAAGCTTAAACTCTCTAATAACATAAGGTCATGTGCTATTTTTGAATGGTTTAACCGGTTTGACAGGTTTTCTAGTTATTTTAAGATCGATGAAGGTTTAAGAAAAGTATTTATTTGTTGATTCATATTGTCGAAAGAATAAGCTCTTACTCGCCTGTTCTATTTCCTGCCGCTTTCATTGTCCAACAATTTGTTCCAGTTCCGATTCACTGATTCTTTGTTCGCAGATCGTGCATATTTAATGAGGACGAAGTCAAACTATCTCTTTCTACCACGAAAAACAATTTCGCGCTTTCCCTCTTTCTCCACCTCCACCACCACTACCACCACATTTCTAAACTAAAAGCGCCAATGAAAATGCAAACTAAGAAGAATCTCAACTGCGTATAAAGTTGTGCGAAATACCAATCTCTAAATTTTCACTTTCTAAAATCTTTGTATTGTAGAATTAAACGTCGGTCACATCCAGTTCCTACCTGTAGTCTTGCTGCAGTTGATTAACGAGGATGGTTCTTTAAGCGGTGTGTACAATGTCGAACCGTACATGGCAGGAGAGTTTGTCAAACTCACCAACAATTTAAACTTTGTAAGAAGAGTAGGCCCAGTGTCTGACCTCGTCCTGGCATTTGGTCATTTCTCCTACCAGGCTTCCAACGAGCTGTTGGTTATCGTAGACATTCAAGGTTGGACGCCATCAGCAGAGAATCAATCTCGTTGCACATTCCTCACTGATCCGCAGATCCATTCTGTGGTTTACAAATGCTTCGGTACAGGCAATTTGCGTCAAAATGGTTTTGACGGGTTTTGGCGTCATATGCACCCAGAATGTAACGAAATCTGTAAAAAGCTACAGTTGGTCAGGCCAAACGCTAAATAGTGATATTGAACTTTAGAGTCCATATCTCCCCATTTTTTGATAATTTTTATACCAGTCCTGTTCACAGAGATAAAAGGTAAAATTCTACTGAAACAATGAATAATATTTTCTAGAGACCTGAAGGATAAAGAAACCTTTTATTAAAATTCATGAATTTAGGACTCTTCTTTGAGAACAAGATAAACTGCGAAACAGTTTCTTTTCCCACAAAATCGGTTTTTCAAGGCACCCTCGTGAGGTTTTCGCGTGAAGTGAACGAGCCTCACAGGCGTTTGAGGCGATAAAAAAATGTTTGTTTTTTTCGCGTCCTCTCCCCAGTCTTACACCTTGTTTTCATCCTCGTTCGGAGATTAGTGTTTGACTGCTCCTGCATTCTTGACCTACGCAAAAATACGGGCTGTTTTGCAGTCTATGAACCAGATAGTGATTTATTTTTATTTATTTTACTTTCTTTAGAAAGTTGAAGTTAAACAGTAAAAATATTAGTTTGACAAGCTTTTAGTCGGTGGAACCCGGCTAAGGGGATAGCTACCAAAAAGTGATAATATATTATAAGGATATTTTAACATTATTTTAACATTATGTCGACTTTTAACGCAATTAAGAAGGAAACAAAAGAGCAATAGTCAAAGAAAAATCAGTACGCAAAGTTTAATAGAGGCAAGGTAGTAGAGGCGCACAACTGTAGCCAGCAGAGTGATTTTCAAGTACAGTGTTTTTAAGGGTCTTTTAATAGTCTGCACATTGATCAGAAGATCAGAATCAGAAGATGTGTAGGTACAATTAATGAACATCTTCCCTCTAAGCGGATGTGTCAGAATGTCGGGGGCACCTCAGTAGGTGTTCCATGCTTTGTAACCCAGTGCCACATTGAAAAATGATGTCGTTAGAGTTATTTCCCCTTAGCAGAGCCGGAGTAGCACCTCGTCACAGCTAAAACCATTCGGGGCTCTTCTCTATGACTCTAGTAGTAGGGTGAAAACGTTAACTCGTTAAATTGGCATACTGCCTATAAAAAAAAGAGGCTTTAAAAACAGTAAACTGCGGAAATAAAATTGTTTTTCGAGACAAAGAATACTTCAATAAATAGAAGGAATTACTTGCCAAAATATTAATGATTTTAATCTTTCCTCTGCAACTCTTAAGTACAGGAATTTCATTCAAAATTGTAGTACTAAAATAAAATAGCTTGTGAATGATTAATATTCTTTGTCTTTTCGTGTAGCAGTGTTCTGTAGATCACTTGCGTTATAAATAGCTATTATACTTCCTTTTTTTCTTTGTCTTCACCATACCTATGTGTAACGTAACTAGCCAATGAAATCATGTCTGTTTGACCAATGACTCTTGAGTCAACGTACCAAACATTTGATTATTTTGGCATCGGGGCACCCAACGATTTTTTTCTTTAAAATAACAAGTCAAAACAGCAAATATTGCCTAAAAATTTCCAAAGGCTAAACCGTTCGCCATCTCTCGAAGACATTCGGAGTATTTCCGTTTTAAATTATTTACGATTTTCTCGGATGAGACGAAAAAGCCCCCTAAAACTTTCGAGACGACCAAATCTCCCCAAAATATCCGAACAGATAAACAGTTTTTTAAGGCAGCCCCAAATTAACCATAAAAGCTTTTAAAGCATAAAGAAAATGATTTGAGACAATTCTTACGTATTTGGAGACATTTTGATCGTTGGGTGCCCTGGAGCAATAGAAGTCTAAAATAATGACTTTTCTTTTCTCCAGAGTAATCACATCACAATCTATTTACTATGTCCTGTTATTTCTGTTGTAACTTTTCATATAATTTAACTGTTCCTCAATAAATAAATAAAAATCACATAGACTTTTCCCTGTAAAGAGCTAACGAGAAGTTTCAATACGAAACAGGTACATCTGCCCTGGAAGTTGACTTCTTGGTAGAACAGGGAACTTACGCAACGACGACAGACAACGGCAACGAGAACCGCAAAAAAGAGCAGGATAATGAAAACAACCATTTTGCTCATTTTGTTCATTTCCTTGCCGTCGTTGCACAAACACGACGTTAAAATTTCACGTTTTGTAGAGGACGTGAATACAAGGGAAAGATTTTTTTTTTCTTTTTTAAAAATTTAGATACAGTTTATTAGATATCAACTCCAGAAAAATTACTAACATTTGACAAATCGAACGACATGGAATAAGCAGCACGAATTCACTTTTTGAGAGACGTTTCCTACTGTCGTCGTCGTCATTACGGAGTTTAAGATACCACAACGGCGACGGCCACGAAAACGTCGCTTAAAAGTGAATTTGCGATTCTTTAACGATTACTCCAACTCATTTACTTTGTCAAACGCAAGCGAATTCTTTTTGAGCCGAATACCTAAGAACCATATTCATAGCCGTCGCTTTTTTACGTCCTCCATAAAACCTGAAATTAGGCATTTTCCCCTCGTAGTCGTGCAGTGACGGCAAAGAAATGTACAAAAAAGCGTGATGCACGTGCAGAGTTATTGTTTTACCTATTCAACCTACTGCTTTTTTGACGACCTCATTGTCGTTGCCTTCGTGGCATCTCAAAGTCCCTATTGCTTAATTGTCCTAATTATTGTTTGATCTAGAGATCTTGGTGGCCTCGATGAGTAAAAAGAAAACACAGCAAAGCATTCTTACATTATACACAATATAACTTATGACACCACATACTTAAACAATATTAAACCGAACTACTTTCTTTGATTTTATCTCTTAACTCTTAAAGCCTTATACAAAGTCTATTAGTGCTGTCCTTCCGGGTTTATGACGTCTTGACGTCTAATCTGCATTGCGGAAACATCGACTCTGTATAAGTCTGTATTTTCTTTACATTGCTTGCTAACATGTACTACGTTTTAGCTACAAAAATATGCAGAGAACGCCACTGTGGTCAAACGTATGTGCATAATGAGATTTTACTTACTCTGAAGCATAAAAACACTAGCAAAGATATATTAAATCATACGATGTGTTTTCATTCTTCGTAAAAAGGTGAGTTTCTGTTTCCGTTAAGAAAATTAACAGCACAATCATGATGCAAAAGTATCAAAATTTTAACGGTGAAATAACAACCGTAGCTGCTTGAAGCACTTTGCTACGTTTGTTGTTGCAAATAGACCTTTCCCACATTACGCTCCAGTGAGCAAAGATAAAGAAATGAGGACGAGGCTCAGGTGGACAATTTCATACAAATCACTGTATTTTGTCCACCAGAGCCTCGCGTTGGTGCGTTTGTTTACAGGAATGTGAGAAGGGTCTATTGTTCCCGTTTGAAAGCGGTCAAACAAACGACAGCAGCTACCAACCATCATTTTCAATCTACTCCTCTAGCTCGGCCCAGGCTTCCTCAGCCATAACATAATACTTGTTTGCCATTTTGCCCTTCATAGAAGCGATTGCTAAATCGCCGGCTGCCGAGTACATCTCGCCAGCAGTCTGAGGATCCTTGTCCAGTCCGTACCCCCCTTGTTGATACAGGCGAGCTTGAGCAGCAGTCAGTGCATAGTTAGGATCGGTGTGTAGCGGATGTGGATCGCCATCCTCATCCACTATATCGATAGCTCTCTGATACCACTTGACTGCCTCCAGCCAGCTGCGTTCCCTGAAACACAAGATCATAATCACTCGTTTCAGGTTTGTTAAAGCGCTCCAACAAGGAACGAAAGTTTGGGGCCATCTAAAGAGCAGATAACAATTCATACAGACGTCTAAACCCGAACTCGCCGACTGTCGATATCTAAAATCAGATAGAAAACTTCAGTTAACTCTCTCTGACTGTAATGACACCTTCATAAGACGGACGCCTAGATTTGGTCCCTCCTTTCTTCAGTCCTTGTGTTCGACTATCTACAAAGCGGACACCTCTCTAAAACAGATGCCCAGTCCCAGTCCCAATGAGGTCCGTCTTAGACAGAGTTAACTTAAGATTTCCATGCGATTTTCGAGGTCAATCGCCAAGTTTGAGAGGCCGCTATCTTGATTTCACATGGTGAGCAAAAACTGAGAAGAGTATAAACTGCCCGTGATAACGGGAAGGGGAGGGGAGAAGGCAGGGGATGGGGGACGGTTACATAGACCTCAGGACCAGTCATGAAGTGCCAAGCATGGTAACAGTTAACTCTGAGTCTAAACCGGCTACTCTTAGGACAATCACTATGTGTCCTTCTAGCCTGTTCCAGGCTCCGAGATAGTCGGGTCCGTTGAAATGAGAAAGAGTGAACACGAAAAAAAAAAACAACGGGAGGAAACTAGGAAGAGGAAGGGCGACCTTCCTTTTTCCTTTTTCCCGCCCCGCCAACTTTTTGCGTGTCTTTCACTTTCGCATCTTCCCCACTATCTGAGAGGCTGGAACACGCTAGTGTCCGTCTTAACAGGGTATCTGGCTTTTAGAGAATCAAGAGAAATGACTGAGCAACGCCAGAGACAAAACTCTAGATGTCCATCTAGTGGTGTCCGTTAAAAAGCACATTACCGCTGGGACCCCAATCCGTTTCCAGTTTCGTAGGCCTTCGCCATATAAACCATGGCCTGTCTGTCTCCCAGTGTTGCTGCTTTTAGCATGTACTCTACTCCCCGGTTTGTTGCTTCGTCAGATTCCTGAAAAGAAACACAAGCAAATCTTTTACACAAAAACGACAAGTTTTAAAAAGTTCCCGAATTTTATCTTTGACATTTTTGGAAAAAGTGGAACTCAACATGTACCACGGGAATGAACTGCTCAGTACTATTTATTTGAGTGGTCACACTACACGATTCCATCCACAGACTCAACGTTAGAACAACTGGTACAGCCGATGTAATAAACAGGGCCACAGGGAAGCACTGCACAGTAGCTTTTATTTGAGCGGTCACATTGTACAATTTCATCCACCAACTCAATTCTTAGAACCACCTAGTTATAGCATAATAAACAGTACCATAGGATCGTAGACTACTCAGTAGCCTTAATGTGAATGGTCACACTTTAGGATTTCGTCCACACACTCAAATGTGAGAACCATCTTGTACAGCATAATAAACAGCATCACAGGTTGGGCTTTTATTTGAATGGTCACAATACATAAACAGAACCAGTCAAAGAGTTATGTTAATCACCTGCACAGTGACTGCAGCTAGCAAATCATGAGGTAGCTGTAAATATATCTCAGCCATAGCTACTAACGCTTGTAAGTCTCCACAAGCCGCTGACTGCTCCAAGTGAAACAAAGCGCAGTCCATTTGAGGCTCATTGTTAGTAAAGCGACCAATCTCATTACATTTGGCGAACTCCAGATGAACCTACCAAAAACAACAAATATTATTAAATCATCTATAGTGCTCATGTATAATATTTCCTCTTCTAGCCGGTTACAGTTGCTTTATTATAATCTTTGTGCAGCCTACACATTTTTTATTTTAAGGTAACTACTATGGGCTGTATTTCCGCCACCCTCTCGGGTCCAGACTTGTTTCCGATCCCCCACCCCCCACCCCGAGAAGAATGCGTTTCCGTTAGTCGGCAATACGTCTGCAACGTAAAAAACACAACAGAAACCTTAACATAGCTTTTCAAAGGATGCTTTCACAAATTAGCTTAAATTTTAAGTTAGGGAGATGCAACCACATGCACACTTTCGAGTGCCTTTTATATTGATGAAGTAATTTTCTCGCTCTGAATGACAACATCTAAAGAAACATTTTCCACTGTTTCCCATTACTTCATTCCCACCCTGGATCGTTATTTCATAGTTACGTGATTAAATTACTGTAACCACTATCCAGATATAATTATATATGTTTAACCACTTTCATGGCTTAAATGCAACATAAGTGGCCCAGTCACACTGACCTGTCCAAGAATGGACACGCTTTTTTCTCTTTTCTGCTGCTCGGCTGCCTCCAGTTGTAATTTTTCAAGTAATGCAACCTCAGCAAACACGCTGGATGCCTTGCGCAACATGCTTTCTGGAAATAATTCATGCACTTCTTCATCCTGAGGAAAACAAAAGTATATACATTATCGAGTTAAATGGCAATTTCATTCCTCTCCCTCTGTATTTGACTCTGTCGTCTTAATCCTTTAGCGGCATAGTGACAATGATTTCAGTCTCTAACACAAGCCACACAGAAAAACTGTAAACTCTGTGGCGTCTCCAATTAAATTCCGCCCAATTCCACTTTCAGCACATTCACAACTATTCCGCCGGCAATTGTCCGTTTTGAACCGCATTCCTGCGTACCACTTGCGACACTTATCAGTTTTAACGGCTTAAAAAGACAAAATTTATACTTACATTGTGCAGGAGAAGTGACGTTTTAAAACATATGCAAATGAGCTACAGTCTCAGACAAAAATAGTTGGGACACTTCCACCCAACACTGTTTTTTCACTTCTTGCCCGTCTCCTCGTCCTTCCGATGTTGGTTATCGCAGTAAACTCACTTTATCTTGCACACCAACATTGGGAGGGCAAGAAGACAGCAAAGTGTCCCAACTATTTTGACTGAGCCTGAGGTTCAGTCAACGCGCCAGAAAAAACGTTGACCGGGGATAATCGAGTGGCAATCTAATTCGACCACCCACCTGTAGTGCATGTCTTTAGAATAATGTCAGAAACTTTGGCTTTTCTTCCAACAAATTTCGCACCGAAATGATTCAAGTAAATGACTATCAAATGAAAATTAAACAAAAGCGGGGACGAAAAGCGAAAGAATCAGAGAGAAAGCAAGAGGTCAATGTCTAGGAAGCAGTGTCTTGCCTCCTGTGCATGCCCGGAGTTAGACAGAGTTAGGTTAAGTAGCGTGGCATCGGGAGCAAACGCCAGTATAGAACTCGACTTGTAAATACTGTTATGTTCGGGTAGTTTTGCCTGTTTTTGGCCAGAAAACAACTAAAAAATGGTTCGACTAACTAGCTTCAAACGGTATTTTCGGCGAAATCTTAATCGGGTTTAAGGTTCGCTAAATAGGCTCTTCTCCGACTAAGAATTTTCTACGACCTTTCTGTAGGGAAACTAAGAATATCTCGCAGATCAGGCATTTCTGTTTAAGGTTGACACTTAGCCCAGGAAATAACTGACCTCGTTTTCAGTAAAAACATCACTTTGATCACTCTCAGTCTCGGAAGAATCTGATTGTGAGTCGGAAAGCTGACGCGAGTATCCCGACAATAACCCGGACGAGGACGACAATGAAGATCGAGGGGAGTCTGGTTCCGAAATAGACGGAGATGGAGGCGGGGACTGGGCCAAGTACTCAGTCATGTCATAAATTGTGGAGGAGATCTTGCGGCCAGGAGATGTGCAAAGCTCACTATTTTTTAAGACAGTAGTGGACTCTTGAATGTTTCGCAGAGCTTGGTCGATTCGATCAACTTCTTTAGGGCTAAGATCAAATGGAGACAGGCCAAGACTCTCGCAGATTCTGCAAAAAAAGAACAAACAAACAACGTCCTATTAATTGCCAAGCACCAATGAGATGGCCCGTCAAAAAAACAGTACCATGATTTAAGCAATACTAAAAGCTACGCCTCATTTCACTGTTGTTCGCACGTGTGCGTAACCATTTAAATGAAATGAAATGTAACGCTCAAGTTTTGTGTATGGATTAAACTTGATGGTCTATATATGTCAGAACAACAAAAACAGCCATGCTAATTTCTGCAAATATCACTAATAAAGAAAAAGTGTTCAGTGCGGTCAAGTTGCTGAAAATAATAGAATGTTCCTTGTCTCCACCTCTATTCGCGACTCTAGCAACGAGAAAAGAAAACCTTACTGGAGACACACCGGTCAGCTATTGGCCAATTGTTTTCCCTTTCCCTGGTAATAGTTCCAGAAGCGTGAAAGGTTTGAATCCTGCAGGAGTCATTTCAAAAGTAGGTTGAGTATGATCGTCCGGGTGAACGTAGTCCTGAATAGTGATGTTGACAGTGACTGACGTTTCGACAACCTGTGCGGTAGTTATCTTCAGGGTCAAAGTGAGTTGTGTCTCGTCAGTTGATGCTATTTAACTCTGGTTATTGATTTGATTGGTCAATTAGGTCGCGATGTTATTGTTCGTCCGTCAGTTAAGCCGTATAATGTTATTGGCAATGAAGACTCGTAATGTCATTGGTGCGTTTCGATCCGTCTATTGTCACGGTTAAAACAGTCGTTTATTGTTAGTCAAATTGTCGGTTGTCCAGTCATTCTCGGATAGTTAGTTTTGCTTGAGTCCGTCAATAAGTCGTTTGTGCGGTGCTGGTAACTGTTGACTACGATCCAGTAGCGTTTGTTCTAAGTTAGTAAACCAACTTTCTAAAGTGAGTCGTTGATAGTAGTCCCAGAAGTCTTTGCGAAATTCACTCGTCCCAGTTTCCTTCTCGTTTCTTAAGTGGCGAATTTAGGGTGGGGCCCTGGCGCCTTGGCACGTGTGATGCACATGACCATTTACAGCCAATCGCTATCACACGACAAGGCATTCAACAAATTCCTGATTTGCGGAATAGAGTCAATAAAGACTGTGAGATATGGCCAAAAGTTTCCTCGCTCATTGCTGCGAAAATAAAAACATGTTTTCAAGGACATAGAATGAATTACCTGTTACATTTATGGGAGCTGAAGAACAATGCCATCCCTCTTGGACCTAGGTTGGCATCTCCATACCCCTTGCCATCCGAAGTGTGAATCTGTGGGTCTGTGTACAAGTCACCGACTCCTGTAACAACAATAAGCGAATCCTTGTTTACATATTTTCGATTAACATACGCTTATTATTATCTGATGAAGTCAATAAAATAGAACCTTTGAATACAAAGAGCATACCAATTCAGTTATATCTGAAACTTTGAACCCGATATAGGGAATAGTTTTGGGGAGATTCTCTTTAAAAGTCGAAAATTTACAAAGAATGTATGAGCTCATTAACGTTTTTGCCACCCAGCAACTTCTCAGTTTTTGATTGCCTACAGTGTATATTTCCTTTGCTATTGATTCGAAGAGCTGAAGATCGGAAAAACTGCTCAAACTAACCAGCTCTTTCAACTTTTGAACCTAATTTGTAAATACGGGTACATCTTCAAAGTTAACTTGTTTGCTAATGAGCAAAAATGTAAACAATGACGTCAGCAGGAATTCCCCTATAACCTGATTTGCCAAGCCAGGACAACGACTAATGTCTACCAGGCAGCAAACTTAAGAAAGCGTTAAAATCGATATGCAAATCTTGCTGTTTTATCTAAGAAAAATTTAACATTATTAACAACATAGCAAAGAGAGAAGGAACTTGAGTTTTCCCGATATTTCGGACAGACAAGCCATCCTTCTTGTCATCCCCTTATCAAAATGAAGGACGGCTTGTCCTTCCGAAATATCCGCTAAAACTCAAGCCGCTTTTGTCTTTGCTGTCTTGTTAATAATGTTAAAATTAATTTGTTTTAATAAGGTAACTGCAATTCGAAGTCGTTTGTCACCAAGCGTATCTATAGGAAACTGACAACAAGTGATATTATTTGTACCGAATACTGATTTCTCGGTAATTTTACATAACGTTTTGCAGACCGATCCCCTCTCCCATCGTTTTAACCAGTTTCTATCCTGTTTGTGTTGCGTTCGATAATCTTTTTTCCTCCTCCTTATTTCGTTTGTTTTACTTCCTCATTCTTTGCCTTTCGTCCGTCTGGGATAATCCTCTACTCACAATAATGATAACTCACTTCAAAAAAGAGGGCTAAAACATCCTCCCCATACAGGACACGTCCTTAAGAAGGACAATGAACTATTCAAGTACGACATTTTAATTCTAGACTTTATAACACTCGGAAAAATCGAGACAAAATCTATTATGAACAGTTACGACTTCAAGATAATTCGAACAACAACAATTTGCCGTCTGACCTTTTTGAATTCTAAAAACAAAAACTTTTTAAAATCAGAGATTAAATAAAACCAGGGACATCTTTACAATCAAGTTTCGATAAAAAAAATACAGCTGAATACAAACATTAACGACACATTCATACACGGTTTGGCTCGACATAAAGTAAAATATTCACAAATTCCAGCAAGTAAGTGTTTGAAATTTGAAAACACACAGTAGACAGAGTAATAAACAGGTCTTCTTCTCGTTGGAGTTTGTGAATATATCATGGCGGCTAAGCCAGCAAAAATTCTAATTCACACTTTTATTCAATGGCCATAACTCGAAACTGGACTATTGTAACACAAACAATAATTTCAAAGAACCATTCCAACTTACCTTGAATGTCAACAACAATCAACTGATGTCCAGATCTCTCAAATGTAAAATGACTGAAAGCCTGTAAATGTCAAGTATGACCTTCAATGCTTTTCTTGTACAGTATTCATGACACTGGGACTTGTTGGAAGAATTACACTAAACACGTTCTCATTTAAAGATGGACAACATTCAGACATGCACAAATTGGTCTTAGAGGTTGTCCAATGTAATATAACTAGAAACAAGGTAAAGACCCGAAGCGCAGCTTAGAAAGAGTTTACTGCACCTAAACATAAAAAGGAAAAGCTGGAAACTAATTAAAAACATGACAAGAAATCACAGACATGGATAAAGAAACTTGATGTTTAAAAACGAAATTCTGTACAACTATTTTTAGCAATGTAAAGAAATATTAACTACCATTTCAGCATGTAATATTCTCACTGCTTACATCTATCACAAGGAACTAACTTATGGGAGAAAAGCGCCACTGCCAGGACAATATTATTGAGGTTAGGCATTGTCGACAGCCATCAGAGGAGGGGAGGTGGGAGGGACGAAACTTCACTTTCTCTCATCTTCACTTCACCAAGTCACATCCACTGAACTTCGTTGAACTAGCCAAGAGGAGGGGCAAAGACTGTACATTTGTAAGCAAGGGTAGCCTGGCAGCATGCGCTCCGACACTAGCTTGTCTGTAGGCTACGGCATCTAGTTGATTCTTCAGTGCAGCCATACATCATGTCATACAAGTGCGCAGGCTTGACATGACACAATTTAAAGGACTTTTTCATCTTCCATGTTACAGGCCAATAGGATAATTGTGTGAAGACTTATGACAACTACCAGAATCCTTCCGTTTGTTGTTTTCTTTTGTAAATTAGGGCTATTGTTTTTTAAACCTCAGCGGGATTGAAAAATTTAAGTAGGTAACACGAGATGCATTCTGGTAGTTGACTAGTCAAATGTCATCAAGGTCAAAGTGGACTAAAATGTATGTAGTGAGAGTGCTGGACTTTGGGTGCCATCGTGCATGCAAGTTACCTGAGGGGTACATCGCAAAGTTTCGTCTTGACGTACGAATCCAGAGTTGGAGTTGTACTTGATATACTTTCCTTCAATAAAATGTTCCAAATGAAACAAAGGTGAACCTTCCCTTTCCTTCATTTCAATCACATACACCTGGAAGATATCAACCTGCAGGTAAAGAAAACACAAAACACAAGGGGTTGATGAGTTAAAATCATCGTAAGGATTGTGAAACATTAAAAAGAATTCCAGATTTCAAAAAATTGATTCCTGGTATGCAGGATTTTGGCCAGGGTTCTCCTGAAGCTCTGGTGTGGGATGAAAATTGGCATTAAGTCACCATACAGGTCATGGCTACTAACAGAAAAAAATTTCCATTACTGTTTGTTTCCAAAAACCTTGCTTAATAAAAACAAATATATGATCTATAAATTTAAGAATGAACCAAAAGTTGAAAGGTGATGTCCTCCCATGACCAAAATTCTTTCCCTGGTCAATCAATATGCACTTAAATACACCTTTCAAGGTAGCCAAAATTAAAATTGTATTGGGAGGAGCACCTGGACCCCCCCCAATGGAAGGGGGACAAGCCCCAAACCCACATATGGATGCGCCTTTCAAACTGATCTGTTGCCTCCTACTTAAATTTTTTTTCTCCTTCTAAATTTGCTTTAAATTTCTGGAAAACTTTGATTTTGGTACCGTCCAGTATTTTGACATTCTAGAAGTGGAATGTTAAAAAGTGCTAGTTATGATTACGAAAATAAAGCAAACCTTTTTAGGTGCGTTATATCTGTTATACTCTTCACCCCAAAGCTTTGCATCCATCTGTAGCCTGACGTCATCAAAGTAAACATTCCTGGGAACTTGTTCCATGTACCGCTTTGCAACATAATTAGCTGCATGCTTCCAGTTCATGTGCTTTGAGAAGTTTGATAACTTTTTCCTGTAGTAAAATCATTTATCAAATAAACACTGATGAAATACCACGTGGAATCTTCACATGAAAACATGACATTTTTACACATAAAAAGATCATCACTGCTATGTTTACATAATAAATTGCACCTCATTTGAGTTTATACTAAAACAGAACATTACTTGGCTACTTGCAGATACAAAATTTCTCTTCTTGTGTTGAAAAAATATTTTATGAGTGAGAGCAGCAGAGGAGTGAAATATTTTTCAACAAGAGAAGAGAAATTCATGTGTAGTGGCGCATATAAACACCTTGGGCTGACACAGGAGGGGAAGAGGGGTAGGGATTGACACTTGCAAGCTACCAACTTGTTATGTTGATGGAAAAGTAATCAACGACCAAGTTTGAAATCTACAGCTACAGTAGTCAGTAACTATGTAACTTTATAGCAAAAAAGGTAGTTTTGAAGACTTTTATTATGTACATTCATCAGCTGATGATGCTGCTGCTGCTGTACTGTTCACTTACAGTCTGAAACACTCCCTCATGGCTCCTTGATCAAATGGCTGGAAATTAAAAAATAAATAAACACCACATGTGTATTACTAAGTGTTCTACAGGTCAATTAAAGTTAGCTTTTAAATTACACAAACCAAACCCAACCATCATAAATACAACTGATTTTCAGACTGATTGTTCTTAATTTTATGAGGTGATGTAAATGTCAGTCATCAAACTCTACCAGAGACAATATCACCCAACAATAGAGCTTAGCTCGACCACCTTAAGCACATGGCTATGTATTTCCCTATGTCTGAGAAGTTCCTTGGGATACTACATACCCAAGTTTGACCAGCATATAGATGCCACCAGGGGTGTGAAACCGTGACCTTGTTGTTTAGAAGGGAAAGTAACCTTAAAGACAGCTACCCTGTGTCCTAACCGATTCTTATTCCTATTTGGAACATACAAGGTCATACAAGCAAAAACCACAACCCACCAGTCCAGGGGGAAGTCCCCATTAAAGCAATGTGTAAGGAAGTTGCCCTCCCATTGGCTCTTACTTTGGATCAAGTGTCAGTAAAGGTGTACAAAATAGGCAACAATAAAGTAAAGTGGCCTTATTAGCAAATAATAATAAAATCTGAATCTCACCAATAATTCCATTTTAATCCTCACTTCATCCTTTACCCAGCTTTTCTTAAGTGCATTATATCTGTGTCTTATGGCAACTTCTGTAGGACAAGAATCGTCAATATGAAATTTCTCCCATGGATCAGGCAAGGACTGAGCCTTTCTTATAGCATTCTTCCAACTAAGATGGTGGTGGTGTAAATGCTTTGGATGATGAGTTTTGCTACTTTCATTATTCTTTTTGTTGTTGGCTGAATCAGAATTTTCCAAATCATCAGTTTTATTGTTCTCACACTGTACATTAATTTCCTCCGAAGTCAAAACATCATCTGTTAATGAGCCAATTTCTTCATTCCAATCCTGTGATGTTTCATCAAAGCCTGACTCAGCTTCTTCACCATTACAGCCATTTTCTATTCCATCAGCCAAATCATTGTCAGTTTTACTACAATTCTCATGTCCATCTGCAGCCTGTGAGGATCCTTCTTGTAAATTATGAGGATCTGCATTTCCTGGGATCAAAACAAAAAGTGCTGTCATCTTAGTACCTGTGAATGCTGATCACTGCTAGATTTACATTTTTTTATGTTGGATCTTAGATTACTAATGTAAATGTAATGTAAATGTAAATGTAAATGTAAATGTAAATGTAAATGTCGCGATTGAGAGGACAAACATACATGTCCTCTTTACATAGCTTTTTTGCAGTGGGCTCGGACATCAGCATACTAAGGGCGCCAATGGCAGCCGCTATCAGTCCATTTATGAGCCCACTGAACCCTCCCAACCCATGATGAGTGATGATGTAAGTGATGAAGATAGACCACAACACCGGGAACTACGTCCCCTACTCTTTTCGAATAGTGTGTGGGTTCTTTAACGTCCCACAGAGTTATATATGATGTTCCGTGATATATAATGTTCCGTGATATATGTTTCCTCAGGACTTGAGTCATTAATTATTACCAAAATAAACAAACGAAAAGGAAAAGCATCAAGGAAAAGCAGAGGGTTCAAAGACTTTTAATCTAATCTTAACATCTCCAAAGCCATTATTTCCTCTTGCAGAACTTCAATTTTTAATTTAATGCAAGGTCTTTCCATTTCAGAAAGCCACAGATTTTACCATTAACTACCCATTACCTTTCATAACAAAGGGTGTAACAAAACTGGATTGACTAAGAAAATATGAAATAAATCATATTTAAATTTCCATGAAGATATGAATGGGAATGGGGGGTGGTTCCCTCTGTTGAATGAACAACCTAAGTGGTTGATAAAGACCCGAAAAAAATTCCTACCAGGAATCAAACCTTGACCTTCGCGTTGAATGGACATAATGCTCTATCCATAGAGCTAATAAAGCCAACTGGAAATCAGGCCAATTATTGTGAGTTCATAATATACCCAATGATGGAACTGTGCACCCCTTGCAAAGGTCAGGGTTAGATTCTCATTGAAACCTGTCGAAGTTGTTCAGGTTCTTTATTAACCATCTGGAACCTTTTTTCTTCTGTAAAGATCACATTCACTTTCATAGAGGATGCATTTTCAGAAATCAGTAAGTACATATAATAATAAATAAGAGATGATAAACATATTTTAGAATAATAAAAATTTTTACAAGGAATGGGCTTTTTGCAACAGTTGATCACATGATCAACTTTTTCTTAACAAGGAAACAATGTATTTTGGAAAGATAATTTTAGCAGCAATAGAAAGAGTACATAAAAATAACTATTACTCAATTTGTAAATTTGAAGGCTTATATCTCAAAAGAACCTATTGCTACAGCCTCTGATAATTGGAAGGATTTGCATGGGAAGAACAGATCAGTTACCACCCTGCCATGGTTCGATGGAGGTAAACTTTGAAATTTTCAAACCTTCTTAACATCTCTCTATTACATATAACACAACTCAAATTGCCTGTTATGATTATGATTATTATTTTATGTTCTTCCTTGTCTTCCCTACAATGAAGCACCCTTTTGTTTTGAAAAGGGTCAAAAAAAGAAAATTTAACTGAGAGGCAAGGCCTTATCATCTCATCTCCATACACTACAAAAGGTCTCTTCATTGAGTAGCACAGTGGCCTGAAAATCAGCATTACACTGTATAGTTTAATAATTCAAAGATGCTATTTTCATTCCTGAAAATTATATTGCTCTACTTAAAGTGTTATTCTTTTTAACTGGACAGATGACCAAATGCCCAGCAAAAGTCCTGTCATTTCTAAGACCATTACTTTATTCAAGACAATGATCAAACAGTTTCAGTTTTACAGGCAACCTCCATCTACTGCTAACTCAGATAACTAAGTACCAGGGCTCCTGCAAGTTCAGTGGAGCCAACATCTGGAACACGCTTCCTCTGGCCCTGAGGAGCCAGCACGATTTAAACAAGTTTGGGTTTGACCTAAAAAGGCACTTTATGCATCAGTCAATTCCCCCTGTACCCAGCCCCCACACCCCCTCCCATTTGCCCGCCTTGTCAGTCCCGGGGGTGGGGCATTTGCAAATTTTCCACTGCCCGGGGGCCGGGAATTTGCCAACCCCAGGGCCATTCCCGAGCTTTTGACACGCACACGGTTTCCTATCAGAATATAACTACACAGATGGTTTTACTGGAAAAAAAGCAGATTGGCTCATCTGTCAAGGACAGGAATAAATTGAAGAGGGTTGTAAAGGCATGTTCTCGATTTTATGCATACATTTCTTCATTGCTTATCAAAATTACATAGCGAAATATTGGAGCTATCGATGTGAATCAATGTTTTTCAAATTTCTGTTGAAGTATTTATAAAACTATTCATACCATATAACTTCACAGCACTCTATTAATTTTAATGTCAATAACTTTATATCAATATTAAAACCATAAACTGGTGCATGTCATCGTCAGAATCGTTAGAATCCTAGCGCGTCGTTAGAATCCTAGCACTATTACAAAGGAAGACGTTAATTGAAACAAAAAATGAGAACATTAAAATGCTTAAAATGACGTTATTCGACTGTGCGATCAATGAAAAATGTTGCAGTGTTGACGGAGGATGGGGCATTTGCGGTCTTTTTTTGTCCCCACCACGGGGGATTTGACAGCTTAAGAGTCCCCACTCCTGGGAATTTGCCATCCAAGGCAAAAAAAATGCCAGTGCCCGGGGGTCAGCCCAGGGGGGGGGGGGTGGGCGCAGGTGGAATTGGCTGATGCATTAGATCCAAGCCAAATTGAGCCTCCAATACTTTCACTATACTTAGTTGTTCCATTTTTTTTTCTTTGATCCGTTATTGTTTTTTGTGTTGTTTTTTTTTCTTTTCATCAGGGCCTCATTCAAACCAGCCTCACTGAACTGGGCACCTCTGACTAAAGATTGTTCAATATAAAATAAATAAATAAAAACCTCCCCTGCGTCCTCAAGAAATGCGCGATCATGATGCGCAGCGCAAAAATATAAAGGAATCGCCTTCGCGAAAGTAACAGCTGTGTGTCTTGAAATTTTCTGTCCTTACAGCTGGTGAACTTGAACAGACGCGGAAGTAATAAAATAAATGACTATTCCTTTCATCATAAACAAAATTCCTTTTAGGTTTCCCTTTCGCAGTAATGTACAGAAAAATTTATATCATTTTCTTTTGTTACTCATCAAAGCGATACTTTAAACTTACATACCACATAAGAAGTGAGTGTATGTTCGTCTTTGAGACCAGCTAAGTAAAGATACGTTATCAGTTTTAGTTCGCTGCCCTTTTTTAGTGACAGGTGATACTGTTAACGGAGAAATTTGAAAGATTTCATTGGTTATACCGAGGATTTGAAGAGCATAAGGCAATTATTTTACCCAATATTTTTAACCGTAAATTGTAAATAAACTAGGAAGTTTACCTTCGCTTCTGGGTGAGTTTTCCATCGCCGCAGGGAAGAGAAATCTCAGTCTTCATAAAAGACAGTGAAAGACAGAAAGACTGAAAAGAAGACCCATAGATAAAACAATTCAACACATACAGCACACCATATTTACAAAGTGCTCTCGAGGTCTTATACTTGGGGGAATTACAACTATGCATACACAAAGTCACTTTTTAAAGTTAAATCCGCTGGTCATATTGCATGTTCTTTGGTAAACAATATTTATTGAGCGGGCAGCGGCCAATTATTGTTTTTCTCTCCGTTTTAAAGCCTCTACTCTTCGTTGAGTTCTTAGGAAGTGTAGATCTCTCGGTCTTCACTTAATACTTGAAACAACGACAAGAACAGCTGTTAGGGAGCAGACTGGACAGTCCTGTCTTGCTGTGAAAAGGTGATGTCACTTGCGGGAATTTGTATTTCATTCGCGCTACACGTATCTGATTTTTACATACATATTATATCTAATGAAAGGTCTTGAAATTGGCTTAATCTCCGTAGAACTTTGAAAAGAAGAATGACGAAATCAAAGCTTTACACCTTGGCTTTTATTCGAAATGGAAACAACATTCTTCTGGGGATGAAAAAGAGAGGGTTTGGAGCTGGTCGGTGGAACGGTTTTGGCGGGAAAGTGGACGCGGACGAAACAATTTTGCAAGCCGCTAAAAGGTAAAGCTGCCAATCGTTTTCAACCCTCAGTCTTCTTTTTGCTTTAAAAACTTTTTAATCTTACTATGATCTTTCTTCGCTATGATTAGTCTCCTATTTTTCTTCGCAATTGTTCAGAGGCAACACATGCGAGCGCGCGAGGTCACATCCCGCGAGGAAACGCGACGGGCACTGCTTTTACCATTCCTGGGGGGTCATTCCTTACAATCTATCTCCCAGCGCGGGACAGGAAGGGAGCTAGCGGGATATCAATCATCATATAAGCTGTATGGGCATGTACTGCTGTCAAGGCAGAATCCACAGCCAAAAGGCCAAAACAGGTCAAATTAGCTTATTGGCCCTATATAACCTAAGGAGGAAGACAGAGACATTAGAATAAGGATGGAAGTTGGGGAGAGTTGAAAACACTGACCTGCGGTTCCCAGACTACCCACTGACCCCCACTTCAAAGACTACCCTACAGACTACTCCTACGGACTACCCTAAAAAATCAACCAAATTCACTTTTGCAAAGGAAATAGATAGAACAAACCTACCTCCACTGTGCTTCCTACAGATCCATAAACAGCCACCATCTTGTTTTTCGCCGGTTTCATCGACCCAGTCTTTTTTTAGTCCTGCTCCATTCTTTTTTGGCTACCAGCCAGCACGCTGTTAGCTACATACAGTGTCAAAAAAAGTGTTTAAAGATTGGGTTCTTGAAAGCAAAGACCCCTAAGACCCCCTACCGAATGACTCTGAACTTTACTGATTAGGGTTAGGAAACTGAGTGAATCAGGTTCCATTTAGGTCATTACACTGAGAAACCTGACCTTAAAGAATTGATTCACTCAGTTTGCTAACCCTAATCTTAAGCGGTCTTAGGGGTCTTTGTTTTCAAGATGGAACTCTGGGTTCTACGCTTTCACGTAGTTTACACCTACTTGATGAATGACATCAGTAACCCAGTCTGCAGCCTTTTGTGAAGTACATGCCAACTGATGGTAACTCAAATTTCATACAATCAGTCAATGGATGTGAAAAGAAAATTACGGTGATACCAAAACCCCAGGGCAGGAGACGGAACCAATTTTGGAAGTAGCCATGTCGCCTATAAGCCGTGGGCCTCAATCTCCTATGTGCAGGATTGACATATATTGGGCATGAAGTTAGGTTGCAATATGAAAGACTGGGTCCAGGAAAAAATAAGATGTCAACTGTTTATTGCGTAGCAACACGGGTAGGTTTGTTGTATCTCTTTCCCCCATAAAAACTGAATTTGGTTGAAATTTTAGGGTAGTCCTTCAGGGTACTGCGTGGGGTTGTTCGCGGAGTTTTCCATAGGGTAGTCCACTGAGTGGGGTTCAGTGGTAGTCCGCGGACCAGGGTCAGTGTTTTTCACCCTTGAAGTTGAATGGGTTGGAGGAAACATTTTAAACACAAAAATGGAGAAGAGATCCATACAAATGCACAGGGCGTCAACACACTGACAATGTGCTCAATCAGTTACTTAGCGTAAATGTTTCGACTTTAATAATGCTAGAAATTTTTCTTAATTATGAATAAAATTCAGTCCTAAATTTTACCATCTAAAATATAACAATTTATTGAACTCAAATGATTTCAAAAAATTGTGGCTTTTAATTAACACTCGAGGGAAGGCATGGCAAATGATTATCATATTATGGATATATTGTTTTGATTGGGCTGAGATAAAAAATTGTTTCTGGTTAACATACATGTAGGCTACAAGTAGGAGAGAATTTTATTTTTTATTACAGTTGAACTCCCTTTAAGCAGCCACCTATGAACCAGCTACCCTCTATTAAGCAGCAAAATAATTGTAGAAAAGAATAGTAAATTAAACCTCTGTTAAGCAGCCACCTCTATGAGCAAGTGGCCATGGCCTCCTTTTGGCCATTTGATGAGAATTCTACTAATGCTGTCACCTTTATTAAGCAGCCATTAAGTATTTGATACACATAATTTAGCTTCAATTTAAAATATGATGAAGGAAAATACAGTCAAAGATAGAAGATGAGGAGTGATTGTGGAGAGATAATGCTACTTCTGTCTCTTAGTGATATTTCTGGTAAAGATTATGCTAATTTATGACAAACCTCAATTGAGTGGCCAAGGGTGGCCACTTAATGGGGGGTCAACAATATTATATCATTTTAAAAACAGCAAAATCTGGGTTGGTGAGCAAATGGGGGAGAAGTAAATTGCTTTAGACATTTTTTTAAACATGAAATAAGGTTATTGGTGGCATTTTAACAGGAGTCTGTGGATATTATCTTTGTTTGTTTACAGGGAATTGTGGGAAGAATCAGGTCTGACAGTAGACGAACTCCAAGAGGCTGGAATTTTGAAGTTTGAATTTGTTGGTGAAGCTCAAATAATGGAGGTTCATGTTTTCACCACTAGTATTTTCAAAGGAACACCGGCTGAATCTGATGGTAATTCAGTTTAACATAGAATGGCATACCTAGTTCCCATTCAAAGTGAAGCAAGCAATGAAGAGTGTTACAACAATACATTAAACCCTTCATGACTACTGACCAGTCAACTAGGAGGTATACCCACCCTTTCCCCTGGTCTACTCTCATCTAGATCTGAAATGGTGTCATTCATCTGGCACTGTATTAGTTTCAGCTGTCAAACCTGACCTATTTTTAGGGCAATCTTTTCTTATCTTTTGTGGTTTGAGCTGAACAAAACAGGACCTGATTTTTAGAAAATGGGCAGCCTTGTTAAACAAAATTTGCTAACCCTGAGTCTAAAACTATCAAGACAGTCAAGCCAATTGACTACTATTAGAAAAAATCATGCAGTTGCCATCTGTTTGACTCAGTTTGTTGGGTACCTGAGTTAAGTGATGTAGGTCCAGTTTGATTTCTTGATCCTTCAAAGACCCCATCTCACCGCCCATTTACTGAAGTGAATCTCTTGGGATGCAAAATAACCACTAAGGATGTATCCATCTGTCCAGTGATCTGTCACCAGGGAGACTTAACCTGAAGTTAAGCTCTAGCTGCTTTGTTGACCTTACCCCTTTAAAGTGGTTTATAATGTATGTAAACAGAACAATTTTAATCTTTTTTTCTGTAGAAATGAGGCCCAAGTGGTTTTCTTTATCAGAGGTACCATTCAGTGACATGTGGCCGGATGACCCTCTGTGGTTTCCATTGATGTTGAATGGGCAGAAGTTCTCTGGATATTTTAAGTTTAAAGGACACTCAGAAATCCTTGATTACACCCTTCAGCCCTCATGTGCAGTTTGATGTTTTTGTAAAAAATTGTTTTGAGAGTTACATTAATGCCATGACACATCTTATCACCAGCTTCTACCCATGTAGTTTCACTCTGAGCTTTGACTGAGCTTTTCTCATTTAAGTAGCTAAAGGCAGTTCTTTTTAAGGAGTGCCCATCGTAAAAAAATCTCTGCATTTTATAACGTAAAACAAATGAACGAAGCATGGCAGGGACCCACTTTAGGGGTCATTTTATAGGGTTTGTACAGTTTTAAATTCTTGATAAAGTCTTCAATTTTTTTGCAGACCAATTAAATGTTTAGATGTTTTTTGTTTTAATACATGTAATTGTCTCTCGATCTCCACCCCTGGCTGATTCATCAACTTTCATTTCCTTGGTCTTCCTTTTTCGTACCATGGTGGGAACATGGTTGCGCCACCATAAGGCCCATGGAAAGGTGGTTATCACCAGGAAAGTGGGTGCACGTAGGTCTGAATATCAGGTTCAGCTATTCACAGTTTAGGTGTTATGATGGGCTAAAATGCCTAGAAAAACGAGCATTTTTGACAACTTTCCCCTATTTTGGTGAGAAAACGTAATTTTCCTGAAGATTCAAAAATTGAGATTCATAATTAGCAAATTGCTACTGGAACTGTCTGTAATTTGATACTCTTTAAGGTAGCTTCCAAACAGTTTTTTTCATCAATTTTTAGCTTTGAGTTGTATTATTTATCTCATATGTTAGGAATAGGAAAATGATATATTCGTGAGTTAGCCCCAGTGAGAGAGCAAAATCTGCCCCAATAAATGAGGTGTTCCAAACTATGTGTTTTCATATGCTTCTGTCGTAATTGTTCTTTCATTTGTAACAATTACATGTCACAGGTACGCCAGATATGATGGAACATCGTAAAAGTTTGCGCCTATAGACTAATTTCAATTAATTTCAATATACTACAAATTTGAGAAAAAAAGAGTTGCTTTGAATATGACAGTGGCGTTCCTGAAGCTTTTTAATGACGTCACCCTGACGTAATTGGCGGGATAACGAGGCTCAACCATCGCCCCAGTTCCCCCTCTGAAAATTCTTTTTTTATTCAGCTTAATGCAAAGTATGTATATTTATATACAGTCGAACCTCCCGTAAGCGACCATCCAAAATGCACGTTAATTCTGATGATGTCCATTATCAAGTTTCCTAGAAACCACAAGAACAAGGCCCCACAAAAAATAATTAATAATAATAAATTTCTTAACAATATAGGACAAAAATATAAAACTTCAACCCCGCCAGGATTCGAACCTGGAATCCCCTGATTCGTAGTCAGATGCCTTATCCGTTGGGCCACGGGGCCTTCTGTAATGGACGGGTCGCTTTTCAATCCCAAGTAACTCACTCTGGTTTGATATTACACTTTTTGCTCTTCATTAAAAGAAGATACAAAGTAATTTTATTTTCCAGGAATTCAATAACATCTTAGGAAGAACATATCCACAAATTAATCTTCATTTTAATCATCCGTCGTTTCATTTGCGCAATTATTATGACGCTAACCTATCTTCAATAACAGCACAGGAATGTCGTTTTCTTCGTTTTACATTGTATTATGTCTTTGAAAAACATGTACATCAATAACAGGTGTTTAAAAGGTATTTCAGTGAGTATACTTGAGTTATGATAGATGTTTTTAAAGCCACTAAGATTGCATGTCGTCACGCTTACAGCAAACTTCAGATTCAACTTGAGAGTTATCAAAATGGAAAATGAGCATATCATAAACACTTCAAAACAATTCTTATGGATAAAGCTGGAGGGAAAATACTATTTTTTGGTAGAAGTAATTGAGGAAAAGAAAAGGGAAACCTTGGTCACGTGGCACAAATTCACGTTTGCCGCCAAATCTCTCTAATGACTAGCCTGCGAACGCAGACCGCGTATTTCCGCAAAATACGTCTGCGGTCTCAGGCTAACATTGACCAATATTATCCAAAAAATATGCCTTTATAGGGGTAACATCATTCAATATTTGCAAGTTGCAGAAAAAAAGGAAAAGAAATAATGAAAATCGAGGGAGTTCTTCATGTCAATAAAAGCACAAAATTATTATTATTGTTTTCTTATCTCATAAAGGTTATGCGTTGTTTCAAACAAAATTAAAGAACCAAGTGTAAAAAGTACGACCCCGCCAGGACTCGAACCTGGAATCTTCTGATCCGAAGTCAGACGCCTTATCCATTAGGCCACGAGGCCGACGTACTATACAAAGAATTCTACTGCTATTTCACAATCAACTGTATTACAAATATGCACTGTAATACTGTTATTTTGTGTTTGCATCGAGATTTTTATTCTTTTGTCGTCCCTTAGCTTTTTTCTGCACCTTGCAAATATTATCATTGTAAAAGGTATTAGATTGATGTTTCCCCTGAAGCAACCTTTTTTGGATAGTGTTGGTTAATGTTGTTAATTGTACAGCATTCAATCTTCGTGGCCTTAAAAACATCTGCCGTAATTTCAGTGTCGCCACTAAAACAATATCCAACTACGAGTCAATATTATCTGAGAGGAGACAAGTTAATAAACATTAAAAACCCAATCAGCTATAACAGGCCCCGTGGCCCAACGGATAAGGCATCTGACTACGAATCAGGGGATTCCAGGTTCGAATCCTGGCGGGGTCGAAGTTTTACATTTTTGTCCTGTATTGTAAAGAAAGCTGCTACTGTAACAGTTTAAAAAATTGGTTATACAGCTATTTCGAGAAAGGTTGTCGGAAAAAGTACACGCGACAATGCCGAAAGGTATTGTGGGTGGTTTTCAGTTCACTGTCATCAAAGAAATTTGCAAGAATGGAACTAGAGGCCATGAACTTATGATTGTAATTGCTAAAGGAAAGAAACAATAGTATGTTCGACAGCTACAATGTCAGGAACAGGTTATTGATCATATCCCATATTACCTTTTGAGATTGTCGCATGCACAATTTTTCCGACAACCTTTCTCGAAATAGCTGTATATAAATGGTGCTCTTTGACGACATGACCCAGTGCCTACTTATATTATCATATCCGGCGTCTTTTCGTTTTTTGCCGCACGTTCTAATCGACCAGTTATGTAGGGAGGGCGACATATGAACAAAGCACTTGATGGATAAGGCTTCTCCTTCTTGTGTGCAGAGCCTACATTGATAAGAACCAAGAATGCAATTCAGCGAAACTTCGCCCAAGTTAAATGGACTTAATCTTAACCCTTCAACAGAGGCTTCTTAGCCCACCTTGGGGGCACGAGCTTGGACGCAGCGTTCCCCCAACCTTCATTCTTCTTCCCTAGTGATCCCTTCGCCTTCAATCGCGTCCAAAGTTTTTCGCCCGCTTTTCCTTTTTTTCGAATTCCTGTCAATTATTCGAGAGGCGACTTGTCGTTGTGGTTTCTAGGAAACTTGACCATCGACCTCAAACTGAATTAGAGCACCGTGGTGTCCGTCATCTTAATTAATTGGTCATCCATCATTTACTAGCAAAATCTTAAATCAATATCACTGATGTAAATATTTGACTTATTTCGTCTACATTAAACCAAAGAAATAACTTCGGAGCGGAGGCAATAGTAGAATTCAGTTTCACCAATGTTTTCCTAGAAGGGTCCTTTCTTGTTAGATCTAGGTAGGCAGGGGGGGGCATAATAGGCCATTTTAAGCAAGGGTGAGGTTGACCTTGTTTTCATACAAACCTTCTTTGCCTTGTTATGGAAATTGTTCTTGAAAAATACTGGTAAGCATAAGAATAACTTGATTTACATAATAAAGCAGGAAGGTTTGCATCAAAACAAGGTCACCCTCAGCCTCGCTTCTATCCATAACTGTAAAACGGCCTATTCGTTTTGATTTTGTAATAAAAGTTAAGTCAAGTTAGGACAGTGTTAAGTAGAAATTTCTTTGAGTGTCTGCAACCTGAGATTAGTTCATTTCTATTGTTCAGGGTAGACGTTACAGGTTTACAAATTGTAAACGTTAATACTGATGATGTCCATAATCAAGTTTCCTAGAAACCAAAACAACAAAGCCCCACAAAAAATAATTATATGCAGAGAATTCCCTGGTCCAATTAACAGGCGTTGGAAAGAAAAAGGCGCAAATATACTGCGAACAAACCTCGTTCCCAGGGTTCTCTCCTACCCGTCCCTACGGAGCAAGAGAGACGACGGTTAGGAGAGAAAACCTGGGAACGAGGTTGACTGCGAACGTAGTAGGACGCAAAGGACTCGCTACGGAAGGAGAAGGAAGGCGAACGCCACATCCTAGCTCCCACGCCAAACGTAGGCTAAGAAGTCAACTTAGGCGAATTTTTGCTGAATTGCTTGGCTCTTATCAGTGTGGGTTATGTACACAAGATGAAGAAGCCATGTAGATCACATCCTTCGTTTTATTTCGCCCTCTCTACATAACCGGTGAAAGGGTGTCGATCAAAACCTCTGGTCAAAAAGAGCGACACCGTAATTAGTAGCAAAGGCGAGGGCTCATGTTGTCAGTAAGACCACCGTTTATAACCCTTTTTTAAATTTCTTAACGATATAGGACAAAAACATAAAACTTCGACCCCGCCAGGATTCGAACCTGGAATCCCCTGAGTCGTAGGCAGATGCCTTATCCGTTGGGCCACGGGGCCTGCCGTAATGGACGAGTCGGTTTTCAATCCCAAGTAACTCACTCCGGTTGGATATTTCACTTTTTGCTCTTCATTAAAAGAAAATATAAAGTAATTTTTATTTTCCAGGAATTCAATAACAAGAACATATCCACAAATTAATCTTCATTTTAATCATCCGTCGTTTCATTAGCGCAATTACCATGATGCTAATGCATCTTCAATAACACCACTGGAATGTCGTTTTCTTTATTTTACAGTGTATTATGTCTTCGAAAAACATGTACATCAATAACAGGTGTTTAAAAGGTACAAGTTCAGTGGGTATATACTTTAGTTATTATAGATGTTTTTAAAGCCACTAAGATTGCATGTTGTCACACTTACGGCAAACGTCAGATTCAAGTTGAGAGTTATCAAAATGGAAAATAAGCATATCAAAAACACTTCAAAACAATTCTTATGGGTAAAACGGGCGTGATAATACTATTTTTTGGTAGAAGTAATTCAGGAAAAGAAAAGGGACACCTTGGTCACGTGGCCCAAATTCACGTTTGCCGCCAAATCTCTCTAATGACCAGCCTGCGAACGCAGACCGCGTATTTCCGCAAAATACGTCTGCGTTCTCAGGCTAACATTGACCAACACTATCCAAAAAAAGGCCTTTATAGGGGTAACATCATTCAATATTTGCAAGTTGCAGAAAAAAAGGAAAAGAAATAATGAAAATCGCGGGAATTCTTCATTTCAATAAAAGCACAATTTTTTTTTATCTCACAAAGGTTATGCGTTGTTTCAAACAAAACGAAAGAACCAAGCGTAAAAAGCACGACCCCGCCAGGACTCGAACCTGGAATCTTCTGATCCGAAATCAGACGCCGTATCCATTAGGCCACGAGGCCGACATTCTTCTGACAGTAATGAGAAACTGTTCGCCGATTGGGCACAATAATACGAAGCATTTTTTGTGCCCAATCAGGAGCCAGCATCGGTTTGAATTTTTGGAAATGGTTCGGTGAGAGTCGGTACCCAGGGGCTCTTCCGTCCTTACTTGAAAATTTTCGTTCCGCCGTTTCTCCCGACCCGACTGACTGCCCCCTGGCTCTCCGAGGATGTGTAATATGCTTCCTAACTCATTTCACTGATTCATTCATATTA